TTCTCCAGCTTCAGGTCCCAGAGTACAGAGATTACAAGCTTGTCCCACCATTCTTTGTTGTTTTTAATGTGAATATCTATAACTAAATGTTTCCCTCTTAGCACTGCTTTCACTGTGTACCACAAGTTTTGGTAATTTGTGTTTCATTTTTATCTGTAACTTTTTCCAACTTTCCTTGTGGTCCTTCTTTGATCCACTGGTTACTTATGCGTGCTGTTTAATTTCCACAAATTTGTGATTTTTCTCTAGTTTCTTTCACTTTTGACTTCTGGCTTCACTCTATTGGGGTCGCACTTCCCAGGCCACTTAAAAAGCAGGCACCTTTTTCTCCTTTATTTTCTGCTTCCCCTTTGGAAACCACACACGAGTATTTTCTAAAGCAGCCACATGTACAGAAGAAGCCAGAAAGTCACTGCACCTGCCCAGGGTAGGTGCAGACTCAGATAAGGCCCAAGGACACCTGTGTCTACACTTACAGCTGACCCTGGGCACAGAGACAGTCCACAACAAACACAGAGAAAGAAACAACTGCATTCTGGGGTTGGGGAGGTTCTGGTTTCCAAGTGTCAACAGAATAATATAAGGCACCCCAAGTATAGAAAAAGGCACCAGACACCATCTGTGAAGAAGACCAGATGGTAGATCTACTCAACAAAGATGTTAAAACAACTGTCTTAAAGACACTCGTAGGACTGAAGGAAGATGTGAGGAAAGTTGAGAAAACAGTGGTGTGAAATAGCAACAAAGAGCAAAAAGAAGATATGGAGCTAACAAATCCAACTGAAATTGAAAATTCTCTTGAGGAAGATAAAGGTTGCTTTGAGCAGGGAGAAGAAAGAATCAGCAAACTTAAATATGTGCAGTAAAAATTATTGAGGCTGAGGAACAGAAATAAAAAAGACTGGAGAAAAGTGAACAGAGTGAGGGGCTTGGGTCCCCAGGAGCACCATGAAGACGCCTGATGTGCACACTTTTGGAATCCCACAGGGTGAGAGGGCAGAAGGCAAAGAATATAAAGAAATATGCAGAAACAAGGGCTGAAAGGAAACATCACAAATTTGAGGAAGGACATGAATGTAAACATCCATGAATCTCATGAACTCCAAGCAGGACGAACTCAGCGGCCCACACTGAGACACAGTGTAACCACACTCAAAAGGGAATTTTGTAGGCAGCAATTTTGAGGATGTATAATTCATTACATACAAAGGCTCCTCAGTAAGACACCAGCAGATTTCTTAGCAAAGTTCAGAGACAAGAGGGCAGTGAGCTGGCACATTCAAACTGTCAGTCAGGAAGCCTATGTCCAGCAAAACTGTCCCTTAAAACTAAGGAAAAATTAAGACATTTGCAGATCAACGGAAGTAACAGGAAGGAAGGAAGGAAGGAAGGAAGAAAGGAAGGAAGGAAGGAAGGAAGGAAGGAAGGAAGGAAGGAAGGAAGGAAGGAAGGAAGCTTTTCAGATCTATCCTGCAGGAAATGCTATAGGAGCCCTGAAGGGTGAAATGAAGTGTGTTAGGTATGCATCAAAGTCACATGAAGGTATAAGGATCCCAGTAAAGGCGAACACACAAGGCAAGTACAAAAGCTCTTCTCATCACAGCAATGGAATATAACTCCAGTTTTGTTTTCTACATACATTTTAAATAATACTTTTAAAAAATCAGTCTAACAGCTAATATTATTGTAACTGCAATTTTTAATTTCACATTTTATTTGCTGCATAATTTCAGAAACTAATCCATTAAAAATAGTTATGCTCTGACACAATATGTGGTCAGATCCCTATAACTCGGCCGTATATCCACAAATTTAATCAACTGCAGGCTGAAAATATTTGAAAAGGAATTTTGGCTGTGCTGAACATACATGGAACTTTCTCTCCTTGTCATTGTCTCCTAAACTATGCAATATAACTACTATTTGCGTAGCATTAACCCTGGGCTAGGCATTGAAAGCAATGTAGAGATGATTTAAAGGGAAGATAAGCACAGATTTAGATACAAATACCACACCACTTATAGAAGAGGTTTGAAGTTTGTGTTCTGATATCCACAAGAGGTTTGGAACCAACCCCATTAGTATCTGATGGAGGAACAACTGTATGGAGATGTAATTTGTGACATCAATAAATGAAAAGGGTGGAGAGAGACCTGTTCAAGGAGCAGCTTTTGTACATTATTGAAGTTAAAGCTGGCCTAAATTCGGGTGTTTTAATTTTAGGATATTAAGTGTTATAGTAAGCACAAAGAAAATAAGTAATAAATACAAAAGATATAAGAAGAAGATTTAAATACTTTGCTACCAAAAAATCAAATACAAAAGAAGACAGTAATATAGAAAGCTAGGGACACAAAGCTATAACAGATGTGAAGTGACAGAAGTCTTCTTCATCTGTAATTATGCTAAAGGTAAATGGGTTAAATTCTGCAATCAAAAGACAGAGACTGTCAGGCTGGATTCAGAACACTGTAGTCCACCTTTTTGATGTATATGAGAGATTGGCTTTAGTTTCAAAGGCACCAGTAGGGAAAACATGGGAAAAGATATTCCATTGAGTAGCAAAGAAAGCACAAGTAGCTATGGTATCAAAACAGATTACAAGAGACAAAGAAGGGAATTATATATTGATAAAATTCTCAATAAGATAGGACAATTTTTTAAATGTATCCATATAATTATGCATCCTCAAAACACCTATAACTTAAGAAAACGAGAAGCTGGCCGCACACTGGGAGAGGAGCTGCCCAGCTCCTGATCTCATTCTCTCTACTGCTGCCTTGGAGTCCAAGAGGGCTTCCCAGGTGGCGCTGTCCTGAGTCTCACGCAGGCTGGGGAAGGTCGCTGGCTCAGCTTTTTTTTTTTTTTTTTTTTTTTTTTTTAATGAGTAATCCATTATTTATTAACTACTCTAACTACCAAAAGCAGCCATTAAAGCCTAGACGCTTTGCTCATAGGTCTGTCTTTTCACCACTCTTCTTACACTTCCCTCAGCTACTCTTCCTTATCCCTCCAGATGGAACCTAGATTGATTTTGCAAACTCTTACAAGAAACACTGTTCTTGGAGACTTTATTTCAAATTGCATTCAGTTGTAGATAAGTTAGAAATAACTGATATTCATAATAATATTTGTTTCGATAGTTAATGATTGGGCCAGGGATTTAGCTCAGTGGCACAAATGCCTGCCTGGCAAGCATGAGGTCATGAGTTCAATCTTGGGTACCAAAAAAACCAAAATGATATTTAGATGATTTTTCCAAAGACAAGCTTTGAATCCTTGGAGTTGGGGGGGAAGCTAAGTTTTTTTCCCCCTTGTGCATTCCTGTTAACTTTGTCCTTGGATTTGTTGTGTTTTTCTTGTTGACATAAACGGTATTTTTCCCCTGACACTTTCTGATCTTTTGTGACTGACAGGAGAGAATCAGCAGCTTTCTGCACAATCTCACATCTCTGGGTTGGGAGCTCAGGAGGGCTCTTCTGGGCAGCATGGACCTTGGGTCTTTTGTGGGCAGTGGAGACTCTGGCTGAGGCTAGGAGGAAGCTGACCAGGGCTAAAGGATCTGCTGCCAGTTCAGTGCCCACCCTGCATTCATGTGATGTGGCAGTTGGCCTCCCCCTTAGCAAGCTATGCCAGGAACAGCCAAGCACCACTGTGATAAGGAAGCCACGCTCCATCCTCATGCACAGGCCAGATGGTGAGAGGTGTGAGAGGACACGGCCAGCACCCACTTCAGCTCCCTGGAGGCACTCCCTGCACTGTGTTCTGGTATTGCACTTCCCTGAGCAGAGGTTCTAGAAGGTTCTCCTCACACTAGAGTTTCTCCTCACACCAAGTGTCAGCTCCCACTGACCCTTCACGTGGCCTGTTTCTTTACCTCCCTTCAGCCACAGGGACAGGCTCCTTGGTCCTTGGCTGGCAGCTCTGTTGCTTTGTCACCTCTCCTGAAACCATCTGTCTCCTGCCCTCTTATTTCCAAGCAGGAAGTCTATCCCCCACCAGTTCCTCCATCTCCTTTGATCTATTTGTTTTCTGAGCTCTCTGATAACTTCTCCTTATCATCGGTCACATTCAGTACCAACCCCCTGGCTCCCTGGCTCTGCTGCCCTCTCCAAGTAAAGCCGTTTAACACCTGTGCTCTGGAGGGGCCTCCTTTGCTTTCAGCAGCTTCCCAGGAATTCAAATTGGGAAGAATTCCATGCAGGCGAAGGCCAAGGGCAGTGGGACACCAATTCTGACATGTCCTCCCACTCCCACCACCAACCACACGGATGCAACCCTGCAGGCCTCCTGTAGGCTGCTAGGACACGGCCCTGGGTCACGGCCTCTGCCAGCCTGGGGGGATGTGTGTGCAGAAGCAGGGTGATGCTGGCTCTGTATCCCATGAGCGTGGTGTCTTCAGCTCCTGTGCTCATTCAACCCAGTGGCTGCCAGCCCTGATCTGGGGTCCCCAGACCACATGACCAAGCCGGAGGGATGGCACAGCCAGCTCCAGGCCCATGCAGGTGGCCTCCTCAGGCTTCATGCCAGAGCCCAGGCCACACCACAGGCTCATGGGACTTGATTGGTGGGATCCTGATGCAAAACTATGTTAGTAATAACTAGGTCTGGATAGCACTGACCTCCCTCTGTCCTCACCAATGTCCCCAGTGAAGGAGAACAGGCCTAAAGGCGTTTTCCTGGCCCAGGTCACACACAGGAACTGGGAGCCACCAGGCAGAGCAGTGTCTTCCTCCCCTAGACTGCTTCTAGAGCAGACGGTTGGGAGTGTGGTGAGAAGGTGGCCCTCACTTCCATCCCACTTGATGGGGTCAGAACTGAGCCCAGATGAGCTCACTGTGAGTGGGCAGCCCCACTGAGGGTTGCGGTCATGTGGGTTGCAGCCCAAGGTCAGCGACACCATGCACTAGGCCCTGCCTCCTGTAAACTGGCCAGGTACCCCATGCAGTGGGGCGGCAGTGTCTCCCTGGCCCCTCCCTGACATGCCCCCTTCATTGCAGGACAGGCATAAGGTGACTCTCACAATGCTGCGGGGTCCCTTATCAGCACTGCTGCTTGGGGGGCTGCTGGGGGCCCTCCATGCCCAGCAGCAAGAGGTCGTCTTACCCGACACCGTCACCTCTGAGAGGACCAATAGCTGCCCAGGTACTAGGGCTCAGGCAGGGTGGCTGCAGGGTGGGGAAGGGAGCCCACTAGGCAGACTGTGACACCCTGTGTCCCCAGAGAAGACCGACTGCCCTGTCAACGTGTACTTCGTACTGGACACTTCTGAGAGTGTGGCCATGCAGTCACCCACCGACAGCCTGCTCTACCACATGCAACAGTTTGTCCCACAGCTCATCAGCCAGCTGCAGAACGAGTTCTATCTGGACCAGGTGGTGCTCAGCTGGCGCTATGGCGGGCTACACTTCTCCGACCAGGTGGAGGTGTTCAGCCCACCAGGCAGTGACCGAGCCTCCTTCACCAAGAGCCTGCAGGGCATCACCTCCTTCCGCAGGGGCACCTTCACCGACTGCGCATTGGCCAACATGACCCAGGAGATCCGAAGGTCAGGAGTACGTGGCGTCAACTTCGCCGTGGTCATCACGGACGGCCACGTCACAGGCAGCCCGTGTGGCGGCATCAAGCTGCAGGCTGAGCGGGCCCGAGACGAGGGCATCCGGCTCTTTGCTGTGTCGCCCAACCAGAACCTGAACGAGCAGGGCCTGCGGGACATTGCCAGCACTCCGCACGAGCTCTACCGTAGCAACTATGCCACTATGCGGCCAGACTCCACTGAGATTGACCAGAACACCATCAACCGTATCATCAAGGTCATGGTATGTGGTGGGCCTGCCCTGTGGGGAGGGACAGCACGACCCCGCCAGCCTGGGTAGCCGCAAGAGCCCAGTCCTCGCTGACCAGCCCTCTTTGTCCTACTGTTTTCCCACAGAAACACGAAGCCTATGGAGAGGTGAGTGGTGCTTCCCTCTCCTGCTTGCCTTAGCCTGCGGCCTGCAGCCTCTGAAGATGCACAAAGCACTGCTCTGACCTTCGGCTCTCGGGGGCTGGAGCTACTTGTGAGGAGAGGGAGCAAAATCATCCGCCCTGTGTTGGATCCAAATCTCAGGGTTTGGACAAGGGCTTCTACCAAGCCAGGCTTCTGGGGTCGGAGCCAGGTTGTCCTGGAGTGCAAGGGTCAAGGGTAATGGCCCTGATGGGCATCTCACCCAGGCTGGGTCAGGCAGTGGCAGTGTACATCCTCACATCTGTGATACCTGTGTGCTGTGTGCCAGCTCTGGCTCCAGGGAAAGAGAGCAGGTGCCTGAGGGTCCCACCCAGTGCTCATGGCTCGTGGTTTCAGCCCTGGGCACAAACAGCAATCCAGTTACTCTGTCACCCTCACTACAATCCGTGAGCCAGGAAGGCCCCACCTCCACAGGGCCCCAAGACCTGCTCCCTCATTCTGGTACCCTGGCTTGACAGGCACTTTGGGGGCCCCCTGAGAGTCCCAGTTACATGTACCCTGGACTTGTATCCTGCCAGGGGCTCTTCCCACCAGCAAGGCCACTGTCCCTTCTCGTTTCAGTGCTACAAGGTGAGCTGCCTGGAGATCCCAGGACCAGCTGGCCCCAAGGGCTACCGTGGACAGAAGGTGAGACCTCGCAGCCCCATTGAGGCCAGCAGCTCTGCTGTCTCACACATCCCACCCTGAGAAATGGAAATCAGACCTGTCCACCCCCTTTTTAAACAACATATTGAGGAAAGACTTTTTACGAAAGAAATGTGAGCCACACCATTAAAACACTTGTCAAACAAGAAGCACTGTCAGGTATCTAACACAGACACATTACTGGAGGGTGCAGCTGCTGAGTTACAGAGAGCACCCACTGTGTGGCTTATGTAGCAAGTTTTTCAGAACCTGGTTTGAAAGGTCCCCTGCATTTCTAACCTCAGAGGTGTGTGGAACAGAACCCTTCCAGATCCACTCCCAGAGGGTTTGAAGCCCCACCCACCCATGTCAGAATCCTCAAGACACAGGCAGGACCGAATATTTAAAGTGATTCTCAGAGGAAGTTACTGCTTTCTTTCCAAATGTGGTGACAGCTTCTAGATCAGCAGGCATCTGAAGAGACATCCCTAGGGCACCGGCCAAACCCTTCCCATCATCCTCTTGGTATCTCTGTCCTGACAGCAAAGCTCACGCTGCCACAGCCAAGAGTGAAATCAATGTGGTCATTCCGGCTGCCCACATACTGGTGGCCAGTGCCTGGTGGGGGACACCACAAGGACCCGAAGTAGAGCATGATCGTGGCACTGGGGCCTCTGTGCTCAGCACCCCCTTTGCTCCTCAAGTCTTCCCCACTCCTCTGCCCTTCTGCACCCAACAGGAAGCACATTAATAAGAGAGTGCAGCCATCAATAAACTCCATTCCAGGGATGTGCAACTTTCAGCTTCCTGATGGCTGATTTGTGTGCAGTTGCCGGGGTCCCCAGCCCATTCTGAGGGATTAATGTCACCATGAATGTCACACAGACCTAGTTCAATCAGCCCTACAGTTGCAGCCCCAGATGTAGAAGGGCACCTCCTTGCAGGGCGGCTTCCTGGAGCTCAGAGGAGTCCAGCAGCTGGGACTTCAGGGGTGGCTCACCAACTTCAAGATCTGGGGGCTTCCAGTGGCCCTTGACCTGCCCCCTCTCAGGGAAGCCAGTGAGGTCCCCATCATCTACCTTCCACCCTCTCTCAGTTCACCTTCTTCCCTGCCATCTGCCTTTAGGGTGCCAAGGGCAACATGGGTGAGCCAGGAGAGCCCGGACAGAAGGGGCGACAGGTGAGCACTCCCACCCCCCGTCCCAGCCACCTTCCCACACTCCGGAGCTAGGACTTCATCCAGGGCTATGTTCTTTCACAGGGAGACCCTGGCATCGAAGGCCCCATCGGATTCCCAGGACCCAAGGTAAGCTACACTGGATGGCAGGGGGCCTGGCTCAGGAGACCTGGTGTTGTCTGTGGCAGGCTACCCCATCCAGTTACCTGCATTGCCCCAAAACCAAGTGTACATCTGACCCCTCGTCCAGCCTGTGTTCAGAGCCTGCATGCAGTTCCCAGGCAACAGACACAAGAACACCACCCCAAGTTCTCAGCCTGTCATCCTGGTCTTCCCCATCCTCCCAACCCCACCCTCCAGGACCCCAGCATGTCCTGGTAACCCCTGTCCTTCCTTCTGCCCTAGGGTGTGCCTGGATTCAAAGGAGAAAAGGTAATTTTCAAACTCAGAGTCGGAAGCACATGGATGCTCCTGGGGCAGGCTGGGGCTGGGGGTGGTCAAACTGGGCTCTCCTGCTGCCGAGATGGTGGAGTCCGGTGCTGGGAGCTCAGCTCATGCCTGCTTTCCTCCTCCACAGGGAGAATTTGGGGCCGATGGAAGGAAGGTAAGCAGGCAGCACCCACTTCCCTGATGCTGAGAGGACCAAGATCAGCACTCACGATCCCCTAACCTACTTTTCCAGGGAGCCCCCGGGCTGGCAGGCAAGAACGGGACCGACGGACAGAAGGTACGGTGAGCCTCAGTCTGGTGCTGCACTGGCTACACACACATGCACACTCACACACATGCACATGCACACTCATGCACATGGGCACACTGCCCCAGCCTCATTCCCAGGAAGCACGCCTATGGAGGAATGGGACAGCCATTAGGATGTCACCCCTCCAGTTCTGTGTGGTGGCCAGCTGCACCTGCTGTCTCTCCTTGGACGCAAGAATGAATGACCCCTCCTCCACCCTTCCTCCCTCAGGGCAAGCTGGGCCGCATCGGACCCCCAGGCTGCAAGGGAGATCCTGGAGACCGGGTGAGAATTCCGAGGCGCCTGGCTCCTCCCTCATGCCCAGCCCTGGCCACAGCCCTCAGGAGCTTCTGCTGGACTGGGTGCTGTGGGCCCACTCATTAGGGCCACCCTGTGGGGGGGGGGGTCTCATGGAGCCAGGGCCCGACAATAAGGTGGGAGACACCCTGAGGCTCAGAGGACAGGCTTTGCTGCCTGGCTCAGCCATCACAGCCCTGGCCAACACCGAACCTCCCTCCCTTCAGGGCCCTGATGGGTACCCAGGGGATGCCGGGAGTCCAGGCGAGCAAGGAGATCAAGGTGCCAAGGTGGGTGACACTGAGGAGAGTGCCTGTCCCCAAGGCCAGCTACGCATGACTGATACCTCCAGGAGCCCCTGAGGGGAGCACACTGCCCTGAGGTTGGGCAGCTCTGACTTGGCTGCCTGAGACTCAGACCCTGGCCTCTGCCCTGTGTGTCCTGTGACCTGTACCCCCTGGAGGGTGCAGATCTCAACCAGTAACTGACATCCTGGGTGCTCCCCAAAGCCCTCTGGTCCTGCTCCTCCCTACAGAGGGCTGAGCAAAACTCTCCAAACTCTTGCAGGGGGATGCTGGACGCCCAGGACGCAGGGGTCCCCCAGGAGACCCTGGGGACAAAGGAAGCAAGGTGAGCTCCTTGGGCTGGCCACCCAGCCACCAGTTGCTCTGCCCTCATGCATGTGAGGACAGAAAGACTAGGGTATGCTGACCACAGGCAGCTACTTGTTCTCTGCTGCCAGGTGCTGGGCACCCTAGGGCCACGTGCTCACAGCAGCTGCATTGTCCCTCCCAACCCCACCATACAGGGTTATCAAGGCAACAACGGAGCCCCTGGAAGTCCGGGTGTGAAAGGAGCCAAGGGCGGGCCTGGGCCTCGTGGACCAAAAGGCGAACCCGTGAGTCCCTGCCCCCCACAGCCACAGATTCTGGGTTCAGAGCAAGCAGAGTCTCCTTCTGTGGAAGGGCATTAGGGCTGCCCAGGTCTGAACTGGGGAGATGCCCAGCCCCCAGGCAGACTTGTGAGGAAACACAGCCTGAAAAACTGCAGCCCCTCAAACACCAGCTCCCCAGGACTACAGCCTGAGCAGGATCCCCTACAATCCCTGATCCATGAGAGGCAGAACCCACAAGCCAGAACCCCCAAGGAGGGCAGAGTCAAAATAGCCACCAACACGTCTGTCCCTACAGGGGCGCAGGGGAGACCCCGGAACCAAGGGCAGCCCAGGCAATGATGGCCCCAAGGGGGAGAAGGTAAGTCCTGCTGGGCCCAGCCACATCTGCACTGCCTTCTCACCCTTGACTCACAGACTCGGTCCATCCACAGCTGTCAGGGGAAACAACTTCCAGGAGGTCTCCCTGTGGTGGGAGCAAGGGCTGCTCCCAACAGGGTCAGGAAAAGTGGGGTACAGATAGGCAGGATTCTCACCGCCAGTTCTGGAGGACATGCGCCCGCCCCCCTTCCCACACAGGTCCTACACAGTGGTGCAGGCTGCCCACTGTCCCATCCCATCTGGTCCCTGCCACAGAGATGCAAGCTCTGGAGGACGATGCTAACGGGTTCTTGGCACAAGCCATCCTCACATCCCTAGAGACAGGGAGGCCTGCGCTGCCAAGGTGGCCAGTGGAGACCGGACAAGGCTATGGGGCGCACCCTTGTTCTAGCATCTAACCAGACAACTGGTCAGACCCTACACCACACATCCACACTGTCCCCAGCTGAGACCTGACCTAGCTCTCATCCCACAGGGTGACCCTGGCCCCGAGGGGCCCCGTGGCCTGGCCGGAGAAGTTGGCAGCAAAGGAGCCAAGGTACCAGAGGGCTGGGCAGGTGGTCAGGCTGGCAGGAGGGCCAGGCCTATTTCCCACCCAGGTATCAGGGTCTGGGCTCTGCCCCAGACCCAACCTCTAGATCTCTGATGACACCAAGAGGACACAGCCTGGTCCCTTCCTTTGCAGGGAGACCGGGGGCTGCCTGGACCCAGAGGCCCCCAGGGAGCACTCGGGGAGCCTGGGAAGCAGGTCAGTATCCAGCATCCTGTCTGCAGACCACCCCACAGGATCCTGGGCTCCATCTGCGGGCAGCACTGCTGGCTGCTGGCCACCATCCCATGGCAATGGGCCAAGGCCTCTCCATTGGCCCCATCCTGAACTGGAACCCTGTGGCCTGTGGATCAGAGCTACCTTGGGATGGGTCAGAGACCCTTGGGTGATATCTGTCCCTGTCACAACAACTGTGCCAACCCCCAGTTTCTCTCTTGCCTCAGGGATCTCGGGGAGACCCTGGTGATGCTGGACCCCGTGGAGAGTCAGGACAGCCAGGCCCCAAGGTACAGCTTCCCCTGGGCAGGGCTGCGGTGAAGGGCACTGGACAGTGACAGGGTTCAGCAGGGCCTTTGTGCTCCTCTCAGGGTACAGTCACTCCCCTAGACTGGGGACGGGATGGGGGCTGTGGGGTGTCCCAAGTCTCCCTACCAGGTGGGCTGCAGTGCCCTGCATGGCAGAATCCACTCATGACCCAGGCATTAGTGCCAACCCCTCCCCACCCATCCCATCCCAGCGCTGAGCCACTGTCCCTACCCCTTGCATGGTACACTCCAAGTGACCCTGCCTCTTCCTCCAGGGAGACCCTGGCAGGCCCGGCTTCAGCTACCCAGGACCCCGAGGGACACCTGTAAGTCTGGACCTGGGTCAGAGGCTGGGACGGGGCTGGACCTTGATCTCAGTGGCCCTGGAGGCCACCTCTGTTGGGTCAGGAGGTGGTGAGGGAGCCCAGCCTCAGGAACAGGCTGTGGGCATGGATGATGCCACGGCCCCTCCTGAGGCAAAGCCTGCTCCATGGGGCAAGCAAGCCTGATCTGTGTTTCCTTCCCAGGGAAACAAAGGCGAGCCCGGTCCACCCGGCCCTGAGGTATGTGGGCCCTGCCTGTCTGGTCCTCTCCACACTCCCAGGGTGGGGGTCTGCCTGCTGCATCCACGGTGGCCTCCATGGATGTACCCCTGACCTGTCTGGGCCCCACAGCCAGCCAGCCATGCATGGCAGTTGCCAGCCAGGTCCCTTTTGGACCAGACTTTGGGCTTCAGCTCTGCTGCTCAGCAGACCTGAGGTACAGCATGTCCCTCCTGACAAGACTCGTCAGCCCCTGGCCAGCTGCTGAAGGTCTCCGCAAGCAGTTGAGGCCTGGAGACCGATGCCCCCACCCAGACTAATGTGTGTGTCCCTGCCACAGGGAAGCCGAGGAGACTTCGGCATGAAGGGAAGACCTGGGAGGAAAGGCGCAAAGGGGGAACCCGTGAGTGTCATGGTCACCCTGCAGCGGGCGGAGCCAGACCTGAGTGCAGCCAGCACCTTCTGCTGACTGTGTCCACCGGTGTTGAGTGCCAGGCTGAACAGGACGTGGCTCAGGCTCCCATCACCCCATCCATCCTCCCCTATCACCACCTTGTGTCCCCTCCACCTTCATGGGCCAGGTGCCCAGCAGGCAGAGCAGCAGATGAGTGATTACATGAGGGCAGGACAGAGCTCAGGCAGGGTGGACACTGGGTGGACAGACAGATGGGAGCGCCATCAGTGAGTGCACAGGCAGAGGCACAGTGACTAGTGATAGGCACTTCTGTGCAGAGAGACAGGTGAGGGTGGGTGATGGACTGGGGCGTGAGGGACAGTGGCAAGTAGACAGTTGGGGGGAGAGTAGCCAGGGCCAGGGTCCACGGCCTGGGTCATCACCCAAACAACTCTACACTCTGCAGGGCCCTCTGCCTGCCCTAGGGGCAGAGCCTGGGGGTTCCCTAGTGGAGGGTAACGTCTGCTATGCCCAGAAGGAAGACAGGGCTGCTTTGGGGGAGCAGAGACCCACCAGCGCATTGCTGAGCCCACCTGCCCTTTCCTCCACAGGCTGACCCTGGTCCCCCTGGAGAACCAGGCCCTCGGGGACCAAGAGGAGAACCAGGACCCGAGGTGGGCAATCCCCATCCCTATCTGCATGCCAGGGTTGGCCTGGATCCAGATCCACTAAGCAGTGGCCCCGCTGTTCTTGTGTCTCATTGCCTTCCTTCCTGCAGGGTGAGCCTGGCCCCCCCGGAGACCCTGGCCTCACGGTAGGTGTCACAGGATGGACTTGGCATGTTTGTCTGGGTTTTTTCAATTTGAGTTTTGTATTTTTTGTTTTGTGTTGTTTTGTTTTGCTTTTTGTCTTTTTGAGACAGGGTCTCTTGGGCTGGGGGTTTTAGCTCAGTGGCACAAGTGCCTGCTTGGCAAATACAAGGTTCTGAGTTCAATCCCTGGTACCCACCTCAAAAAGAGACAGGGTTTCCCTGTGTAGTCCAGGCTGGGCTTGAACTCACAGCAATCCTCCTGCCTCACCTCCTGTGTGCCAGGATTCCCCCTTGCCTGGCAGTGTGCCTGTCTGAAAGTGTCTTTCTTGTTCCTAAACACCAGCAGCAGGGCCAGCAGCCTAGGGTGGTGGTCAGGTGAGGTCAGGAGTTAGGTCAGAGGGCAGGGGTATGCAGTCATAGCCAGCCACCTCTATCCTTGGTCTCTGCTACACGAGGGCAGGGGACATCACCATGTCCAGGTGGACACCATCCCGGGGATGCCCTGAGGTGGGTGTGAACATCACCGTGTCCAGGCAGGTGCCCTCCAGGTATACGCCCTGAGTCACTGCCCTGTGTCTTTGCAGGAGTGTGATGTCATGACCTATGTGAGGGAGACCTGTGGATGCTGCGGTGAGTCCTTCCCCACATCCCCCTCTTTGGACCTGGGGGTCTCTTGCTTCCCCGCCTGCTGCCCTCTGACCCTGCCACCCCCCAGACTGCGAGAAGCGCTGTGGCGCCCTGGATGTAGTCTTCGTCATCGACAGCTCCGAGAGCATTGGCTACACCAACTTCACCCTGGAGAAGAACTTCGTCATCAACGTAGTCAACAGGCTGGGCGCCATCGCCAAGGATCCCAAGTCAGAGACAGGTTAGTGAGGGGGTGTCCCTGGAAGTGCCTCCTCTCCCTGCATCACAGGGCCCTCACACTGGCCCATTGCAGGGACGCGTGTGGGTGTGGTGCAGTACAGCCACGAGGGCACCTTCGAGGCCATCCAGCTGGACGACGAGCGCATCAACTCCCTGTCCAGCTTCAAGGAGGCCGTGAAGAACCTGGAGTGGATTGCAGGCGGCACCTGGACGCCCTCTGCTCTCAAGTTCGCCTACAACCAGCTCATCAAGGAGAGCCGGCGCCAGAAGACACGCGTGTTTGCTGTGGTCATCACAGATGGGCGCCACGACCCGCGTGATGATGACCTCAACCTGCGGGCACTGTGCGACCGCGACGTCACAGTGACAGCCATCGGCATCGGTGACATGTTCCATGAGAGGCACGAGAGCGAGAACCTCTACTCCATTGCCTGCGACAAGCCACAGCAGGTGCGCAACATGACGCTGTTCTCTGACCTGGTGGCAGAGAAGTTCATCGATGACATGGAGGAAGTGCTGTGCCCAGGTGAGGGGCCACACCTGGAGGAGTGGGCACCACGCCCAGGGGAGGGTTCCAGTGCTCAAGTGTGGGGGATAGAGAGGTCCCTCTGCCCAGATGAGGACAAGGCCTCTGCCCAGGTAAGAGGGGCCTTTGCCTAAGTGGCCAACGGCCACTGTCCACAGGGCAAACCATTGGGCGGCCACTGAAGGCCTCTCTCTTCTCTTTCAGACCCTCAGATTGTGTGCCCAGAGCTTCCCTGCCAAACAGGTAATGCAGGCTCCCTGTATCCCCACCCCAGGCTAGCAGAGCAGTGCTGGCATCCTCCCTGCTAGCTGCCAGGGCCAGCTGAGGAGCTCATGTGACCCAAGGCCATGCACTGTAGGGACATCCCCCAGGGAAACACCCTTGGGATTTGTAGCCCCAGGGCCCAGCATGGGAGAGCTCGGCATCAGACCCAGTCTGAGCTGTGTGTGGTTCCAGGCTGTGCTGGGCTGGGATGGGCATTCTGCAGAGAGGGAGCCCCTGCTCTTGGCCTCCAAGTCTCCCCATGGGCTGGGTGGGCATGTCTTCTAGGTTTGGAGGACAAAATGGCTGATGTCAGACTTCTGAGGCAGCTGTGCTAACAGCCATGCAGCCCCCGACTGCTTGCTTTAACCCTACCAGCAGCCTTCAACTCCTGCTCTGAAGTGCCAGGCAGGAGGGGCGCCCAAGCCCAGGGCTAGGAGGGCAGTGTCTGTGTTCCTCCTCCTAGCCGTGGGCCACTGAACACCAGGGCCCAAGGCGCTAGCCTTCCCAGGAGTGCTGGGGACCCTGAGTTCCCCGGGAGTTTCCATGGAGATGGTGGTGTCCCGGGCACAGGCAGTGACCTCAGAATCTATGTGCCAGTGGGGTAAGGCAGTGTGACAGGCCAGTCCTCTCATGCTGTGCTGTGCCTGAGTGGGTGCTCTGTGCAGCTCTCGTGAGCCTGGTCATGCGCTCTTAACAGCCACTTGAGCCTGGTTGCTGCAAGAGGCAGAGTCTGAGAACTGCACTGAGAGGCCTGGTGGGACCCCAGGGGACCAGCCTCTTCTACAGGCATGCCTGGCCACAACACAGGTCTGAGCCCCAGGTAGGTCAGGGCTCAGTGCAGCTCTGCATATGGGGAGCAGACCACACACAAGTGCAGCCCCCAGAGCAGAGGCCAGGTCACCCACAGCCCGGCATCCTGCCTTGCTCCTTATCTCTTGAAGGGGCTCAAGCCATTCTCGGGCAACATGGCTGGGCCTTTGCATGGTTGCAGCAGTGCCTACTGAGTGCTGGTGCCCGAATTCACTCCTGGAGCGCAGTCATCTGTGCATTCCACTCCAAATCTCCCTTTTTCCCCCAAGACCATTCTGGCCTCGGGGCACAGGGCCCCAGGACTTGGACCGGGCAGGTTATGAGGGGGCACACCAGCTCTGGTAGGGTGACGGTGAGTGGGTAGAGAGGAAACAAGGACCTTGGCCACTCTCAGCCCACAGCCCACCAAAGCTTGAGACCCCACCTAACCCCTCCTGCCCCAGCCTCCAGAGCCCCTGCTGAACTTACTGAGTGCTCCTTCCTTCATGGCCACCTGTGGCTACCGGCAGATTAGATAGGGGCACTTTGGAACGCACTTTACAAAGTCCTGGGTAAGCATCCTGGGCCACCCCACCCCCCATCCACCCAGAAGCCCAGCAAGGGACAACTCAGCCATATTGGAACACCCAAGGGTGTCAGAGAAACAGGACCAAGAGAAGCTGCTGTGAGCCTGCGTCTAGGAAGGGGTCAGATGCGGGGACCCAAGCCACTGTAGGGCAGAGCCTGCAGGGCCAGGCTGCTCCAGCTGCCCCAGGGTTTGCTGATGACTGCTTCCTGAGTCAAGGGAGCAGAGAGGGAGCAGGATAAGTGAGCTCCTGTGGTGGGCCTGGGTTGCAGTGCAGGGGGCTCACTGCTGCTCTCCAGGCGGCGTTCCCAGGATGCGGCCTTGAGCTACAGAGACAGTGGTGGCCACCTGGTTGGCCTGTCTGCCCAGAACATGCCCTGGCGGTCTCCAGTGGCCTCAGGTGCCACCATACAGCCTCCTCCCTCCAATCGACACTTGTTGCCAGCTCCCCACCTGGCACCTCCTGCCCGGCCACACGCCTGCCTCACCAGCAGAAGCTCCACGCATGCGCCTGCCCAGCGCCATCCCCCTGGTCCTCGCGCTACCTCCATGGAGAGCCCCGACGTGCCTGAGGCCCTAACACCTTCTCTGGACACCCCTTGCAGATGGACAGAGGCCTGGCAGCGAGTCGCCAGTCACCTTCCTCCGCACGGAAGAGGGGCCGGACCCCACCTTCCCCAGGACCATCCCCCTGATCCAACAGTTGCTAAACACCACGGAGTTCACTCAGGACCCGGCCTCCTACTCCCAGCTGGTGGCTGTGATGGTCTACACTGCTGAGCGGGCCAAGTTCGCCACGGGGGTGGAGCGGCAGGACTGGATGCAGTTGTTCATTGACACCTTTAAGCTGGTGCACAGGGATATCACAGGGGACCCCGAGACCGCACTGACACTGTGCTGAGGTCACAGGCTGCTGTGCCAAGCTTGCAGCTTGTAGCTTTTCAGGGCTGCCCCTAACCAGGGCCTCAGATGCAGGAATTTGCCTTCCCACATGGTCTGGAGGCCCCTAGTCTCCATTTGAAGCCTCGAGGGCCATGACCCCCAGAGCTCCAGGGAGACTCCTCCCGCCTTCCCAAACCTTCCCACGGCCTCCTCTGTGTGTCTCTGGGCCCCTGCTCCATGTAAGGACACCAGTCACTGGACTTAAAGCCCACCAACTCCAGGACATCACCTCCCTCGATCCTCCACTTAGGGCTAAGGTGGCAGAGGGCTTGCCTGGCACCACACAGAGTCTCAACTGAGTTCCCCCGTGCAGTGCTCGTCTCTGAAAGTGACCTTCACAAGCTCTTTTGATTGGATGGGGGTGTCCATAGCAATTATTATGTCATCTGGCCTTGTGGCCCCTCTCCTGGCGAGCTGAACATGGAGGGGGCGGGGGGAACTGCAGTGGAGAGTGTGAAATCCCCGACCCCATTCTGGTTGAGCCCAGACATTGAGAGAACTGGGTCTTGGGGCTGGGGATTGATATGGGGGTGGTGATGCACATGTGCTCAAAGCACAGTGGTCCATGTGAAGGTCCCCAGGGCTGGGTGACAATCCTTTGATCTCCTGACACCATGACCCCATTTGAACTGGTGTCACTTATTAGTCAAACACCCAGAGCTGCCCCATCCTGGCATCTGCACCCCCAGCCTGCCTCCTGAGTTCATGGGGCATCATCAGGGAGCACCTACTGGGCAAGACCTGTACGGCCCTTGACTGTGTGAGCTGAGCATGGGGTGAGGTCCTCTCGCATTGTGGGGACAGCTGAAGTGACCACAGCAAGTCACCACCACTAAGCGAGCTGAGTCATGGAACCTGTAAGCCAAAGGAGCACCCAGTCCTTCTGCCATCCATGCGCCATCCTATGTAGGGGCACAGGCAGGAGAAAGGAGCCCACAAAAGGGGGAGGCAGAGCCTGAGAACCCAGCTATCTGCCGTGCATCCCCGTCACCTCCCTGAACCAGCCGCCCTTCTGAGTGTCCACCCATGTCTGTGGGAACCACTATGAAATAGGTCTTAGTTCAGGGGGCTCGGGGATTCCTGCAGTCCCTGAGGACTTACCAGGTGCACCAAGTGAGTTCCAGCAGCAGTTTGCACTAAAACGAGCTCCATGGTGAATAAGCTCACGGAAATGTCTGTCTGCAGCAGATGCACTCTCGCCAGCACAGGGCTGTCCTCAGGCACCGAGAGCAAAGGCCAGATGCTTTACAAAAGCTGAAATGTACAGAGGGAATGCATTGCTGTAGTCAAGTGGGCTTCTGGCAGGCTGCATCTTCAGGCCCCTCAAGCTGGTGGGACCTGAGTGTCCTGGGGGTACTGCTGGGGTAGGACCTTATTCCTAATGGGATCCCCAGGTGTCTAAGGATCTAGGTTGTAACAGCATCCTCCCCTTTCCACTCTGAAGGACCCACCTGTGTCCCTGATATACGGACAGTTGAGTTCCAGTGCAAGGTCTCTGAAGCCATGTTTGGGTGAAGGCTTGGCCTCAGCCCTGACTGCAGCTTTACACTGTCCCTCCTGACCAGGGCTGATGACTGCCCACATGGGAAAGGGTCACAGTGCATCTCAGTGGGGCCCACACCAGTTGCTCAGGGTCTGACCGCACTGTGCTGGTGCATTAGAAACCCTCACCAAGTTGGAAGGGATACAGCTGTCATTCTGGAAGAGATGTGGCCCAGACAGCTGCAGGGGCTTGGAGCAGAGCAGGCTGAGACTTGGCAAGAGAGGGTCATGGGCCAAGGGCCTTTGAGAGGTCCTCCTCCCCTCCCACCTGAAGATGGCCCTTGTGCAATGGCTGTGGACAGGAGGACCTGGAGGTGACCCCTCTGCCCAGGTCCCCAGCTTGAGTCTGGTACTAGTCCTGGTGGGAGGACTCCCAGGGAGGTGGTGGCAGGCTCAGGGGACCGGGACACATTTCCAGTGCAGCCTGGCCGAGAGCCCCTAGACCCCAACACTCCTGGCATCCACCAGTTGCCCACCCGTCCCCACCTCGCATTTCCCCTGCAGAGCTGTACGTGGCACAGTGCACACAGCGGCCCGTGGACATTGTCTTCCTGCTGGATGGCTCCGAGCGGCTGGGTGAGCAGAACTTCCACAAGGCACGGCGCTTCGTGGAGGAGGTAGCCCGGCGCCTGACTCTGGCGCGCAGGGACGACGACCCTCTCAACGCCCGGGTGGCACTGCTGCAGTTCGGGGGCTTGCAGGAGCAGCAGCTGGCCTTCCCACTGACCACCAACCTGACTGTCATCCAGGAGGCACTGGAGGACGCCCGCTACCTCAACTCCTTCTCACATGTGGGTGCAGGCGTGGTGCACGCCATCAACCATGTGGTGCGTGGTGCACGGGCTGGGGCGCGGCGCCACGCCGAGCTGTCCTTCGTGTTCCTCACTGATGGTGTCACTGGCAACGAGAGTCTAGAGGAGGCGGTGCACTCCATGCGCAAGCAGAATGTGGTGCCCACTGTGGTGGCTGTGGGCAGTGATGTGGACATGGATGTGCTCACCAAGATCAGCCTGGGCGACAGGGCCGCCATCTTCCGTGAGAAGGACTTTGACAGCCTAACACAGCCCAGCTTCTTTGACAGGTTCATTCGCTGGATCTGTTAGCAATGCCTGCCCACTGTGCCTGTTACCACCCTACCCAAGGTGCTAACCAGACCCCAGCCCGCCGGGCTGGCCGGGCTGTGCACTGGGCCTCTCTGCTCGTGAGAGCCCCTCCTCCCAAGGAGGCCAGGACCAGAGGACCCTGAGCCGGAGACATGGCCCCTCCAGCTCCCTGGGATCCCCTCCCGCCTCTCTGTCAAGTCCCCATGCCCAGAGGCCCCCAGTGCCCACTTCCGGGCTCTTCCCTCAGCCCCTGCTTCCCTCAACTACCTGCAGCCCCTCCAAAAGCTTCTGCCACCCCCACAACCCCTGTGTGGATCCTGCTGTCACCCTGACCCCTGCAAGCTAGACTTATACCATGTGCCCCATACTCCACAGCCCAATAAAGGCTTTGAACCTGCAGGTGCTGCAGCTCTTGTGTTTGTGCCTGGCACAGATCTCACCAGCTGTACATGCGGCCTGTCCTCCCTCCCAAGACTGCTCATTATCCTGCATCTCCCAGACCGCAGTGGGCAGGGACTGCAGCAAGGTCCCGGCTGCTCACTTCTCAGGCCCTGAGCTCGGCACAGCCCCGACCTGTGGGCAGCGGGCTGGGGACACTGCTGTGTAGGCAGGCAGTTAGTTCCTGCCAGCTCTCCAGGAGACTCTCGGAGACAGATAGCCTGCTCAGCTCATGCCACACAGCTCTGAGACCACAGGGCCTCCAGCGCTCAGCGTCTTGCAGCGCTGAGCCCAAATCCAGCCTGGGGCAGCAGCAGGCAGTGCTTCCCCCTGAAGGGCTTCTGTGCCTGCCAGCTCAAGACTCGGATAGCTCAAAGCCCCATTGCTGACTTCAGGTGGCGCTCTGACTGTCCAGATGCTCACCCCACTCCTTTGTTTACGACAGTGGATAAGTTTTTATTGAACCATCTAGTTTGCGACATGAGGAAAAGCAGTTCTCTGTGACCAAGATGTTACACAGTGGTAATAAAGTATTGTAGAGTTCGGGGATTGCTGAGGGATGACATCTCTCAAAAGTCAGGCCTGGGAGTTTTAACACTGAAGCCTTGACTTTTCTGGGTGACCCTTCCCTTCTGAGAGCCACAAGCCACATTCCCTGCGTTTCAAGGTCAAGTGTTGTCATTGTTGCTGTTTTACGTCTGAAATGAGTTACTCGGATCACTACCCACTAATCCTGCCACAGAGGTGTGTTTCACAGTTGGTGGAACTCGGCAGTGGACTCCCCCTTCTCACCGAAAGCCTCCCTGGCCCTGGTCCTGCTCTTCTGTTGTATTCACCACCAATGATGCCAAAGCCACCCCCTGGTAACTGCTTCACACTTTTCACATTCTTCTCCCAGCCTGTGCGAGCAACAAGGTGGACAGTGCTCCTTTCCACCAGCCAGAGCAGCACCCACCTTTCAGAGAGAGCTGGCCGTGTCCCCATTATCACCCAGCCTTTTCGACTTCCGGTGGACACTCGTCCAGTCTCTTTAGACCAGTTTCTCTGGATTTCTCTTTCTTAGTGTCACTTTTTACTTGCTCACTTTATCCTTTGGGCACCCTGGAAATGCTTGGTTTCAACAAGATAATTATAGGCTGTAAGCTGGAGGTCCTCATTAGCCTTATAGCTGTATTTTTTAATATTTCTTAATAATTTATGCTCTGAGAGCAATGAATCTAGACTGAAGTCCTACAGAAACTTGATGATGCTTTTCCTTGGGCAGCTGTTCCACAGCTCACACCTACTACCGTCTTCCTCACCACTTCTGCCTAATCCAAGTCCCCTGTTCATAAAGGTGCCCAGTCATCCTGGAGTAGGGCTCGCCATGCTCCAGTGTGTCCTCTGCATGTCTTCTTCCAAATCAGCTCACATTCTGACATGCAAGACCTGAGATCGGGGGGCAACCCTCTTCCCCATAGTGCTGTGCGTTACCTCATCTGTCCCCTCTCGGGCATCACCCATTCATTTTTAATATTCTGCCTCTGCCTCTGGACTGTGCAGCTTGCCCACTGTTATGGTGCCCTCTGCTCCTTCCCTCTTCACAGGAAACAAGAAACCTATGCACTCCTTAAGTCCCTGCCCCCTGAGTGTCATTCTGCACCACCACACTATCACCAAAAACTTCCTGAGGAAGGGAAAGCAGAGGGACACAGGGCCATCTACCCATCAGAGCTCATCCCGCACAACTGTGACCTAGATCCCTCTGAAGAAAAATGGCATCACTATGTGTGACACCAAGCCCTGCACATGCACCTCAGAACCAGGGACGCTAAGGACAGTCCAAGAGAGGGGGTGTCTGAAATCAGTGATTGGCAGCATCCATTTGCTCACCAGTGTCCCTTTACCAGCTATTCCAGACAAGTGAGTGCTACCAAGAGCCCCACAGCAGCATGCCCTCACCCATGTTCTCTCACACACCTGTCCCTTCCAGCACACCCATGGCTTCCTCCCAAGGTCTGTTCACTTACGACCTGGGCACATCATCCCCTCACCAGTGTCCCTGCCAAAACATCCACACACTGGTACACACACCAACTTTTCACCATCATCCCCTCACCAACATCATGCCAAGTATACCCACTCCAATATGCCAGAACGTCCCCACAAGTATACCCACTCACTGACATGCACACACTGACATCTTATCGATGCTTCCTCAAGAACGTGCCTTTCCCAGAACACTAAAATCCCATCAACAAAATCTACACCCCAGTGTTCCCTCACCAACATTCCTTCCCCGGCTTCCCAACAGAAACATTCCCTTAGCAACATCCCCTCACCAAAATGCTGTCGCCAACCGCTGTCACCAACATGTGCTCATCAATATCCCTGTTCCAGCGTCACCACACAAGTGCCCTCACCCGTGTCCCCTCCTCAACACTCATTCCTCAAAATCCTGCCTTCAACTTTGCATCAACGAATCCCTTCCTCGACATCCTTACATCAGGCCTCCGCCTCCTCTTACCAACACCCCTTCTTCAACACCCCCAGCACCCCTCATCAACAGCTGCTCAACAGTGTCCTCGTACCAGCATCCCTCACCAACAACCCCTCCTGAGATTCTCCTAAGCAATGTCCCCTCACTGTCATACTCTTGACATCTTCACCAAGTCCCCAAATGAAATATCTGTCCCCAATGTCCCTTTAGAAGCATCCCCTCACCAGTGTCTCCTCAGCATTGTCCCTTACTGACATCACCTCACCTCATTGATACACCCACATCCCCTCACTGATCCCCACACGCAAAGGGCTCCTTACCATCATCTCCTCTTGAACATCCCACACAGTATCACTCCACTGACACCCACTCAACAATGTCCCCTACCTTGTCCTCGCCATGTCCACACCAACTTGCCCTCACCAATACCCCAACCACCATCTCCCAGACCAACATATCCACATGAGAGCCCCATTACCAATGCCTCCCATTACCAATATCCCAACACAAATGTCCCACCAGCATCCCCTCACCAGTATCCCCTCACCAACATCACCTGACATGCACATCCACATTGTCAACTGACAAACATCCCCTCACCATCATCAGCTGACCATGCCCAAGCCACAATTCCCTCACTGCCGTGGCCTTTCCACCATCTCCCCACTCATGTCCTGCAGACCCCTCGTGGTAGCTGTGGGCCATCTGTCCTGCACCTCATTCAGTGCTGGCCTAGGAAGAAGCCTGTCTCAGGCCACAGAAAACTCCTGCAGGAACGTATTAGGCACTTCCCATACCCCATCTTCTTTGAACCCTTGCCTAAGGCTTTTCCCCGCCACAGTCCAGACAGCCCTACCTTGCCCTCTTACAGGACCTTCTCACCTATGACCTCTTCATAAAGAGGACTCCATCCAACCACTCCATTTGATACAGGAGAGAGAGTTCCCATGAACTCTAAGTCCTGTGGCTCCCAAGGCCCCACCCACTTCTGGGTTACAGGGATGGAGAGAGGCAGACAGAGCTGGGTCAGGGAGGCCCATCCCTAGGCTTTGCCTGTGGAGGGGCTGAGGGAAGTGTTCCACTTTTGTGGAGATTCTGAGGGCAACTCAGATACACAGGGAAAGGGAGGCAGAATAGGTTAGGCATAGCCTCTGCCCTTGGAGCTCAGGACAAATCTCTGAATGCCACATCTTTGTGGGGTGGCCCCTGAGACCCTGCAGCCCTGGGAGCCCTTCCCCCACCCCAGGTTGGCCTCTCCTAGATAGGACCCAACTGAGCTCTGAGGAAGGACTTCTTGGCCAGGAGTTAGGTGCTGGTGGTCTTTCTGCTCCCCACCTGCTTGCAGACCCAGCTCCTGCACAGGGCCAGCCCCCCACCACAGGGAAATACTACCCACGAGTCCTGAACCCCAGACACTGGTCCTTCCCTCTGCTGGCCTTTCTTAAAACCTGGGTCTGAACCCTCCAAATTAACATGGCCTGTTCCCTTTGGTATTTTCCAGTATGTGTTCTGCTGAAACAGCTTGATGAACCATGAAACTACCTCTTTCTGGTCCTCACAGAGGCCTGAGCCCTACAGCCTGCAGCCCAGAACCTTCCAGTACAAGTGCACACAGAATCCAGTGCAGGCCCAGCACCCCAGCCCCACAACTGCCTGATGACACCAAGCTGGGACACCTGGAGAAAATACCCCCGAAAAGCATGGGGCTGGTGGGGTCGCAGAGGTGGCCATAGCTACTACGAATGTGGCCCCCATCCACCCTGTGCACACCTGGCCCCAGGACCCAGGAAGAGATGTCACTCCCTGGGAATCCCTCCACTCATGTAGCCACCTCCTCCTGGCTCCTGACCCATAACTCTGCAACAGTGGACAAATCTGTGGACACAGTACCAGGGCCATAGCCATCCAAAGACACAGCCTGGGAGAAGGTCAGAGGCTCGGGTAGGGGATGAGCCCAGGATCCACAACCACTGTGTCCAGGAGCCCCGAGAGCCTCATAAGAGAGGAGCCACAATGGGGACAGTGAAGGCCTTGTAGGAAGCATGGGGGGTATGGGGACAGCGAGAGTCCATGCTTGGCATCTCTGAGCTGAGAATCAAGGGTGGCCCTGGCCCCAGCATGGTGGGGTCTTGGGATGTCCCTTAGTGAGGACAGGCACTGTGGGTGCAGAGGCTTCCCAAAACAAGGCCTGCACCATGGAATCACCAGTGACTTATGTCACCAGACCCAAGCCCCAGAATCCATGAAGCCTGGACAGGCACAGATCCACGGGGCCATCCTGGCCTGCCCAGGTGGCACCACATGCCCCATGGGACCAACACAAGGGCTGTGGTTCAGGCTAGTGGCAGAGCCATGGGGCAGACCCCATGGCTATGGAGCTGGCTGGTGGGAGAGGGACAGGTGGGACCCCTTAGTCCTAAAATATCTTGCCCTGTCACAGCCTAGAAGCCCTGGGGGAAAAGCCTGGGCCAGCTGTGACTCAAGGAAAAAAGCAGAGGACCAAGAGTGGGACAGGACCCAGAGCCTTTAAGGCAGAGGCAGTAGCATCTCAGACTTAATGGATCAGGGCAGAGCTGGCCCTTGGACACTGTCATGAGAGCCCACTGCCTCTGCCCCTCACCCTGCATGGTGTGAGGTTACTCCTGCCTGGGTACTTTAGGAGGCCTTTGGGCTACACCAGGGACACAGTAGCCTGGAGAGCTCCCTCACTGAGCTGGCAAGGCAGGGACACCTTGCAGCCCTCACCAAGGTCCCTGAGGAGAAGAGAGTGATGAGGGCCTCAGCATGCCACCTCACCCAGCCTATCCCACACCCTGCTCCTCTAGCAGCAAGCAAGGCATCCCCGGGACCAAGCCATGGAATTCACACCCTTGGCACAGTGGGTCCAAGGCTCTGAGCTCCTCACTGCCAGTTCCTGACCATTGTGGCCCACCAGGGCAAAGCAGGTAGATCTGTCCCTGACCCAAGGCACATCTGGGACCCACTTTCCCTGTGGCTCAGCCTTGTTCCCATTCATTTCACAGGATTACCATGTCTTGAGCAGGGATGAGGGACAGGGACCCACGGCTCCACCACTGCTCCTGAGCATGGCCCTGACAGACTGCAGAGGCTGCTGTCCCACAGCAGTGGCACCCAGCAGGTCCCCACAATCATGAGGACAGAGGGGCTGCCCAGCCCCAGCAACCCAGCCTCTCAACCCCATGGTCCCCTCCTCTCTAGGAGTTGGAGTCTGAGAAAGACCTGCTGTACCCGCTCAAGAGACCACTAGTACCCAGGATTGGCTGTGGTACTTTCAACCAACCCCTGACTCAAAGCCAACCCTGAGGTGATTCCACTGCAAGCCAGGACACCTTGGTTGGGGTAAGGGAGGGACAGGTTGAGCTGGCTGGGCCCAGGTCCTGCAGGCCAGCAGCACCTGGAAGCACAAAGGCATGAGTTGAATATGAACTATACCAGAGCCCTGGGACTCGATGGCTGTACATGGGGCTCGCAGCCAGCCTCTTCTTGCAAGTGCCCATGGGACTACACTGGCTGCCCTTGGGGGATCCTTGGCCTTAGTGAAGCAGCCAACAGAGCCTCTGTGCCTGCGGCCCTGTGCCCCTGGGAAAAGGCACAGCAGGCATCCCTTGGGCCACAGAGCTCAGGGACCCCTGGGCCTCCTGCTGGCCTCACACACAGGTACCTGAGTGCCGTCCAGGGCCCAGGCTGCTCAGGCTCCTGCCCCCCCAGTCTGATACTGGGCACCGTGGGTATCACTGCCTGTTGGATGCATTTTCTTTTTCTTATCACTTCCCTCAGGTGACCACATCATTTTCCAAAGCAAGAGTTTAAATTTCCAGGTAGTGAGGCCTGTCCCCTTGACATTCAGGGTTTCACTTGCTCAAGAAAAATGAACCCCAAGGACAGTTATGCCTGTGGGCTGTGTGTGGAGGAGCCAGCTGGGAATGATGGGCAGTGAGCCTTTAATTAGCGTGGCCCCCAGAGGACAACTTAGGCACATGCCGCCCTGTGAAGACCACAAAGACACAGCAGCCAACAGAGCCTCTGTTCCTGCGCCCCTGGGGTTTCCGGTCCCAGCCCAGGGCCCCAGGCAGCTGTATTGGGCCTGTGTCAGTGGCCCCACCACAGCTCCTTCACCACTTCCTACCCTGGCCCTTTCCCAAGCCCTAGTACCCTGTGCACATCATATGTTCAGGCTTTAATGGGGGGATACAAGTGACCAAGGGTGACAGGCTGACCCTGCAGGGAGCCCAGATAGGCCGTAACCCAAGCCCTACCATGTTCCCTTCCTTTACGCCTTCTGACCCAGGGGACAAGATGGGGCTCCATCCTAAAGGGACTGGAGGCCTCATTGGATAAGAAGGTCCCCACTGTTCGCCACTTCGCCGGCTATCACGCCTGCCGGGCCTCCAGGCTGTCCAGCACCTGCGCAGCCTGGATCTTGGCTTCCTGAAGGAGGCTGGAGATGCGCTGGTGAGTCTGAGAAACACAGGAAAGGGTGGCGTCACCCTGTGCCTGCCTGGCCTGCTGCTGCCAGACCCCATGGACTCCTCTTACCTTCACCCTGACCTGCGCCCCCCCTGGGTGCCTGGGTGTCCTGGGCAGCACCTCTGAGGTCCCCCAGCATGAGCAGAAGCACAGGGACAGTCAGGCCCACAGACCCCAAGACAGCTGTGATCTGTGCTCAGAGGGGCAGCACCCATGGTGGGGAGAGGGTGCAAGAGGCCACAGGCCACCACACCACATCAGAACTCAGCCTTGAATCACAAAAGTTGTCCAAGATGCCCAAGAGCAGGGCTGGGGACAACAGGGTCCAAAAATGGTGGGGCTTCCCTAGAGAGGACCTCAGGGGACTTGCTGGAATTGGCAGCTGCAGGACAGAAGCATGCTAAAGACCACTGAATGGGACAATTGAACATGCTAATTGTGTGTTCCATGAGATCTACTTTAAGAATAATACTGAAAAAATATTAGTAATAAAAGTTATGACACAGCAGCCACGGTCCTGACAAGATCTGTCCCCAGAACCCATTGCTTCTCTGGCCCCCATGTCTCTGGAACTTGGAGGCCTCTGGAGAGCAGGGGACATGGGATGGGGGTGGGCATGGGAAGGAGACAGTGGCACAACCCTAGAGACGACACCTGCCCCGGAGTCCTGCAGCCCCCAGGCCACCCCACACAGAGCCAGCCCACTCGCCTGCTCCTTGAATGCCTCCTCAGCCACGTCCCGAAGGTTGGTGAGCACGTTAAAATAGGCACCAAACACGCTTGTCTCCAAGGCTTTGGCTGCCACCTGCAAGGATGCAAGGAAGTCAGGCTGGCTACCACCTCACAGGAAGCTCGCCCATTAGGAAGGGCAGAGATGTCCTAGGGGCCCACACAAAGCCCCCCTCTCCAATACCTGCAGGTCAGATCGGCAGGCCAGGTTCGCACAGAGGGCCAGCTCCTGCAGCACTGGCCACAGCCGGGACACTGTCTCCGCCAACACCAGGGGCACTTCAACTGCCCGCCTCAGTCCCTCCTGCAGGGCAGCTACACGTCTGGAAGGTGGGGACAATGGGTTGGCAGGAGTAGGGCCTGCGCTGACCCCAGGCCTCCTGTCAGGGCCAAGCACACAGGGCCCCCTAACACATGAGGATGGCCATTCAAAGACCATCTGACGGGGCCACCCTGACCACTGGCACCAACCTTTCCTCCTCCTCAGGTGTTTTTGTGGGCAGCTTCATTGCCTCCTGACAGGAAAAGACCATAAGCAGACTGAAACAGCAGCAGCTGTGTCTGCAAGCACGCCCAAGGGACAGTGATGGAAGTGATGGAAGACACTCCTGGGACAAAGAGGGGCAGCCAAGAGCACCCTGACGTCCCGCACTACGGTGCCAGCACTTGCCAGGGGTACATGATGGCAGCACAGGCCAGGGCCCAGGAACAGTGCTTGAGAACGCCATGGAGAACTTGTGGTTTACACCCCTTGGCATCAGCTCCTCGAGGGAGGGGCCAGCTAGGAGGTGAGAGACCACAAGGGGGCATGGAAAGAGCAGGGACCAGCACTACTTGGGGCCATAATTTCAGAGGATTTTTGGGTCTAGGTGGTACCCAATATTCTGTCAGATATTCTCGAAAAGCATGAGGAACCCTAACCTCAAGTGTTGACATCAATTTAATGTGACACAGGCAAGGCTGCTAGAACAAGCTGGAGTCAAGCAAACCACACAGCAGAGAGCAGGGAGCAACCACTGAGCAGAGAGCAACTCTAACCCTAACCCAACTAAAACCTAACTCCAACCCCACCCTAACTCTAATCCCTAGCCCTGCCCAACTCTAGCTCTAGTGCATAACCTCAGTCCTAACCATAAACCAAACCCGGACTCTAAACACAACCCAAAACCAAGCCTCAACCGAAACCTTAACCTTAATCTTACCCAAACCCAAACCTGACCCTGACTATAACCTGAACCTTAACCCCAACCCTAACTACAATCTCAGTTCTAAAGCCATACCTCTCCACAATCCGTAACCCAAAAGAAGCCCAAACATAATCCTAACATTAACCCAATACACAAACCTAACCTAACCTAACATGGAGCCATATCCCGAACCCCACCTAAACCCAAACCCCAGCCATAACCCTAACTCTAACCTCAGCCCCTAGCACAGTCAGAGTCCTAACCCCACCCCAACCCCAGCCCATAGCAGGGGCCTTTTCCAGATGGTGATCTCCTCTCCTGGCCCATGTGGCCCCTTGTCACTCAGGCTAATGGCTCATCCGCAGCATCCTCATTCCTCCACCAGGATTTCTGCCTCTCACCTGGCTTAAGGCAGGGTCTTCTCTGATTGCTCTTCCTGCAGGTCTGGGGCCTGGGTCCCAGCTTACCTCCTGGAGGCCTCAGTCCTCCCGTGGTCACAGCCTGTGTCTGCACCTCCCCACAGACTCCCAGCTGGCAGGGCTCATGAGCCACAGCTTCCCCTGGATCCACCTGTTCCCAGGTCTCCCCAGGCTCTGCTCACCAGGCAGGCAGTGAAGGCCTGGGCATCAGCATCCACCAGAGAGGCCAGCTGGGTCGATGCCTCATGGAAGGGTGGGATCAGGCGCCGCATGGCTGTGTCCAGGTGTTCAAAGCGGCGCCTCCCATAGGTCATCTGGCCAGCCATGCAGGCCAGTGCTACACCCTGGGGATAGGTATGTGGACTTCCTGTCTTGGGGATGGGATGGGATCCCTCTCACAGGCTCCCACTCTTTTGGATCCCACACTTTTGGTGCTTGCTTTCGGGTTCCACCACGGCTCCCTCCAACCCAGGCCACTCCCAGCCCCATGCTCACCATGGCACCAACAGCTGCTGCCACTGAGCCACCACCTGGGGTGGCTGAGCGGGCGCCCACCTCACGGACAAAGTCACGGAAGGTCAAGTCCAGCAAGCTCTGTGCTGGGTCGTTGGGAACCAAATACCTGTGGGGCAGGGGCTCAGCAACAGGAACAGGGCTGGGACCCCAAGAGAGGCTCACAGTGGCCCCCAGGCTGCAGACCTCTGAGAATAGGGAAGGAATGGAGGAGAGGGGCAAGAAAGGAGCATGGGACTTGGGGAGGGGACAGCGATGGAGAGCCACTTACTCGATGACTCGCTCTTTGGGATTGAAGGGCGCCAAGGAGTCCAGGCCCAGCCTGCTCACCACCTGCCAAGTGGGCACCTGGCCTCAGCCCCACCCGCACATGCCGGATCCCCCTCGGCTACTCAGTTCTGCCTTCTGGGGGACAAGGCAGGCTGCGGCAGCCCACACACCCCCAGAGCAGTGCTGAAAGGCTCTGCCACACTAAGTTGCAATCCCTTACCTGCAATCACTAGAAACAGGCCAGACACAGGGGCTGCCCTTTACTATCATGTGCCCCATGCCCACTAAGATTCTAACCCCAACATCTAGCAAGTTCTTAGTGTGGGACCAGCCTTGCCCCTGTTCCTAGAGTGGGAGGGACAGTGACCTCCATCCAGATCCAAAAAGTGGTTTTGACTCCCATTTGAGATTAGAACTCAGTTCATCAAAATCAGCCCAGCACTTCACAGAACCCCAGGCTTCTGACAGCCATCCCTGGTGCCAAGGGCACCTTCCTGAAAAGAGCAGAAGGGACAGGGCTCTGGCCGTACACAGGCTTCAGGGCACAAAAACTGCAGGCCCCAGAGCCGGGTGGTTGAATCTGTAAGCTGCAAGGCGAGCTCTGCATAGATGCCTTAGGAAGGTGAAGGGATTGCTCAGGGTGAACTCAGCCCACCAGGCCACTGGAGTAGTCACTCATGGCCAAATGCCGCAGCAGGTGGATTTGGAGGCCACCAGCCCTGAGGCCAGGACACTGCCCCGCTGCTGCAGCCCCTCACAAGTGGAGAGGTCGTGAGCCTTCGGAGAAGGGGTCAGATTGAAACCACAAAAGGTGAGAAGGAAAACCACCATCCAGAGAAGAAGCTGTATGTCTCTGCCTTCCCAGTGGGCAGGTGGGGGAAGTATCTCCTGGGAATTGCTGGTTTCAACGAAGTTGCCACACTCAAAGCAAACACTCAGCTCTCGCTGGCCCTTCAAGGGGGAAAAGCTAACTCCAGGTGCCTGAGAACAGCCTCAGATGAAATTAAAAACTCATGTTCGAAAAGCCATATAGCACAGGAAGAAAGGAGCAGTCACCGTGAGCCAGCAACAGCAGAGACAGCACTGTGCAGAACAGCACCCAGCCTCCCCCAGGCAGGCTGTGCTCAGTACCCAGCCCACCCAGCACCCACCAGCCTGACGCGATGCTCCTCCTCCAACACAAAAAGGTTTTCTTTGTGGCAGTAGAAGTTGGCAGCGTCCAGCAGGGCCTGCAGAGGCACCAGGCCCACCAGCTGCGAGCCCACCACGGGAAGGCTCAGCTCCTGCAGGCAGTGGAGTCAGTATGGCAGCTGAGCCCCAGGGCTGTGGGGCACAGGTGCCTGCCCTGCCCACCTGCGCTTCCTTGCAGGTCTCTTCATAGACGGTGTGCAGCCCCATGACCTCGAAGTCCAATAGATTCATGGACACCTGAGCCAGGCTCTTCTCCTCCAGGTACCATCCGATGCCCTGCACCTTCTTCAGACGGCCTGGCTGCAGAGGAGGCACGTGTTCCAGCCACTTCCCACCCCTGCTGTTCTCTCCTCACTCTATCCTCTCTTAAGTAGGATGCACAAGGCAGGGCAGGGAAAGGTCTCTCACAGGGAAGTTGAGGTCTCAGGTGCAGGAGTGGCCACCCATCTGAATACCATGCTCTGCCCATACTTCATCCTGAGGCTAGGCCCAGTGGGAACTGTCTCCTGTCTCACAGGGCAGTGGGTTCTGACTTCACCTCTGAGGCCCTGAAGGTCAATTGCTTTGTAGGAGCTCCATGGGAGGTAAGTAGGCTTCAGTGTCCTGGGACCTAGGTCTCTGGGGAGGGGACAGGCAGGCTGGGCCTCCACCTCCTTCACCATGGTCTGTGTCATCTGCATGTGACCTAGACTCTGAGAGAGTGATGCTGAGGGGCACTGCTGTGCCCTGCTGGTGTGGACTCTGAGGCACCAGGAGGACCTGGATATGTGGGACAGGAGGCATCTGGGGCCAGGAAGCAGCTGTCTTGTGGCCCTGGAGAGGGCAGTGTTTATCACAGCATGGCCTATTGCAGCACCTGAACCCCAACCCTGTGGCTTCAGGGCTTAGGCTTCAAGACAGGACCCTACTCACAGTGCCCCTGCCCACTGTGGCCATCCCTGTCACCCTGTACCTTGGCTGCAGGGCCCCAGGGACATATGAAACACTTGCCTGCTGCTTCCCACGGCCCTGCTCCCGCAGGTTGAGGGCAATACGGTGGGCTTGCTCCTTGGTGGCCAGCAGGTTGATGTTGAAGGCAATGAGGAACTTCCGGGCCCCCGTGACAGTGGCCCCCCAGCTGGGGACAAAAGTGCTAGGGCCAAAGTCGGGGGCCCACTCGGCCTGCTTGAGCTGTAGGGCAGCCACCCTGGTTAGAGGGAGCCCAGTTCCTTCCCGCAAGGGGGTCACCCCTCCTGGCCCAGCTCCGCACCTTCTCAGGCAGTCCCTCATACTCTCCTGCCCGGATGGCCGGCAGTGTGCAGCGATTGGCCATCCGTGCTGCCTCGCCATATAGGTACACTGTGGGGAGCCACCAGTCAGGAGAGGGGGAGGCTCCACTCCCCAGGCACCAGGCAGGGCACCTCCCCAGCCTCCAGCCTGGCGACCCACTCCCCATTGCCTGGGCTCCAAAGGGTAGAAGTCACTGCTGTTTGCTGATAGACACAGCCAGGGCTCCACCCACCCTGTCCTGGCACCTGTGACACCCACAGGACAAAGGGTGGCATGGAATGTGTGGAAAGTATTGACAGGACACTCATGCTCCCCTCTACAATCATTTCATCATGTGACAAATGTAACCATGGATGAAGGGACATAGGACACAGAGCTGGCCCACAGCCCATGTGCATGGCCCAGCCCTGAACACTGACCCAGCCTGTGGGCCCCATCCTGTGCCACCCACATGGGCCGACCTCAGCTGTCTCCCACCTGTCCAGGTGACAGACATACCCTGTCCCCATGTTTGTTCCTAGTCATTCTCTTGATTAGGTTAATACCCCAAAATGAGAGATTTTTAATGTCCATTGGTGCAAGGCTAAAAGATCCCTGCTGCTGAGTTCAGGCCTGATGGTACAAGGCTGGGCTATAAGGGTTTCTTTTTGTGTTCATTCCATTGTTAGGGACAAAGCAGTTTCCTGCATTGTGCAGTAGTTTATTCATGATGTCTCTTGTTGTTGCTTTGTTTTGTTTTGGGGGTCTTTGAGGAGGCTGTTCCTTGTTTTGTTTTGCTTTGTTTTATTTTTTGTATTACAGGTGGAACCCAGGACCTTGCACTGAGCTACATCCCACCTCTTTATTTTTTTATTTTTGAGACAAGATCTCACTAAGTTCCTAAATTACTCCTGTTAAGCTCAAATGTACCCTCCTCCTGCCTCAGCTCCCAGAATGCTGGGATTACAGGTGTGGGCCTCCATGTCCATCTATGGTCTACACTTTCAGGGGGCTTCAAAGGCAGAGAACTGGGTATGCCAGAGCAGCAAGTCTTTGCAGTTGGTACTCAGGAAGCTGGAGCGGAGCCCCTCCCAGGCACTCACCTGGCACACTGAGCTCCTCTGCCAACTGCTGGCCAAAAGCCTGGGCACAGAGCACACAGTCTTCCATGCTGACACCCCTCACTGGGATGAAGGGGCAGACATCCAGGGCGCCCATGCGAGGGTGCTCCCCTGCAGAGGGGGCAAGCGGGGCTCAATGGACACCCTGGTCACCCACCTCACTGGCTCCACTGGCCATGGGGCAGTGGCTGGCTCTGGGAGCCCCCTACCAAGCCTTGGCTGGCAGCATTGAGGGACCAGAGGATACCACAGAGTCCCCGAGACTCAGGGCAGCAGTGGGGCCTCAACAACTTGTCACCTCAGGTGCAAACCAACCTCTCTTTCTACTACAAGTCACAACTTCTCGAGGATTTGGGTTGGATCTCCCTCTCGGTGAATGCTGGCCAGGCAGCAGTGTGGTCTTGGCCAGGCTCCATGCTTAGCCCTTGTCCACTTAGTACCCCTCCTTCCCCACTGGCAGACAGAGCCATACATCAAAGCCCCAACTCCACCCTCCACCTCAGGCTGCCCCTCTTACCCCAGTCAGTCTCTGATCTGCTGGGTCCTCTCCCTAGGAACAGCCAGTGCCCTGGCCTCTGACCTGCTTGGGCTCCACTAACCTTTGCCCCTGACGCCACCCCCATCCTGTTTGGTTTTGCACACAGTAGACAGGTCAGTTTCTGGGGCTACATCTATACATTGTACCAAGGCCTGCTCAGAGCCACCGCTGGACACCGCAGGTCCCAGAACCCACATGGCAGAGCTCATTCTTCATCACGGGGGCTACCCCAGTCCTTCTCACCCCAGGGCCTAGGCCCCCTCATGCTTTATTCCACCCTACTCCATCCTAGGAATAGAACATCAGAGCCCATGGCCCCAGGGCTAGAGTCAGAGCAAAGCCCACCCTGTGGGATACAATCCCTGAGCCACTCTCCATAGGAACACAGGGCCCAGGCAGAACCTTGAGAGGGACTCCTGCAATCACACCCTCACCTTGGTGCTTGCTCATGTCGATGAGCCGCCAGGCAGTGCGGGCAGCATTGAGTGCGCCTTGGACCACACACTGTGGCTGCCCCACGAAGGTATAGACGGTGCGGTTGGTGGATGGGCCTGCGTCCACATCCAGCAACACACAGCCCGGGGTCTGTGCGATGGCCCCTGAGATGGCATCAATCACCTGGGGACAGTGCCAGGCTCAGCCCCAGTTCAAGAAGGAATTCAGGGCACCCACAGGCTGGGTGGTGTCAAACAGCTGTGGGGTTACTCCAGGCCCAGGAGGAGGGGATCTGGCCCCTCTGGCCAGGGTTAGAGGCCATCTCCCCCTCCATGCCTCTTGGTGGGAGCCTGGGTGTGAGTGGAAGGCAGAAACATCCAGAAAGGATTAGGGGCTCAGGGTGCATTCCTGGGGTCCTGCCTGACCTCTCTACCTCAGTGCCTCAGTTTCTTTATAGGTTAAAAGATGGTAATGGGCAGGGGTAGGGAAGTTAAACATAAGCAAGAGGGTCACCTGTGGATGCCACCCAGGGTCCATCCTCTGGGTCAGTCCTCAGGGGTCCCCTTTTCTTTTTTTCGTTTTTATTGGTACTGGGGATTGAACTCACGACTACAGACTTGCAAGGCAGACGCTTATGCCACTGAGCTAAATCCCCAGCCCCAATGGGGTCCCCTTTTCATAGGAAGTCCCTGAGGCCACACAGGCACCCAAGGCCTCCAGGCTGTCCAAGGTCCAGCTGCCACCCGCCCCCTCCTTGGCCTGAGCCCTGGACCTCACCTCCTTGTTGCGCCCCTCTGAGAAGTTGGGGACGCACTCCACCAGCTGAGACATGGCCAGCGCCTTGGCCTGGACTCCTACTGCTCTAGGGTGCCGAGGTCTTTATACCCCAGGTGCCGCCCACAGTGGGTTTCTTATTAACCTGGAGGTGGTGGCTCCCAGCACAGCACGTGACTGGGCCAGGGCACTTGGACTGAGGACCCTGGAGGCCCTGGAAGAGTAAAAATCCAGTGGGGCGGGGGGGGGGGGTGTGCATAACTGGGCTCCAGTTCAGCTTGGCCCCAGGCTGCATACTGCCCTTTCTGGTGACCCTGAGCTGCAACCTCCAGGCCCATGTGTCATAGCACAGGCCCTCCACAGAGGTCAGCCCAGTACCAAGGGCATGGAGACAGCACATGTGTGACAGAGAGCATGCCTGGTGTCAGGGTACACACATGTGTGGGGGTGCTGGTGTTCACGTGAGGTGGATATTGGGTTTCTGCCCAGGTGGGTGTTGCTGTGAATGTGAGCAGAAGCTAGTGACTGCACATGGGTACAGACTAGTGGGGAGGGTGGGTGTCATGTGTGTAATCTGCTGCAAAAGCCTGTGCACACCCCAGGGAGCTATTCAGGAGGCTGAGGCCACCATGAGTCTGAGGTCCTTCTATACAATGTAGCAAGACAGCATCTCAAAATTTTAAACAAGGGCGAGGGATGTAGCTAAGTTCAATGGTTCTGGTTTATCCCCAGTATCACAAAAGTAAATGAATCCATGAATGAATAAATGACAACAAAAAATAACTAAAGTGGCATTTCCTTCTGCATGGCTGAACTGGCCATATAGGAACACCAGGCTCTTGCTGTCCCAGAGATATGGGGATACACCAAGCGCTGTTGCGCTGGCCACACCCTAAACCTGGAGGCACCACTTAATGTTGGGTGCCCTTAAAATTCCACAGGCCTCTCCCAGAAGTGGCCCCACAACCTCTTTCTGGCAGGGTCTGAGGTTGCATTTAGACTACAGTAGCGCTGGGGTGACCCAGAGCCCAGTGAGATCTGTGTGGGCCCTGAAGACCCCGTCCACCCTGTAGCAGCTCAAGGATAGGGAGGAGCTGAGACACTCAGGATCAGTGGCAAACAGTGTCTTTCAGCCAGGGCCCCAGGTTAAGAGGCCAGGAGGAAAGGAAGGATCTCTTGTGGACTGAACTGTGTCCTCCCCAAGTCCCTTGTGTTGGACCTCTAATACCCTAGGTTTCTCCCACATTTGGACACAGGGTCTTTAAAAAACTGGTTCAGTTACAACATACTCTCTCTGGTGGGCCCTAATCCAACACAGCTGTCCTTTAAGGAGCCAGCACATGGCCCCACACCAAGGACGACTGCATGAGGATACAGGGCGAAGACCCTGTCTTCCTGCCAAGGCCAGAGGCCCTCTGGGGAAAACAGCCCTGCGACACTGTGGCCTCAGACCAGCAGCCCTCAGGACATGTGCTGGCAGATGTGTGTGACCTGAGCCCCCAGGCTGTGGTTTTGGTCATGACAGCAGAGCTGCCTGACCCAGGATCCTATGTTGCTGGGTATTCGGAATACATCTTGTGGTGGGAGAGAGGAAAGGCTGTCCACACCAGGTTTGGCCCAGAAGCCCCATGCCTCCATTCCTGCACCCACAGTGTAGGGACAGCAATCAGGAGGTGCCAGCAGGAGTTGGGCTGCGTTCCCCATTGAGTCAGGCCTATGCTAGGGCTGGGAACACCAGATGCACAACAGAGACAGGCTGCGTGATACCAGCCCTGGTGCTTGGGACAGTCTGAGACCATAGAAACCAGTGGGTGCTATTGATAAGCCCCAGCACCCCCACAGTTTATAGGGAAAACAATGGAACTGTGTCCAGGTGCTGTTACTTTAACTTTCTCCAGGGAAGGACCCAGTTTCCCAATGTAGGAAATCAGGAGGACCTAAGATGAACCCCACCAACCACACCTCATGATAATGAGGCAGACAGTGGACACAGGAAAACACGGAAGGCAACCTCAAAGCCGGGGCCATCTGAGTGCACAGGTGAGCAAACAGCCCTGAGTCTGTGAATGAACAGTAGGCTCAGTAAACACATGTGGTGAACAGACCAATCTCCCACGCAGTAGAGTCCCTGACAAGTCCACAGACCTGTTCACAGGTGGAGCTTAGACTTGGGCTGGGGTTGCAGACAAGCCCAGCCCAGCTTGTGTCCACACCCCATCTACAGAGCAGGATGCCACTGGGACCAGCCACAGCAGCACCATTTTCCAGACTTCGTTAGTCAGCACAGGTCCCCTCACCATATCCCCATCTCCTCTCACTCTCATAACAAGAATAGATGCAGGAGCTCCAGGCAGAGCCACATATGGAGGTGGTCATCCACACTGCCATCTTCTCCACCCAGGGCTCCTGGTGCAGCCCTAGCATGAACGATGTGGTCACCCTCACGAGCTTCTTAAGCTACATCCTATAGTGAAGCTGCCTAAGAACGTGGTCACCCTCACTGTCCCACTTCAGCACCTGCATGGCGGCACTGCAGGCCTGTGTGGAAGTGCTCACCCTTTTCTTCGCTCATGTCTTAGGGTGTAGCCACATGCAGACACTGTCATTCTTATTGCCCAGCTTCTCCACCTCTTGGCTCGTGGTGCAGCCCTGTGTGGACATGGTTGCCCTCACTGTCCCCATTCTCCAACAGCGTGGCTCCCATGGCAGTGTGGTCACCATCATTAACTGCCTTATCCACTTTCAGAGTTTCTGGTTCAACCCATTTGGACATGGCCACCACCTTCCTTGCCCTCTTCTTCACCCCTATGGCTCCTGGTACAGCTCTCCTGGAACTGCTCAGCGACATGGCTCCTGGTGCACTTCTGGGTGGATGTGGTTGCCGTCGCTGCAGTTTCTCCACCCTGTGATTCCTGATGCAGCACTACTGTGAACATGGTCTCTATCCAGCCTCCCCTCCCACTTCACTCCTAGTACAGTTCCCATGTGAATGTGGTCACCACGCTTCTCAGTCCCACTATACGGCTCCTGATGCAACCCCAGTTTGACATGGTCACCTTGATGCCCAGCTTCTCTGCCCACATGAACAGTGGTCACCCAAGGACACCACCACCCACAGTACTGAAATAGAGCCTCCGAGCAGCTCACGTAACTGCAGTTAGTGGCCCCTCCATTTCTGGGCACTGGGACTCACCCAGGACCCCACTGCTCCCCCAGGAGCCCAAGCTTCCTCCAGGAAGATTCTGGTCCTAAGCCATTCATGAATGAGAAAAAGGCACTCAGGTGCTCAGAGGACAGTAGAGTGCACCCCTGTGGTGGCTAGACACAGGCACACACTCACACAGAGCTGTCATAGTATGGTGAGGACCGATCAGCAAATCCCAGCTCCTACCCACTTGGTCTCCTGGTTCCCTAGGCAGGACCAGTTCACCTTCCCACAATGCTGCTTCCCTGATTTCTGGTCTGGAGAAGTGAGCTGCAGAGCCAAGCTCATGCTGTCACAGGAGCCCAGACTGCCACATTCCAGAATTCCAAACTTTTGACCAAAGCTGTGTTTCCATTCTGAACCAGCCCTATGTGTTCCTAGCCATCCTGTTGGTGCCCAAGCCCTTGCTTTGGCTCTACCTTTAGGGAACTCTAAACAGGACAGACTCACTGGTCCTTTCAAAGCATTCATAAGACTTCTAAGGGTGCTACACACCTCAGCTCCAAGACTTTTTCATAGCTGCTTCAGGGTAGCTCCTGTAGCCAGCAGAGCCCAAGCACTCTCCACGCCCTCAAAGAGCCAGAGGTGAGGCAGACAGATAAACATGCTTTAATGAGGCCATGGTCCCCAGCTCAGGCAGCGGGCTGCTGTGCTCAGGGCGTGCTCAGGGCGAGCTCAGGCCACAGGGGGCTCTCCCACTGCCACCACTGCATGGCAGCTCAGCCTCCCCGGGAGGGACACGCAGGAGGCACGGTGGCCCCCGGTTTGGAACAAACATGTTTATTGCAGGAAGGGCGAGGCCTCAGCTCACCAGGCAAAAAGTGGCTTGCTGTCCTCCTTGGCAAGCTCGCATAGACAGTTCAGCAGCAGCAGGGAGTCGCCCAGGAACTTGGGTGGCACAATGTCAATGACCAGCTTACGCAGCGCAGCTGGGCTGCTGTGCAGTGGGTTGGCGCGCAAGTCGGGCCGCTGCTTGAGGATGCCGTAGGTGTTGATTAGGAACTCACTGAATACCGGGTGCACCTCTCGGCTGTAGCCCAGCTTCTCCAGCCGTGCCGTCAGGGTAAGGTAGCGGTGGGTCAGTTCACGCAGCTTTTTCTCATCCACCGAGCCATCTAAGGACTTGATGGAAGTCTGTGGCCAGGTGGGTACATGCAGGGCCATGTCAGGACAACCAGGCCCTCTGCAGGGCCACCTGGGTCACTTAGAGGTGAAATGACAGGCCACCCACCCCAGCATCTCAAAGGGCCAGGCCCCAAGAGTGGACACACAGAGCCCAGAGCCCTCCTCAATGCCTGCCCTTACTGGAGCATCATCGGGACACACCTGCTTGATTTTCTCGGGGATGTTGGACACAGTGAAGCCATAAAGCCGCGTCACGCCTGGGAATACATAGGCCAGAATGCGCCGGTCCAGCTGGAAAGCAATCTCCCCAACGATTCGGCTGTCTTTCTCTGCACTTGCAAAGCTCTGAATCTCTGTGGTGAGCGAGGACCAGGACATGTTTCAAAGACCATCCTCCACCCCAGCCCCACTATAATGAGTAACACAAACCTAAAAGAAAACTAAAGTTTTTGGAGCTAAAGGAGGTGATCCTTCCCTGTCCCAATTTTCTCAGAGTGACGTGTTGGGAACTTGGCAGTAGGCTCTTCCTTAGTGGGAGATGTGTAGGAACAACTCTAGATGCTAGGGAACCCTAGCTTGCTGCTATACTGGGGCAGGACCACTCCTGCTGGTCCTGGAGCCATGCTGCCACCAGGGCAGGTAACCCCAGAGCTCTGAAGAGATGGGGCCTAGAGGGAGGCCTTTAGCCCTCAAAGGTCACTGTAGAAGTGGTGTCTCTCACTCCTCACCCCTCACCTGGCTTCCTGGCTCAAGATGTTGACTGCCAGCTCTAAAATATGCTCCTGTCATGTACTGCCCTCACCAGAGGCCCAAACACAAGGATCTGAATCTCCAGAATCCTGAGCCAAAATAAATCTCTCTTTACTTTGTAAGTAGCTTGTGTTGATACGTTGTTATAGTGATGGAAAGCTGGCTAATACACCATAGAAACAGACCACAAATGAAAACCAAATGTACATCTTAACAGATGCAGAAAAACCATTTAACAAAATCTAACATCCATTCATCTACAAAAGCCTTAGACTTATTCTCAGACTTAATGATGGCAGGCTGATAGTCTCCCCCTAAATCAGGAAAAGACAAGGATATCCACCATCACCACTTCTACTCAGCACTGGTCTAGAACAGTGGTGGCAGACCCATGGCACATGTGCTACAGCTAGTTGTTTGTTACCATTAAAAGCTCTAAAAAAAAGGGCTGGGGATTTAGCTCAGCAGCATAAGCACTGCCTTGCAAGTGCATGGTCATGAGTTCGATCCCTGGTACAGGTAAAAAAAAAAAAAGCTCTAAAAGGTTTGCCCTCACTGGTCTGGAGATTCTGACTAGTGCTACACATGACAGTTGGGGGGAAAGGCACTAGAGCTGGGAATATAGCTCACTGGAAAAACATTTGCCTAGCATGCGCCAAACTCTAGATTTGACAGCAACTATTGCAAAACAGAAAAGAAATAAAAGGCATAAATATTAAAAATAAAATTATCTTCACTTAAAAATAATCATTTATGTAGAACACAATCATTTATGTAGAAAATGCTAAGGACTCTACAAAACAATCCTAGAACAAACAAATCAGCTTGGTAAGGTTGCAGCATATAGAACTATGCTAGTGTTCTCTAGAAAAACAGAATCAGTGGGATGTGTGTGTGTGTGTGTGTGTGTGTGTGTGTGTGTGTACATGCATACACTCATTTGGTACTGCAGATTGAACCCAGGGCCTTTGCACTGAGATACATTCCCAGACCTTTTTTTACTTTTTGTTTTAAGGCCAAATCTCTTTAAGGCTGGGCTCATATTTGCCATTCTCATGCCTCAGCCTCCCAGAGTGCTGAGATTACACGTATTTGCTACCACACCTGTCTTGAAGAAGGACTTATTACAAGGAACTGGCCCATAGGTTTATGTTAAATGGCAACTGCCAAAATCTGCAGTCAGCAGGCTTGAGACTCAGAAACAGCCAAGGATAGGCTTAAGACTGCAGGCAGCCAGACAGGAGAAAATCTCTCTTACTCAGAAACAGGTCTATTCAAGATTTCAACAACTGGATGTGGTCTACCCCCATGGCCAATCTGCCAATGTAAACATTAATCTACAGCAACAACCTCCCAGCCTGCCCTAGAATGTCTGGTCAAGTATCTGGGTACCAAAGGCCCAGGCAAGTTGCCACATAATAAAATTAGCTATCACAGGAGTTGACACACAAAAATCAACTGTATTACTAGACTGAAGAAACATATCAAACTGATAAAACATCTATCACAGCTTCAAAAATATGAAACACAAAGGGAAAATTTTGACAAAAATGTTCAAGATTTACATATAAAGAGCTATAAAATATGGCTGGCAACTGCTGCAGATGCTACAAAAGTTTAAGATGCAGATTGTGAAGGTGATAGGGCTCTGGACCTGGGCTTCCCCTGCCGACAGGGGATAACCCAGTCAGAACCCCAACAGATTTTTTTTTTCTTTTGGCTTGGCTTGGTTTTCGAAATGGACGATTTGATGCTAAATTTTGTGTGGAAATGTGAAGGACCTAGAAGAGTGGCCAGAACAATTTTGGAAACACAGGGCAGGCCACTGTGAACTTTCTCAGTGGTCTGCTCTCCTCAGAGCACATTGCTTTCCTTAACTTTAATAAGCACAAAACCTTCCTACCTTTTTAAAAGAAGAAAAAGGGGCCAGGGATTTAGCTCAGCGGCATAAGTGCCTGCCTGGCAAGCACGTGGTCGTGCGTTAGATTCCCAGTACCAAAAAAAAAAGAAAAGAAAAGCAGAGAAGAGCTTGCCATACTGCCCACATCATAGTCTCACTGCACAGCTACAGCAACCCAGTGTTGGTGGCCACAGACAGTGGGTCAGAGGAGCCACAGGAGGTCCAGACACAGATGTTTGCATGAATGACACTGATGTCCAACAAGGGCTGAGCCTAGTCAGTAGAACAGCACCAGTTAGGTGTTTTATTGTTGTTGTTGTTGTTGTTGGTATTGTTTGGTTTTGGTACTGGAGATTGAACTCACAACCTCACACTGAACAGGCAAGCAATTGGGCCCCTGAGCTAAATTCCCAGCCCAAGAAGGACCCGTTTTTAAGCACTGATATCAGATGAGTGGAGGTCTACATGAAACCTCACAACACAGAGACAACTCAGAGCTGATCAGAGATCTAAATTAAAAACCTAAAGCTATAAAACAGCTAGAACACAGAAGCCAGGATCTTTATGGCACCAGGTTTGACAGTCTTCCTAAACTGGACATAAAAAGTACTAACTACAAAAAAAAAATAATTAGTATACTGGATGTCATCAAATTCAACAGTTTTGGTTCTCCAAAAAACACAAATAGGCAAAGTTACAGACTGGGGGGCCATGTCGGCAAAATGTATACCGAAAAAGGACTTGTGTCCACAATGTATAAAAAACTCTTGCAACTCAAGAGAAGACAAGAACACTGTTTTCCTAAAAAGATTCGAACAGATACAGCCCTAGACTCTGCCCATTCTGTGCTGCTGGAGAAGTCTGGCTGTCTAGGTTGCCCAGATACAGCATGCCCCACCCAGGGCCACCTATGGATGCAGTACCGTTGAGATAGTAGCTCCTCCTGGTCCTGTCCCCCGCCGGTGGGCTGCCCTCTGAGAAGCACACTTTCTTGGGCCGCAGCATCTCCCTAGGCTCCAGCAGTGCCTTGTCTGCCAGTGGGTCCTGCAAGGGGCTCAGGAGTGGGGACAACTTCCTGTCACCTCGAGTGCGCAGCTCAGGGGGGCTGAGGAAGGACTTGAAGGGCATCTGGGAGGAGGACACACAGCCCAGGGAAGCATCATCCTCACTGGAGAGGGGGGCATGTGAACACAGCAGGTCCTCCAACGAAGATGTCGGCAGCTGGGAGGCTGCATCAGGGACGCTGGCAAACCTCCCAAAATCCAGACCTGGGGTAGGAGGAAGGAGCCAAAGTTAGGCTCAGGCTTCCCAGACATCCCACAGTGCAGAGAGCAAGGTAGGGTACCTGCCTCACAACTCAACTCCTAGAGCCCGCAACCTTAGCACACTTGCAACCACAAAATCTGTCCTATATGGTATCACCCTAATGTGGCTTATTGAGCCACATATCTTTCTGAGACTTCATGGTGCTTGGCCACTTGGTGGCCATTGGTAGGTATACCATTTCCCAGCACAGCAGCACACAGCATCTTTCCACCCACTTTTGTTAAGACCAAGCTACAACAGCCTCTTCAACACTCTCCCTGTTCACAGGCACCCCCTGAAATCTGCATTTGAGCTCAGGTGTGTATGTGTTTGACCTTCTTTGATTCTTACAACTGCCCTCAGGGCACAGATGTTATAGCCAATTCCCCTAGTTCTTGCTCACATTCAACTTTTCTTTTAGGGTTTATGGAGTCCTTTTCCATCCCATGTCAGTTTATTCTCCAAGCAATACTTATTTTAAGAAACTATATTGAAAAATTGTCTTAAAATGTATGTACATAGGAACCAACTAATTGCTCCCAAAAAATGCTGCCCAAGGAAAAAGAAGAAAACATGGCTGCAAGATCTGCCTCATCTGCTGTGTAGGAGGCCGGGGTCTTCAAGCCCCAATCCTCCACACCACACGATAGATTACAAAAGAACATTGTGTCTCTACTGTGAGACAATTAGAAACTTAAAAAAGGAGAGTTCTTCTGGAAAATTATTTTTAAATGACTCAATAAGTAGAAAACCTAAATGGGTCAATAAACAAGGAAAATATAAATGTTATAAAATAATTCTCCTACAGGTCCAAGTAATGTGTGATGAAGTCTTTCAAGTATCCAACAACTCATAATTCTGACATAATATAAGGTTAAAAAACTGAAAAAAAGCATCCAATTAAGATTAAATATTTGTCACAATGCTGATATCAAATTCCCACAAAGATAATCCCCAAAAGGAAAACTGTGGTTCAGACTCGCATAAAAACAGAGACCAGAAAAAATCCATGCAAAACCAGGAAGATGTCATGACAGACCCAGGAGAGATAGCAGATTACAAAACCCAGTGGCCACAGTGTGCACAAGATTCCCCGACAGCCCTGGAGAGCTGAGGGAACCTCCACTGACATATGACAAATGACTCAAGAATTGAACAAATAAGCCATGTCTCATTTTCAAAATTTTGTTCTTCAAAAATCAGAAGCAGACAGACTGTTTGTAACGCCCTGTCTGTGTCCAGAGGCTGCTGTCCCACTAGTTCCCAAACCAAAGAGAAGGCCTGACTTTGGAGGCCTGGCTCCAAGCACCTTACAGGGACCCACAGAAACATCTGTGTCGCTGAGTGAAGACATGATGCCCCTCACCTTCCACAGTGGGGTGTCATGGCCACTGCTTCCTGGGAACATTTGGTAGTATCTGTTTCAACATTTCAAATGCACACAGCCTTTGACCCAAGGAATCCAGGCCAAAGACTTCCCCAGACGGCGCAAGGTAACAGCCAGCAAGAGGGGCACACATGGCTACTCATGGCAAGGTTGTCTGTGGTCACAAGACCCAAGGATATACTACTGCCCAGTTTAAGTGTCCAGCATTGAATTTTGCTGGGCAGAAGAGAACTGGAAAGAGAGTGAGAGACACAGACAGTGACTAGGAAAGTCAAACTGCAAACAGCAAGATCTGGTTCAATAAACAAAGGAGATAAGAGATACACACATGAAGACCCATCAGGTGGGCCAGGAGCTTTGTCAGGCTGCCAGTGTAGGTGGGCCAGGAGACAGGTCAAGCTACTTGAAGGGTTCTGGCCTCTGCAGTTTGCAATAATCAGACACAGCATTTAGAAACTCTAGAAAAACTAATTTTGAGGGGTGGAGCTAAGATGGCAGATAGATAACAGCTGGCTACAGAGGCTCCATGAGATAGTCAATTTAGAACTCAACATAATACAACTTGGGGAGACCCGAACAGAGGGAAAGGAATTCTCTCGTCCCAAGAAGAAACTAAGGTGAGAAAAATGAATCAAACATACACTCCTGGCCGGCTGTGCCACTGTGCAGCCCTGAGTGCCTCTGGGCCACCAGTGAGACAGGTCATCCCCATGCCACTGCCTCCGTCTCTATCGCCAGGGGCCTGCCAGAGGCTAGGGGAGTGAAACAACTCAGCACCCACCGGATGCCCCCATCCCCACCACCACCGCCACCACCGCCTCCCCCCGGACCCGGCTGCATCCAGGAGGGCACAAGGAAGAGGGCACATTGTGGCGCCGCGGGTGCAGGACCGGACCTGCTAGGATGCATTGCCACCTTCGCGCTTGCTGCTTGCATGAGGCACTGGCAGTGAGCAGGCCCCCGCCACCAGAGGGCCCCCGAGGTCCCCGGGCGAGCAAGTGTATCTTCGCTGCCACCCGGCCCACGGAGCCCCACGAAGCCGCTGCCACGAACAGAGCCCAGTGAAGCTGCTGAAAACACCTCTTCAGACAATAATCAAAAATACAGAAGCAGAACTTTCGGTTTCCTGCGATGATCGACCAGCTTCAGGGAATTGGGCCTGCCTGCCCAATTCCCTGAACTCTGGACTGGGTGGCCTGGGGTGAGTGTCCCCGCACCATCCCAAGCCCCTGGGAGGGAGTTTAAGATACCTCAGGTAACAGCAAATTGGGAAGGGCAGCAAAACCCATCAGCACGCTTTGGAAAGACCCTAAGCAATACAGAGAGGGCCAGAGACCCCCTGGACACATCTATCTGAAAGAAACCAGAAACATGACAAGAGATAGAAATTAAAAAAAAAAAAAAAAAACTCCAGCCACTGACCCTGGAAAAATAAGCCCAGGAGAGATAAATACAGAAGAGAAACAGTGCACTAATCATGCGATATTAGATACAACATCAGCAGACATAAAGAAATACCTTCATGACCTCATAGACAAATTTAAAACTGTACTTCTGATCCAAATGAGGCAAGATATAAAAAGATTAATTAAAGAAATAAGCCCCTCCCAAAAGAACACAGATGGAATAATGGAGGAACTCAGAAAAGGAAACCTTTCATGAAGAATATAAATAAAATCTAGAATACATGAAACAGATCCAAAGAGATTACCAGGAAACTAAAAACTCCATTGAAAGCTGGCAAAATGCCTTGACAGAAACTAAAGTTAGCCTTTTTAAACTTGAAGAGAGATTTATGGTGTGTGATCACGAAAGAAAAGATCTTTTAAAAAAATAACAAGGAAATCAGGAAGAAACAATACAAAGGCTAGAAGATGACAAGAGGATTTATAACTTAAGAATAAAAAATGTGACTGAAGAAGCAGGAGTAACTACAAATGAACTACAGAGAATAGTCACAGATATAATTAAGGAAAACTTCCCAAGCATAGGAAAAAGAAATGATATCCAGATAAAAGAGGCATACAGAACTCCAGCCACCTACAACCAAAACAGATCTACACCCAGACATATAATAATCAAGATTCCAGAAATCCACCACAAGTACAGAATATTAAAAGCAGCCAGAGAAAAGAAGATTACCTACAACAGAAAAATTATCAAAATAACGACAGGCTTATCAACACAAACTCTCAAATCAAGAAAAGCCTGGGGGGAAATAGTCCAAGCCCAGAAAGAAAATAACCTCCAACCAAGACTGATTGATCTATCTGGAAAAACGCTCTCTCAAAATTAATGGAGAAACAAGATATTTCCAAGACAAGGAGAAACTGTGGGAGTTCATGGCCACCAACCCAACCCTAAAAAAAATACTGAAGGACATTTCAGAGAGAGAGAGGAAAAATACCAGGATTCTAGCAACAGTGACAGAGAGGCCTCAGTGAATGGGGCAGACAGTGGAATGAAGGAGTAAAGTGGACAAATAATGACAGAAGAATAAAATAGCAGAAATAAGGCAGAGACGGTAAGCTATAATCTTTAATATAGACAGCCCTGATACACTAACAAAAAAAGAAACACAGGCCGAGTAGATTAGGAGGCAGGATCCATCAAGATACTCTGAATACGAGATACACTCAACCTGAAAGAGGGTTAATAAACTGAGAGTCAAAGATGAGAAAACAATGCTATATGTGACAGGAAACCAGAGAGAAATAGGGACAACTCGTCCAGCAGCCCCAGATAGATTGGAAAGCTATGACACTTTTGGGCAGTGTAGAACTACACAGCTGGAAGGAAGGACAACCTTGTGACTTTAGTAAGTAAAGGAGTACAGCTCAAGATCAAGCTCAGGGGTAAAAAGGTTTAGCAACACTCAGATAACAGGTTGGCCCCCTAATCTAAAAACTAAAATATACAAAGCACCCTGAGAAAGGGAAAAGGTTAGGAATTGTCTAAAAAAGGCAGAGGATACTGTTAACAGTGTATCAGGATTTAAAAGTTACAGTAGCTTTATCACTCTGTTTAGTTTGATTATATTTTGTTCCGGTCTGTCTACCCATATTAGATTTGAGGGCACAGACAGCTAACCCCAAATAGCAGGTTATACCATGGTAACGATCCATAATTTCCTATTAACTTACACTGAAGCCCTGTATTACTTACATTGTCTTACTATGATTGATCTTATTTTAAGCTGGTTTGTTAGATGGCTGTTTAGCCTTGACTGATTTCATTCAAATATGGTATCCTTGATAGTATCAAGTCTGGGAATGGAGAAACTACTCTGAAGATGACAAGATGTAAAAGACATCCATTCTGGTTTTGATTAACTGCTTTCAAATCCTACAATATCTTCAAAGTTGTGTTTTTAATAAAATAGTTATATAATGTTATGTTCAATTATATTATGTCTGATGATGTGGACAATTCTACTGAAAATAAAAGAAAGCATAGTAACTACTATAGATCACCTAATATTGCAGTCCTATATGTCTTTTTCATTTCATGTTTTTCAAGGAATTTATTTTGTTGTCTTGTTTTGATCTGTTTTTCCCTATAATACAGAAAGGATAGATATGAGATTCATACATGGGAAGAATTTCTAAACTATTTACAGGAACAGATTATATAATACATGATGTAATGAACAGATACTCTGAAGAGACACTAAGAAACCCAGTGCCAATTCTGTAGCGTTATGATATGAAATCTAGCAATACTATCATTCACTGTTCAGAGTGATATTAGTCTAGTCTCTTATGTTCAATTTCAGCATATGTGAAGATAAAGAGAGCTACTACGAAGAGACTGAGAAACATTATGGTAGACATTATTGACTTCCCCAAAATCAGGTCTTGAAAAGACCTAAAAAGCCTTCATCATCCTGTAATGATCTGATTAGTTCTATAATGTTCATTATATATTCAATGTGTGTAAAGATGGGGACAACTATTTGGAAGAAAACTAGAGAAAATAAGATACACAGTGAAGATCTCCAGTGGACTTGCTTTGAAATCTATGTTTCTTTAAATTGTTTCCTTATAAACTGTTTTGTTCTGTTTACTCTTACCCTCTTTAAGATAAAAAAACAAGTGTATAGGACTGATAACCATATTACTAAGTTCTTGTTGGATCGTTGAGCAGAACTGTTTGCAGTGTCATTGTTTGATTTTTACTTTGTATGCTTTAATTTTGTAACTCAAGCAACTATTTCTAAAATGACAGTATGTAACTTATCGACTGGTGCTTTCTGTTTATTTTTCTGAAATTCTGTATTATTTCTACCCTTTTTATCTGTTTTTTTCTTTAAATAAAAAAAAAGTGATTTTGAAGCATGCAGCCTGTTATGAACAGGCTAAGGGGCTTTTTTGGAAATGTGCAAACCATTGATTGCTATGTGATGGCTCCTTCCTGTCTATATACTTCCCTTTGTGCGAGGTCTAGACAGTGGTTTTCCAAACTGCAGGCCCCAAAGCCAAAGCTTTGCCCTGCAGGGGACAACCTTGCTCATGTACCCGTGAGTGTGGACCCAGCCTGAGGCCAGCCTTGGCCCACACACTTCAGTGGGCTCCAGCACTTTGGGAAGATAAGGTGGCCTCAGGTTGGGCTCCTGTTGAAATTAATGTCCACAAGATCTGGGCTCCTTAGGGATGGCCCAAGGGCCACTAAGCACTGGGCACAGTTGGAGATGCAGTCCTGGCTTAGGACTTGACCAGGTGGGATGAGCTCTGACAGTAAGCCTCTGACAGTGTTCATCACCAACAACACCTGCACTCAACTCACTGAGACCTTGGCATCAACAGTTTGTCATATCTGGACCAGTGCTTGTGCAATAAGTATCTTGAGGTCTCTCAGTCACATCTCAGTAGCACTAGCTCTGTTCCCAACCCCGCCTCCCCACAAGATGGCAGATGCCCAACCTCCCCATTCAAGAGACAGAAGGTGCTAAGGTCCCATGAGAGACTGGGGTGGCCTGACTCTGGCTCATAGAGGCCTAAGGGACTCATTTCAGGACTGGAGAAAGCAGACCACCTTTTCTGGTGCTGGATACTTTCAACAGGACAGTGTCTGGGAGTGATTAACCAAGCACAGGATGCCCAAACCTCTCTTAGCAGGCTAGCGACTGACCTCTGCCTGGCACATGATACTCTCTCACAGATGCAAGGTCCACAGGGCACTGACTAGCCACCTGCTTGGTCACAGACAACTAGCCAGGTTGCAATACATCTCTGTCCCTCTCATGGCCCAGCAGTGTGAGTGGTCACCACAGCCAACAGGAAGCTGACCCCACTGGATCATAGGAGCTTCCAACAGTGCTATGGTTCTGCTAGACATGCACCACCCCAAAGAAAGGCAAAGGTTACATCCATCAGTCACAAGCCAAAAGGGAAACTTTTCACAAAGACTTCTGAAACAGAACCAACTACTTTTGCAGAAAATATCAAATCCTCTTTTTTCCCCTCCTTCTGTAAAGGGCCCTAGAATGGGAGTCCATGCTGTGTGGTAAGTTCACAGTGCCATTTCTCCCAGCCACCCTCCCAGGAAGCAACTGCAAAACACTCTGCTGGGGTGGACACTGCCCGCCTTGTTGCCAGGTTTAGCCATGTGCCTTGCCTTGGCAAGTGGCATGTGAGTGGACAGCACAAGTGTGAAGGGACCTGGCCAGCTGCAGTCCTAGGATTGGTGGAGACACAGAAGCAGGGTAAGCCCTCTGCCAAACTCAGCAAACCTGATGGGTAAACCTGCTGATTCTGTCCCCAGGTATACACTGTGACCTGAAAGAAGGACCTTCCCAAGGAAACAAGGCAAACAGGCCCTGCCCCATTTACTGCCCCAATCCCCACCATCACAGGCTCATCTGACTGCTGTGGGCCATGCTCACCTCCACTCCCTGGGGAGCAGGCCTCAGGGTAGGGGGGTGTCTTGGGGAAGAGGAGATCACGGGCCCCACGGCCACCATCCTGGCAGCTCTCACTGAGTAGTCGCTTCAGCATCTGGTTCTCCTTCAAGAGGCGCACCTGTTTCTTCAGGTCTGCATTCTCACTCATGAGCCTGTTCATCAGCTCACTGCCTTCAGCCATGACCAGCCTTCGGTACTCATAGGCAGGCCTGCAGCCCCATGGAGGTGGAAATTCAGAGCCCACAGCCAACAGAAACAGCCAAGACCAGAGTTCCACAACCTTCCGTGGCCTTGTGATGTCACCACCCTTAAAGAGGCAGCACCACCTCATCCTCAGCCATGGCTCCCTGACACCTCCTAACCTATGTCCAGGACAGGCTGGGTCCTGGCTATATAATGAAAGAGCCACATACAGTGCACACACAAACACCCCACATTGGTTGTGAATCATGCCACCAACACTAGGAGGGAGTTACAAGCACAGGGGGTGTGCAAACTTTAGGTGGTGTACTGAGCTCCTGTGAGCAGCCCACCAGTGGGGCCACACACACCATAACCTCAAGGCCAGATCCTGCCAGCAGCACCTTCCTGGCACAGTCAGAACCTCCTGGCTGGGCAGGTGGGTATCAGCTGATTCATACCATGTGCAGTCCTCAGCAGCAGTGGGGCTGGCCTTCAGCTTAAGTGACATGGGCCTCACTTCACTCTGATAGTACTGAGACACTGGATGCCAATATTATTTCAGCTCCACAGGACCACAAGCTCCTGGGGCCTCCAGAACCTGGATGGTAACAGTTGTACAGATGGTTATTAGGTCTCCTGCAACTTGAGAAAAAAAGCAATGGAAACTAAGGAGATAGGGCCTTGATGAGGCTGGGTCATAATACAGATCACACTCCCTGCCATGAACAAAATTAGGCAGCAGTGTCCACCCCCACAGACTAAGCACCGAGCATCTGACTGGTAATTACTACCAGGCTTAGCTGCAGACGTGGTAGCAGGGGACAAAACTCTCTGGGTCACCCACATGAGACCTGTGGTGTGCCAAACCCCTGGGACCTCTAAATGGCAAATGCCCCTTTTGTATCCTGGGATTTCTTCTGGTAGTTTGAAATTTTTAGCTTCAGTGGACCCCCAGGGGAAGGTGATAGGCACACAGATGGAGCCCACTGAGGGGAGAACTCCCAGGGCAGAGGGAGTAAGGGCTTGGGTCACACACAAGTCGAGGATTTCCCTATACCCAGCTCCTCTGAGGACAGCATCGACCAGCATATCTTACCCTACACCAACTTTCTGTAATCAAAATGCCACAGCTTTCCCAGGTGGGTCTCCCAAAACATTCCAGATGTGTAAGTTGCTAGGCAACTTGTAGGACTGTGACATCCGTCCCCACCCCATCTTCCTCTAGGCTGAGATTACACAGATGTGCCATTGTGCTGGTGCTGACACATTGTCATTGGAATCAATTTGTTTCCTATTTTAAAAAATTCAAGTTAATTTCCTAGAATTTAACTGTGATACAATCTAGGGCCTAGATTTCTTCTGATAATTTGAAATTTCCAGCCCCATTTCTTAAACAAACACTTCAATGTCCAATTTTGGTAACTATCTTCCAAGGGACCATGTGCATTTCATGTAGGCAGGGATGGACATTCCTGTCCATCAAATCTTACCCCTCCAGAGACAAGCACACCCATGAAGACAGGGAGTAAAAGGGAATATAAAGCAGCACTGGCAGGCTTCTTCAGCACGGGCCCAACAAAGGGGCAAGTGTGAGGTACAGATTTAAGGCAGACAAGGTGAGGCAGGCTGGATAGGAAACTGGGGCCGACGACCAGTCTCATGGGTGCAGTAATGGACCTTAATTCCTGAATCAGTTTTTTAATGTGACCAGACCAAAGGTTAGTTAATCTTTTCAAAGCATCAACTTTTTACTTTTACTGTATTTGATTTCTGCTCTGTATTTTCCCCCATCTGTTTTGACTTTAAGCTTAAGTAGATGTTTAGATCAATTTTTAAACCTTTCATACCTACCTTTGTGAAAAGATGCTCCACATCATGACATCAGGGAAATGCACATTACAAGATACCCCTAGCACACTCATTGGAATGGCCAAAATCCAGAGCACCATACCATCCTTTATGCATCCTTTAACTATATCCCACAAATTTTGATGTCATGCTTCACTTTCACCTAAATTGAAATATTTTCTAATTAACCCTGTGCCTTCATTTTTTAAAAGTTCTTTAAAGCAGTTTCATGTTCCTAGCAAAGTTGGGAGGCAAGTAAGGAAACCACCTCTACATCTCCCACATGTGCATGGTCTCCTACTACCAACATCCCCACCCGAGAGCTGACATGAATCACAGGCCTGCCTGACCCATGTTCACAAAGGCTTCCTTTTGACATTGTGCACCCACTCCAGGACCATACTGTAGTTCAGGAACACAAAATCCCATGCTCTGCCTTCTCATCCTTCACTTTCCTCCAGCCTCTGGCAATCAGTGACCTTGACACTGGCTCTAGTTCTGTCCCTTCTGGAATGTCATACATTACAGTCATCACATAGCAAGCAGCCCTGACATCACTTAACAAGACAGTTAAGGTTGTCTTTTATGGCTCGATGGCTCATTTACTTTTAACAGTGAATAGTCCATCATCCAGAAGTATCAGCTCATCCATTCATCTACTAAAGGATATCTGATTGCTTCCAAGTTTAATTATAGGTAAAACTATAAACTTTTGTGAAGGATTTTCTGTGAACACAAATCTTTGGTTCTGATTAAATACCAAGGAGTATGATAGCTTGGTCATACTGTAAGACTCTTTTAAGTGCACACTGTCTTCCCAAGCGACTGCTCTCCTTTGCATTCCCATCAGTTCCGCTGTCACACGCTGACTGGCATTTGGTGCTGTACTCTGGATTTTGGCCATTCCAATGTGTGCTAGGGGTATCTTGTAATGTGCATTTCCCTGATGTCATGATGTGGAGCATCTCTTCACAAGTTATTTGGCCATCTGCATACCTTTTTTGGGCAAGATATATGTTTATCTTTGACTCATTTTTAAAAACTTTGTTTTTTAAGTTTTTGTTCAAATGACAAGGGAAATAAAGGTGGAGGGAGAAAGAGGACAAAAAATGGAATAAATGGAAACAAAGCTTTTGCAAATAAAGAGGAAGAGGGGTTAAAGGGAGGGGTAAGGAATGGGGAAAAAGCAGCAAGATATACCATGTACAAGTACCAATTTCATATGAGGAATGTAATATATACGTATATCTAAAATGTACCAATTTTAGGTTATTTCGTACTAGGAATCGAACTTGTGACCTCATGTTTATGAGGCAGGTGCTGTGCTGCTGAGCTATAATTCTAATCCACAAAAGGTACTAATTAAAAAAAAAAATGGACAAGGGCATTTAAAAAATTTTTGAGTTTTGTTTTGCCTGGATGGTGATCCTCATCAGACATCTTTTGCAAACACTTCCCCCAGAACGCCTTTTCATTCTCTTGCCCATTGTCTTTCACAGAGCAGACATTGTGTAATGTCCTTCATGGATGACGCTGTTGGTGTTGCATCTAAAAAACAAACAAACCAAACTCAAGGTCATCTAAGTTTCCTTTTATTTTTTATAGTTTTACATTTTACATTAAGATCTTTGATCCACTTTTGTTTTTTCCATACTGGGGATTGAACTTAGGGCCTTCACAATGAGCTACATCCCCAGCCCTTTTGTTTTTATTTTTGAGACACAGTCTAAGTTTCAACAAAACTTGTAATCTTTCTGCCTCAGCCTCCTAGAGTGCTGGGACGATGGGCATGTGCCTATACCCAGCTGACGCAATGTCCTGAATAGTAGTCTGGTCAAGGCTCACAGTCCCTGGAGACAACCACCACTACTGAGGCAGATCTGTCCTGATGCAGGTGGCAGTATGAAAGGTCAGTGCAAAGAACAGTGCAGGTAGTACCTGAGACACAGCTAGAGCTGTTGCATAAGGGGCTGAGAAGGCTGGGCAGGAGCAAGGTGGCCCAGTCTCTGGAATGGCCTCAGAGAGACAGCTCTGAGTCCTTGGATTTCTTGCTGAATAAACAGTACGCCAGCGGAAGCTAGGAAGTGCCATTAGCCAAGTAGAACAGTTCAACTTTGGGGAGGCCAAGAATCCAAGTGCTCATCATGTGATTCAAAGGCAAAGCCAGAATTCAGGGTGTACACTAAAGGGCAATACCCCAGAAACCTGCCCCTTACCTCAGCTCAGCACACAACTGGCAGGGGCCCTGGAGCCTTAAAAGGCCCTGGGCATTCTCCTGGTCACAGGGTTCCAGACTGGCTTAGGAGGCTCAGAGGATACGGTAACCACTGTGACCACTTCACCCCTCCCCTCTACGTGCAGCCTCCTTGTGTGACAACTGTGAGGATGCTGGAGCATAAGACACTGGGATCCCCCATACTCAGTTTGTTAAGTTCTGGGACATCGATAAAGAATAGGGGCCCCTCTCCACTTATGTCCAGCTGGTCCCTCACCCACCAGCATCATAGGGTTGCTGTTCATCCCTTGGCCTAGCACACAAAAGATGCAGGAGCAGTGGTCAGTGTGAACCTGTCCCAGGGCTGCTCCACAACTCCAGGTAAGAAGTGCAGCAGCCACAGCTGCCCCGGAGGACAGTGACTGGTCAAGAAAATCCTCCAGAAGATGCTGTGCTTCAGGGGTCACGGTTCATCTTGTTTCCTTCTTCACCCCAATTATTCTCAGAACTAAACCTATACCGATAATCAAGTGACTAAAGTTAACTATACCCATCCCTAATCAAGCCTAGTCCCAGACTCCTGCCCACAGAAGGGGAAGATGAGTAGCTGCAAGCCACAGCAGGGTGATAGGAGTTCCACCATGTGGCCCAGACACCTGTCTTACATGGAACTTGGAAACCCAACTCCCAACACCCAACACCCATCCACCATTAGTGGGCAGCTCTCAAAGGTGACCAGCCAGGGCTCTCTCAGGGTACAGATTGGCAAAGCGGCCAAGTGCCCAGATGGGGAAGATGTTCCTGTAGCTTGTGTAGCTGATAGCGCAGGACTTGTTGAAGACCCCGGAAGTGTTCTCCTATAAAGACACAGAAATGACCACAAAGGCTTCACCAGGGCTGAGGGCTTGTCCCACACTGTGGCCCTTACTATGGGACTACCCAGCCCAGAGCATGTATACTCAGGAAAAGCTGACTGAATAAAGGCCAGGAGAGCAGACAGAGGGGCAGTTCTCCCACCGAGCCTCACACCCACTCACTCACCCTACAGACCCCACACCTGCTTTTGCCAGATACCTCTGAGACCCGCTCAGAACTTCAGAATATGGCAACATATCCCAGCCATACCACCCTCACAGGTCTCTGGCTGGCAGAGTTCGCTCACCCCAAATCCTCAAAGTACTCCAAGAGGGACATGGGATAGGGGTGGGGTAGAAACCCATGTGCAAACTGGAGGTCAGTGCTTGGCCTCACACACTTCACACACCTGGGGCCAGTCACCATTCGGGAGCTGCTTTTCAATCAAACACCTGATTCCTCTCTCCTGGGCCTCCACATCAGGATGCCTGGGGGGAAAAAAAGAGACTGCTGGAGCATGACGGCCCTGGCAGGCTTCTCAGCATAAACCTACATCTTTACTGTTGTACACCCAGTACAGGCACAGAACCCCAAATGCTACAGTGATAGTGCAGAGGACTGACCAGCCTGTATGTCCTCTTCCCAGGAACCCCAAGAAGCAAGCCCATGTAAGGAGAGCGCTGAGTAGAAAGGGGGACGTATGACCCTGTGGCTGATGCTGTGCCCTGGCACAAGGTGCTGTCAGTTCCCCAGGAGAGAAGATCAAGCCTTGTGTGCACCTAGCACACTGACACACACAAAGGTAAGGATAAGATCAGGATCAAGGGCTCAGCAAGACAAGAGCCAACTATGAGGGGTCACTGTGTCCAGCCCTTGCTTCTCCCAGGCTTTGATGTACTTGGTCATACCAAATGAGGGGATTTTAGGAAGATTCTTCAAATGGCTCATTTTAATAGGGAAACACAGTTTGGAGCATCTCTGTGTGTGCCTGGATCTATGTGTGCCCTGTCTGATAAGTACGCACCTACATGCATGTGGCTCAGTGTCAGTGATGTACACAGGAGGCCCAGGACAGCCGCAGATAGATAGCTGTGCTCTAATCAAGAAGGCAACTACCACTGCCACACTAAGCCACCCACAGCCTGCTGACCTCAGGCCTTGCTCCTCTTGCTCTGCCAGCTAATGCTGGCAGATACTGTGTTGCAGTGAACAGTCCACTCCTTGGAGGCAAACCTCTCTGCAGGGCCCCACTCAGGCAGACCAGCGCAACAGGCCTCAAAGAAGTACCTTTGTCCCTATAGTAGCAGCTGAGTGGCAGTGCGGCCCTGTGGCATCATCTCCTCCCACATCTGCACTCAGCCTAGGCCACCCATTTGCAGCTGAGTATCCCTCTTCCACCCCACCTGAGCCCCTACCTGACAGCCATCAGCCCCATCAGGGCCCAGCAGGTGTTGTGGATCTGAGACTGGGCACTCTGCACGTAACACCGCTGCTTACAAGACTCAAAGTCCTCCCCCCAGCCTCCATCCGCCATCTGCTGGGACAGCAGGAAGTTGCAGGCCTTGGAGACCTCTGCACAAGCAGTCCTGTGGAGACCAGTAGAGTTAGGACACTTTCTCAGCAAGTCCACTTGCCAGGCCTGGCTGCCATATGGTCCTGGGGAGGGGCCTGCAGATGAGGACAGACAAACCTGCCTCCTAAGCTGTAGAGAATGGCAGAAACGCTCTGGTACAGCAGATGGCCTCACTGGCATGGCAGTCTAGCTATCTAGGAGTATCTGAAGACATGTCTAGGAGCATCCATGCTGCACCAGCCAAGACCAATGCATTTCTTGCTCCCAATACCTACTGGACCCACCAGACCCAAAAGCTGGTAAGGCAGCTAGAGGCAGGGCTTAAACCTGAGGCCTTATCTCAGCCCAGCAAACGTTCTGGGTCCTAGCTCTCTCAAACTGGGGGTAGGGTGTAGGAGGCAGGCACTGTGCTCTGTGAGGTGGCCCATAGTCATGGCTCATGAACTAAGAAGACATCTTTATTTTGACCTGGAACTCATATTTTCAGAGACTCTGATCCTATCTCCCACTATTTTAAAATGCTACATATGTTTTTTTAAAAAATCACACATCAAAGCAAAAAACATCATGTGCTGGCACTTACCCATTTTTGTAGGTGTGTCCCATGCAGGCAAAAGCTTCCAGGCCAAACCAGGTACCATATGTAAAACAAACGCCCCAAGAGCTAGAGGGAGAGGGGAAGGCCTCAGCCTGGGTCCAGAGCACAGGTACTCTGCCTGCACACACTGGGGTGCCATGCACAGAGGGCAGGGCCGAGGCTACCATCAGAAAGGCATATATCTGCCCCTCAGACAGCCACACGATTTCAGCAGCAGCAGTTCCTACCCACTCAGCCACCAGACACAACCCCATTGTACAAGCAAGGAAGAACAATCACATTCAGGCCATGAAACTTCCCACACAGAGCCCTGGTGCTCCCACATCATGAGCACTCACATCAGGAAAAGTCAAGTACCAAATTAGGAGCAAGAGTGTGCCAGGAAGTCAGAGATAGCTGGTGTAGCATACAGGTCCCTGCCCCACACACCTCTGCACACACATGCCAGCACCCCACACACTCAGCTTGGGCACACTTACCCCTCCCAGGAGCCATCAGCCCGCTGCTTCTTCCGGCAAAATGCCAGGCCCTGCTCCAGGGTCTCCCTGTAACACAGGCAATCAGCCCTATGCACATTACAGAAAAGTCATAGTTCCTACCCAATTTTAACCCTGCCATGGTCTCAGAATGAGTATGATCTCTCTTAGAAAATAGGTGAAAATATTCAGATAGGAGAAAAAACAGAGCAGCTACAGAACATGGGAAAGGGAAGCAGACTGTCAAGAGCTCCAAAAAAAAAGCAAGAGAAAAATAAACCTCAGGATGATGCCTATGTTGGAAGTAGGATCAACAAGTTGAGTATTGTTATGGTTTGTGTCTGGGTGGCCCCGCCAAGCCTCATGCAGTTATAAAGATGGCTGAGTCTGGTGTTTGTGACTGGTTCATTATCTAGTGCTGGGATTGGCCAGGTGCTACACCTGCCAAGAAACCTGGAGACAGCAAACAATATAGGGAGAAAAAAAAAAGAAGCATGCTTTCCCTCTTTTGTGCTGTTGCTCTTGTCATTTGAGATCACAATAAATGGCTGCCCCTCCGCCACACCACCTTGGAGCCAGCTAAATATAGACTAAAACCTCCAAAACCTGTAAGATAAATAAACCTTCCCTTGCTTCACTTTGGGCATCGGGTATTTTGTCTCAACAATGAGAGAAAAATAAGTAAGACAAGAATGGTGGCTCATGGCTATAATTCTAGCACTGTGGCAGGAACTTAGCAAGATCCTATCTAAAATAAAAAATAAGTTTAAAAAACAAAAAGGGATTTGAGATGTAGCTCAGTATTAAGGCCCTGGGTTTAATCATCAGTCTCTCTCTCACACACACATATCAAGGACAGGCAAATGGGTAACATGACACCTACATTCACTCAATAATCAAGAGCAGAGGGTCACTACTGACACCAGTTTCAGCAAATCATCTGTGGGTTCTACTTACACACAATTCAAATGAGCAAGGGTAACCCATGACTGAGGGCAGGTGGGCAGCCCCTACATGGAGGTGGTGAGTGGGCACAGGCGACCCCCCCATGGCCTCTGAGTACTGCAGCAGGGCCTATCCACTTCTGAGTGGTTGCTGCTGCCTCTAGGTGTGAAAGACTGCTTAACTGTCATTTATTTGGATTTATCTGGATGAGTGAGGTGTGCATGTTTCTTTTTAACACTAAGATGGTGAAAATAACCCATTTTTGTATTACAGCTGCTACCTTCACTCCCCTCCGCCCTCCTGCTCAGAATTCAGGGACACTAGAAGTGGCACGGTGGGAGTGTCTTTTTCTTCAGTGCTGAGGATGGAACCTAGTGACACTCTACCACTTAGCTACTTCCCCAGCCCTCAGTTGTTACTTTGGAGGGGTGGGGTATGGCGTTCAGTTTTTTGAAAGAGGGTTTTACTATGTAAAACCTCATCCTCTAGTGCTGGGATTCTGACTTTTTAATTTTGAAGACCTTGCTAAGTCACCAATTGTGGATTTTTTCTTTTTGTCTTTTTGAGACAGTTTCAGTATGCAGTTCAGGTTGGTCTTGAACTCACTTTGTAGCCCAGGCTGGCTTCATACTCCTGGAAACTCTTCTGCCTCAGTCTCCCAAGTATTTGAATTACAGGCATGTGCCACCATGCCCAGCACCCACTGTGGTCTTAAAATTGCAGTCCTCATGTCCAGCTCACTCCTAATGTTTAAATGAGTCATTCTCTTCAGTTACCCTGCTGAGGTGCCCAGGGCCTTGTTTTTGTGACATGCTCAAGGTATGTCCCTGGCTTGGTGACATGGCCATATGGCAGGTATTCTGCGCCTTGAGCCTCCTTACTTGATCTCTGCCGCCCTGTGGTCTGGGTAATTCTTGTGGAAACACTTCAGTGCCTGCATCACTGCTGAGGTGCACTCCACATATGTATAGTCGATCATGATGTCCCCTGAGAGAAGGAAATCTGTGAGATCCACTGCCACCCATGGCTGTGACTCAGACCAGGTCAGCCAGAACCTGTGCCCAGATGTCACCCCAACTTGCCCAAGCAATGTGGCCACAAGGGGAAGAATGATTGCACACCGGTGTCATATCAGGCAAGGAAGGGGTTCTGTCAAGACAAGGAACACAGTGGATAGCTGCAGCCCACGTCAAATATCTACTTTATAAGTTGGGAAGTAAAATACCAGACACCAGAAAGGAGGGTACAGTAAGTACCCAAAGGTCCCTCAGGCAAAAAGAACCTCCCATGCCAGACCAGAACCTTTGTGGCAACAAGCAGACAGTCTAATGGCCCACAGCACAGCCTTTGAGGGTACTTGCAACTCCATGAAGGTGCTAGGAGCTGCATGAGGGTGCTCAGGACGCATGATGGCCTCGTGTGGACAAGCAAGACTGGCCCAGACTGGAACCAGAGTTGGGTATGAATCCCACCCAAGCCCAAAACAGACGGTAACCCTTCATCCATGGCACAGGGGACTCCCAAGGTATCTCCGCTACCACATCAGCTCTGATTTGTGCACTGCACTGCTGTCCAGGCCACTCACCAAAGACCTCCGAGGGATTAAGCAATTCCAGCAAGCGCCCCCCACGTGTAGTCTCATAGGTGGCAAACCCTCCATCAGGATTCCTCATGTTCAGTAACTAAAACCAGAGGGATATTCTGAGAATGGGATGTGCTCAGAGCCCATAGCTCCTAACAGAGCTTTCTAGAAGCACCATAGGTTTGACAGCTAATAAGGCAGTGGGTCAATCTGCATGCTGAGCAAGCACTTCAGTGCCCAATACAGCTGCTATAGCCATAGCCTTGTGCAGCCATCTGGTAACAGGTCCTGAGGCACCCGTTCACTTGTGATCACCGATACAGCAGGACTGGTATAAGCTCCAGGGCTTAATGGACTGAAGGAGTTATGCAAAAGCAGTTTCTCCTTTTGGACACCCAGCAGAGACCACCAGCCCTCCAAAAAGATGTCCATGGGAGCCAGAATGTAGAGATAGGCTCTAGTCTCCAGAATCCAGAATCAGAAAACCCCTAGAAGCTTCGCAGCCTCCCTTGGCTGCCAGAGGGAAAGCTGGGCCCCAGCTCCACAGCACCAAGCCCAGGGTATATGGCCATCCCAGGGTTTCTAGTGCCCATACATAATTCTCTAGGCATAAGCTCTCACAGCCTGGCCCCATCTGCCCAGTCTGAAGGTAAGCACACACAGCAGGGCATGAGAGGTGGTGCAGGAGTGAGCTTACCACAGCCACGGCATCACAGAGCCGTTCTTGAGGGATGCGTTCAGCAATACAGGGACACTTCTCTTGTAGGAGCAAGACAGCCTTCAGGCCCTCAGCTGTGCAGTCAGCCACGATCCAGCCACAGTCCAGGGTACTGAAGGGGAAGCCGCCCTGTGGAGTGGAACATGACAATCCACAGATACAGTACCCCTCCCCGCCTAGAGCTGCTGTCTGCACAGCAGCCCAGACATATCCAGGCAGACCCTGAGGTTCCAACACGGGACTCCCTGGATGCACTGGTCTGCAACCCCTCCCTGGATGCCTTCAGGTTGGGGGAAGCATGGGGCAGGAAAACACACACATACCTTACTCAGCTGTCGGTAGTACTTCTGATAGTTTGGAGGGTTGTCTGGGACCTGGGCAGCACCCGGGGGCATAGGTGGAATGTAGAGAGACACACTGTCACCAGAGACCCCAAACTGTGACCTGAGAGCCAGATCTACTGCCAGTCCCAACAAGGGAGTACAGCAAGGCACCCACGAAGTTATAGTCCCATAGCACCATCACTGCTGGGCAGAGTTTGCCAGAGCACTAAATACCCCACTCTCCTGCTCCAACTTCACAGTCTTGCTTTTAAGAGCTGATGACTTGTGAGTGTGGTCAGGGTCCAGCCTTCCACCTCAGAGTCGGTCCCAGGAAGGAGCACTCCTACTATGGGAGCTCTCACCAGCCCGAGACAAGCATCATCCTAGTAAGCTCTGAGAACAGGGAAATGGGGCATAAGGGGCTTAAACTGAAGTTGGTCACTATGGCTGGGATGTGGAGTCAGCACAGGACACCAGGACACACAATGAAGGGTGCAGGGAGGAGCAAGACAATGAAAACATCCACTCAAGTCTCTGGGAAGGACTGGCTGATCTCAGATCAGAGGCTGCACAACATCCCATGAGGTGACAGCCACAGGTTTGTGTCTCCACTGGCCTGAGGTGCTTTCAAATGTACAAGGGTGAGAACAGCCTTAGGGCTCAGGAATGCAGCTCCTGGCTATACCACAGGCTGTCCCAAGTCCTGTACACCATTCCAGCATGAAGAGTAGAAGCATCCACGGGCCACATGTACCACAGCCCATGCCAAGAGCAGCTCTGGGGTGACTGGGGTGGATGGAAGTGACAGAGGAACGAGGACAAGGAAGAAACTGAGCAGGACAGAAGTGTGAGGGCACTGGCCTCACCTGTGAGAGCCGCATGAATGCATGTGCCCTCTGCAGGCAGGATAAGAACTCGGGTCTGTGATGTGCACCTGCCTGGAAGACAGCAACAGCAAAGCACAGCTGAGCCAAATCCCCCAATGTCCTGGTGAATTCTGCCCCACCTGGGAACCAGAAGCAAACTGACACATATCTCTGCAGAATCATAGCGGGTTTTGCTACACTTACATTTCAAGACAGAAAGTCAATGCGATGTGACTAGAGATAGTAATGAGGATACACTGTCCTGGACAGAAGCCAGACTGCTTCTCAGGAGACCCCAGAGGTTCCCTAGAGGAACTGCCTCTGCCTCAGACAGCCCTGCCTGGCCAGAAACACCCCCAAGTCTCCTCCAACACAATATTCTCATTCCTCTGCATCATGTGCTCCAAATAGAGCCAGCCTCTGAGGTTCTAAGAGCCTTGTATTCATTCTGTCTGGAGGGTCACTACTTTGCCCAACTCCCTCCACTGTCTCCTCAGGTTACCCTCTCAAATCCCAGACTCAGCCCACCATCCAGGGAGGCCAGACAGGCCAATACCTCCCTCCTTGGTGTCACTCACAGAGGCTCTGGTGCCAGCCTCATGAGAGCAAGGGCAGTGTATGCTCACAGCGCTATGTCCCTCAGGGGAGACGTGCAGTCCTTACACACAGGAAGGTGAGGTGGGTGCTGCAGGGCAAACCCAGCCACATACCTCCAGCAGAGCCTGGATAGCAAAGGCGGTGTCCCATAATTGTGAGCCATTGGTGCCCTGCATGCAAAGGACAGATGTTTCAACAGCTGCAGCCAGGCTGGGGATATAGCTCAGCAACACAGCACCTACCTGGCAAGCGTGAGGTTCTGAGTTTGAACCCCAGTACAAAAAACATCCAACTCACTGCCACCTCAGGCTGAGCACTGTGCACCCTTCTGCTGGTAAAGGCCTACAAAGAACTTGCCTTCATGAGCCACCATCCAGCAGTGACTCAAGGCATTTCTAGGATTGGACCATCCCTCACAAGATGCCATACTTCTCCCAGGATGACAGGAAATGCCCACCTCCAATCATAGACTGGAGCCTGTGTTCCCAAAACACTTGATCTCAGTTTACGAGGGGCAAGACTGGTCCTAGTAATATAACCTTTATTCAGGGCCCTGTAAAATGTCTGACAGAGCCCTAGGCCCCTAGCTCACAGAATGGTCACAGGATCAGCTCTCCCATAAATGCTTCTTTGGGGACCAAGGACCCAATCAGGCATATCTGCCCAGAAAGAAAAGTATCTGCTGTACACCCTGAACAGGAAGGGCTGGAAAGATGCTGTTCACACTTCTGCCATGTCCAGCAAATCCATGCTCTTCCTTTGAGGGGCCTAGTGTCCCTTTCCTTAACACTGGGTTCCACAGGAAGACGTCTACATGCTGCTCCAACCCTGGCACATCCACTGACTTCTCCACTCACAGCTGCAGGGATGACCAAGGTGAGCCGAGGGGCCAAAAGCTGAGGAAAATGCCCCAGTGATCTGCTGGGGGAACCCTCCAAATAACTGCAGAGAAGAAAGGCCCACATCACACTGTCACAGGTGCAAAATAAGTACTTCTGCAGGGACTGGGCCTTATCTGGGCCTGTCACTGTAGTAGTTTATCCCATCCTGATAAATAGGGCAGACAGTAGATATTATGGCTATAGCTGGATCTGTGAGAATGGTAGCAATCCCAGAGATTGAGGCACCTATAAGGTGCCCTTTTCCCCACACAGACTGGAGAGCAACTCAGCCTCTCCTTTGTGCATTGCTGATCTATTCTGAGGAGTCACTTTGGAATCTCAGCAACCGGTGACCAAGGCTGCACAGCCCTTACCTGCATTTTCATACCATCAAGGCCCAACCTGTGAGGAGAAAAGCTCATGTCAGGAATGGCCCATAGCCATAGCTTCTAACCATGCTGCTGGCCCGGTTCAGTACTGCACTGCCAGAAGTAAGACTACCTCCACAAGTACATAGCTTCCTGCTGTGGCCCTCATGGCTCCAATTTGCAGCCAGACAGTGCTGACAACCTCCCCACCTTCCTCATACTAATTTAAACCTGCCCTACCCATCCACAGGCTTCCTAGTTCTGTCTTCCAGAACCATCTAATGTTTCTGTTAGGTGGTAAATCCTCCCATCCAGCCAACTCCCACATGCCTTCTAGTTCCAGGGGTTATTCCCAGGGACTGGTACTTGGCCCCTCTCAACCAACACTGATTGGGGGGGGGGGGGAGATCCAGCATCACCCAAACCTGCATGTCTGTAGTCAGGACTAAGTGCCATTGCCCTGCCACTTCGTGACCACTCACCAGAGGTAATCAGGGATCCTGAAGACGTGCTCCTGGAATGCAAAGGAGGACGGCCCGTCCACAGCCCAGCGCACAAGCATGTTGATGGTTTTCGATATCTGTGGCAGACATGGCATATACCTCACCTCCAAGACAAGGCACCTCTGCTCCAATAGGAGCTTCCCAAGTGTACCACATGCACAGCTATGTCCCCAGGAAATAACTCAGACTCAGTCCAGTATTAGCCAAGGTCAAGCAAGAGCCAATTCAGGGTGTGGTAGGGTTAGGAGGGTCTGGGTGAGGAGGCTTAGTGCCTCGTGGTTTGCCCAGAGAATACATGCACTGACCCACCACATTACAGTGGCATTGCAGCCCACTGGCCCAGCCCAGCTGCTTCCCAGTCCAGCTTTACCCCCAGTTCAGCTGCATCCCAGCTAAGTGCCTGCTTCCTGCCAGGTTCTTGCCAGCTCTGCCTGTTCTCAACTATATGCCCTGACCACTGGTAACACAGCCGAGGCATGGAGAGTGTGAGCACACTTGGATTCCACTAGACACCACAGTCCCAGGAGGCAAAGCAAGATTAGGAACCAAGGGAAAAGACCAGCACACAAAAGCCCTGCCACTTCCACTCTGGTACCTTTAAATTTAACAATCTAAAATAGGGACTAGGAGGAAGTCAGGGGAAGAAACCACTCCTTCCAGTTGGCCAGAAAGCTCAGGAGGTGGCCTCAAAGAGCAAGTATCCAGACACATACAGAGAAGAGCCAGGTGGTGGGAATAGGAGGGTGAGGCAGCTTCACTGAGCCCAGGGCAAAAGAGATGAAGACAGGAGTTCTCTTAAGCAGGCCTCCTCCTAAATGTACTTGTGTGCACTAATCTCCAGTAATAGGGCTACTGGTGGGTAGGTGGGGGATCAGGGGCTTCTGAGCACCAATTAGGTCCTCTCTGTCCTCAAGAGCTACATGGAGACAGGGATCACAAGGGGCAGGGCACTGACCGGGCCAATGCTGATGTTCTTGGAGAAGCGGTCATCGGCAGCGATGTGCTCGTACAGCACCTGGATGGCCCTGTGCCGCAGGTAGGTGCTGTGGAAGCGCTCATACAGGTTGAGGAATGCTGCAGGGCAGCAGTGTCAGTGGGCACCAGACATGGGATATGTTCTGGCCCCAACCTGATATTCCCATAGCCTTCTAACAGGGAACAGTGTCTCAGCCCCTCTCTCCCCAACTCCTGATTCTACTCACTCCACCCTTGCCTGTGCCTCCTCTTCTGCCCTGCCCAGGTGGTCCTCAGTGTTGCTCAGGACAGGGCCCAGCAGAGGAGGTTGTCCACTACCATAATCAGGACAAATGAACTAATGGGGGCATAAATGAGTGACTCCTTGACTTTGGTTGCCCAGGATCACTGCCTTACGAAACACCTACCATACACTGTACGCAGCAACCAGCTGTGTGGTGTGTACACATCTTCAGGAGACACGTTGTTTCTCTGTGCTGGCCAGTCGATGCTGTCATAGTCCTCCACGTAAAGCTCCTGGAGGGTAGATGGCACCATAACCACTAGTGGAGCATCAGACACACCTCCCAGATACGGAGCCAACCTGGCTATAGCCACAAGTAGCCTCTAATTGCCAGCCTTGGGCCACTGGGTGACACCTTTCTCACAGGTTGGGGAACACTTATCAAATAACCACTGTAAGGTGAGGTCAGATGGCTCAGCTGTTTTAGGGCCACTCTGAGGGGCCTTTCCTTCCTAAGGGTATAGCCCAACCCCTATCCATCCCTTTGCAGGGACGTTTCCCAAGGACACAATTTACACATGGGTCAGGACCGCTTAGGGGTTGAGCATCCACATCCTGAAGTCCACGAAGTCTCCATGGTCCCAGGACATTGGGCAATAGTAGCTGCCTGGCCCATAGCATAGGTGCCTCTGGCCAAAGATTGTTTATTTCTTACTGTTTACAGGAGAGGAAGGTGAAGGCTCCACAAGGTCCTCAGAGTGTGAAACCCAGGCACAAAGACTGTGTGCCATCTGTCTTCCTTCTGTGACAAGGACCCTCAGGATCAGGGGCTCACCTGACGGAGGCTCTGGACCAGCGGGTCCTCTGAGGCAGTCAGCCGAGTGGCATAGCAGTAGCTCATGGGCAGGTAGACCTGCCGGCAGTGGCACCAGAGAGTGGAGGGGTGTGCAGGCACCCAGGAAGGAAACAGCCTAGGGGATAGCACATGATAGTAAGAGTGGACCCTGTCTGCCCCTCTGGCAGCCTTGCAGCCATGGGTCCTAAGTGGTGAATATGCTCCTAGAGTGCAGTGAAACCTGTGTGTTTACTTCCCAAGAAGCTGACATCCCCTCCTACTCAGCATTTCGTGTTCTAAGAGGAGGTGACCATTTGTAGTTTAAATGTACTTTAAAAACATTAGGCCTGGTCCTTGTAGCCTACCAAGATGGCTGCCCCTGTGCTAAAGGCAGTGCAATCTTTGTTTGACCTGGCCCTGGTAGCCACCTGCAACTATAGTCACTATAGTTCTGAATTTCAAGATCCTCTGGTTGATAAACAATATTACCGCAAGCCCATGGCTAAGGTCAGCGAGGAGAAGAAATATGAACAGGAGGAGCTCAGGAAGACTCAGCTCATCAAAGCAGCCCTAATGACAACAACATACTTTGTTTGCAGACCTAGGGATTAGTAAATTCACCAACATGATGATGAAAGGCAGAAATAAAATACTGGCCAGATCACTCATAACCCAGACTTTGGGAGCTATGGAAAAGATGCAGTATAAGAAACAGCATGATGCTTCTACAGAGGAACAGGTGACCATCAAACACAATCCTTACATCATCTTCCACCAAGCACTGAGAAGCTGTGAGCCTAGTACCCAATTTCAAAGGTGACTATTTCTACAAGGTCCTTGTGCCCCTAGCTGACCAACATTGCCACTTCCTGGCCATGAAGTGGATGACCACTGAGTACCAAGAAAATAAGCACTGGTGGACATAGACACCAGAGAAGTTGTCACATGAGCTGCTGCAGGCTTTTCCTGATCAGGGTCCCATGATCAAGAAGAAGCAGGACATGCACAAATGGCTGAGGCCAATAGTGCCCTGACCCACTACTGCTGCTGACAGACAGAAAGGAGAGGCTCTGGGAGGAATCCAAGGCCCTGTGTCCCACTGAGAAGTACCTGTGTATTAAGAGTGTAGTGCTTGTTAAGAAGGATGGAGCAACATGTTTATTGTCCAGTTACCCTTTCTCACTGGCGCTAGAACTGGCTCTCTGTGCCCTGTCTCCTTGTAAAAAGGAAACACTGACTTGGGAACTTCTGAGAAACTCAGGGCCCAGTCTTCTCTTTCCTCAGCTCAGGACAAAACTTCAGGTAGAAAAGGAAGAAACTGCAGTATCAGATTAGAAAATCCTCTCCCTAATACAGAAGTACCATTGATTAAAACTCATTGGAGGAAAAAAAAAAAAAAAAACTTTAGGCCTGCTTGGAACAGTGTTGTACGCTCATAATTCCAGCTGCTCAGGAGGCCGAGGCAAAAGGATTCCAAGTTTCAGGCCAGCCTGGGCAATTTAGCAAGACCCTGCCTCAAAATATAAAAAGAGCTATGGATATAGCCCAATCATAGAGTACCCTGGGTTATGATCCCCAGTACCATAAAAAATGATAAAAAAATTTAAGCCTGTCAACCTCCTCAGAACCTCAATATCTATTCACACAGAAACAGCCCTACCAGCTTCCTAGGACAGCATCTGACCAGCTCCCCATTTGTTCCCCTCACAAGTCCATTCTTGTTCATGAGACACGGTCAGGAGAAGCCACACTGACTGCCCATACTCCCTGTTCTGTAAATGTGAACAATAGGCCTCAGTCTCCTGTGCTCTCTTGAGGGCTCATTCACTAGGTACAAAGGGCAGTTTTTAAACCCTGGGTACAAATTCTAGCTTTTCCAAAGCCGGACAGGCTCAAGGTTTCTGGTCCTCCATTCCTACTGTTCAACTCCTAGTGTTCAACCTCCAACCCACACCCTAAACTAACTCCAGCAAGGACCAGCAGCACACTAGCGACAGTGCAGAGTACCACTGACCAACAGTCTTACCACACAAGGACACAAATCAGATACAGCCCCCAACTGCAGCCTTCAGAAGTGCTTTAGAAACCCACCCCCCATCCCCCACCCCCATGGCTACAACAACCACCCTTCTTCTCAGGGCCTTTCTCAGCCTGTTCTTCACACTGCAGGTCCAGCTCTGTCAGCTCCCAGTAGTGGACCACTGGATGCCAACGTGGCCCAGGGCATCTCTCCAAGAGGCAATAGCATACCACCTGTACCAAACACAGGCAGCACTGTCCATAATCCCTGCCCCTCACCCAACACCTGGCAGCCCTCCCACCTGTCACCACCCAATCTGTGGAGCAAGCCCTTCGTCCTTGTTTTAGGACTCTGCCATCCTCCTTTAGTGGCCCCTTCACTCCCTCCTTCCTCTACCTAGTCACCTACCACAAGATCCTACTGCCTGTTTCCATAGCACTCCAGGGACATTGCAGGGGCCACACCTAGGCTCTGAAGTTCTGGGGTCCCAATTCCAATATATATGAGGTATGATGATAATGTATGTTGAACATTTAAATTTTTATAAAATTACAAGAGTAAAAGACACATTGTTACTAATCACCCTCAAAATACTTGCCCACTTAATTTGAAAACACTTATCCCATCGTCCTTGCCATTTCCTAAAGCAGTTCTAAAGTCCTTGAGATCTTTAGTTGTACTGCTGTAGCTGCCTCGATGTTCTAAACTGATTCAAAACTGTTGCCTTTCTCAGTCATTTTGACTTGGGGCAAGAACAAGAAGTTGCACCACAGCAGATCTGGTGAATAAGATAGATGACAACATTATGAAGTTTTTATGAGCTGGTTTTTCTGATGGATTGTACAATGGCACTCACCATATTTCTGGTGCCATGCTGTTAAATAAAAATCAACAAAAAGGATATCTAGAACCACCCAGAAAGTGGCAAAAACAATAAGAAAAGTGTTTGAAGCCAGAGAAGAGTACTTTACAGGTATTAATGATAATGTGGCTTTTACTGTAATACATTTTTGAAACTTAAAATATTCATAGTATATTTTTGTATATTCTGGTCACACTTTGTAGCAACAGGGTAAATGTATACATATAAGTGTTTTCTGGGGAGTGGTTCACAGCTTTCATCCATTGCTTACCAAACATCAACAGGCCAGGGGAATATAGCTCAGCCACTTAAGTGTCTGCCTGGCAAGTACAAAGTCCTGAGTTCAATTCCCAGAAAAGAAATTATCAACAGATGCTGGCAGTAGATATGAAATTCTAAGGAATGAATGGGCACGGTGGCATGAACCTGTAATCTCAGCACTTGGGAGGCTGAGGCAGGAAAACCTGCATGAGTTCAAGGCCAGACTGGACGACATAGTGAGCTCAAGACCAGCCTGAACTACAAACCAAGATCTCATTTCAAAAAACCAGAAAAAAAAAAAATCTAAGGAATGAGCGTGGTTCCATTAAATAAAACCTAAAGATGCACACAGAAACATTCATGGATACAGTGATACCCAGGACTTGATAAACATTCACTCTGAAACAGGCAACAGGAAGGACAGATACAATTATCATATGACAGCCAATGGTAGGTCCAAGTATGTCTCTTTAATTATACCTGCTCAAGATTTTCTTACTTACCAGGTATGAACTACTATCTACCTCAGAAAGCCTGAGCTGCTTTCTATACCATACAATGGATTCTAGTATCATCCCACATACAACATACAACCAGGTCATATAGCCAGACTCAGTGCCTCTCCCTTCCCTGTTGCCCAATAGGGAACCCTGATTCCATATATCTGTGTGATTTAGTAGGCAAAGAGCCTCTGCTGGAGGCCTGATGCACCCCACCTGGTTTACCCATCTACAAGGACAGGCAATGTGACTGGCAAGAGCAAGCTTACCACATCTCAGGAAACAGGGTGTGGAGGCCTTCCCAGCTGTAAACATTCATGATGGCCAGCCAGAACTTTCCCCAGGAGGCAATGGCCACAGCACCACCTAGAAAGAAAACAGGTCCATGTCATCTGCCTCCCGTCAGCAGAACCAACTCTGCTCTACCCATGAAGACTGACCTATATGGTCATGTGACCCACTTTCCATATCAGCTGAGAGCAGCCTGCTGCAGGTCCTGCAACCCCAGGTGACAAGTAGGATCCAGAGCAACCCAAGACACCAAAACAGCTGGGTGGAACCAGCAGCTTTCTCAGGAGTATGTTCAGCCCCAGGAGAGCTGGTTGTACCTCTTGTCTCCAAGAGCACAAGGCAGCTACCTGAGAATGAGTAGGACACTTGCTGCTCAGGAGATGGAGGGATCCAGATGCAAGCAATGTGCCATGGCCACAAATGTCTGGGAGACAGAAGGGAGGGAATGAGAAAGTATTTTGGGGTCTCCTCTCAGACCAAGCCTAAGCTGTTTGTGCTTTTCCACCTGAGAGACAGTCCAACACATGTGAATAACAGGCTAGAGTAAATCGGACCTGTCAGCCCACGTCCAGGACCTCCCTCAGCAGCAGCAGCTATCAGGTACAATGCACAGCAACACTGAGTTGGACACATTTTATGAGAAAGTTCTGGCCCTAACCCACAAAGTCAAAAAAGACCTAGGTAACTTTTAGGCAGAATGTGGCCCAAATATTCCCCCACCAGGCCAGTGCCAGGAGTACGGGAGGGAACCCTGGGAACTCAACATGCTGATGATGAATTAATTACAAACAGTACAGGATTTCATGAAAATATGTTCAGAACACATCTTACCAAGAAATCTCATAGAAGAGACATGTGAGGTGCAAGCTAGAGGGTAAGTAGGAGCTTGCAAAACTGCAAGGTTAGGAGTGGAAAGTGGAATGAAAAAGTGCAGGTCATGGGAACCCTGAGATGGAAAGGGGCCTTTTAAAGATTTGCCAATTCATAAGACATGGAATTATCAGGCTGTTTTTAATTTGCTCTTTAAAAAATTAAGCAATTAAAATTTCTGCATATATTTATGTATTTTGCCCAGTGTCTTCTCTGGAAGTGCATCTTTCTGACTCTCATCTGGTATAACAAATTCTTTTTCTACCTTTTTCATGAAGGTGTACCTTTTTTGTGAAGGAGGTTCCGGGCGCGTACCAGGTTTGGATCATCAGGACCAACACCCAGGATTCTGAGAGCCACATAGTTGAGTGCAGTCCCAAAAACTGTAGATTTGTCCTCAATGTGCCTATGGGATATCAATCTGGTATGAAAAGGAACTCTTACTTCTAAGAAATAAAAGCTAGGCATAGTACATAGGTCCTTAAGCCAGCATTCTTACAAGATGAAGCAGGACTGTAAGGTTGAGCCTAGCCTGAGCAATTTCAGCAGGACCCCATCTCAAAATAAAAAATAAAATCAGCTTTGTAGCTCAGTGCAAAAGCCCTGGATTTGATTCCACTACCAAAAAAAGAAAACCTAAAAAGAAAAAAAAAAAGGTGCCACCATTTCAAACAATAAACATAAACTAATACTGGCAGTAAAATTTGCCTAAGAAAGAACCCTAGAAGACCTTTAACCAACATGGTATGACAGCACAGGAATCACTATGAAAAGCCTACTCTCCTCTCATGACTTCTGAGCTGCTCTAAAATCTCCTAGGCCACCTGCCCCACCCTTCTGCTCACTTTCCACATATGAGTCAACACATCCATCTCAGGGCACCCTGGGTAGGCAGGGTTGTCGCTCCCAGACTTTACCCCATACCAGGAAAGCAGAGTCAGAAGCTGCTGAACACCCTGCCACTGAATTGAAGGCAGTTTTTTCTGCCTGAATGATAAAACACTGATGATTTTCACATGGCAAATGGGTCTCAAAGACACCCTTAACTGATCATGAAACCCACTTACAATACCAGGTATGAAAAGAAGTCCAGCCTGCACATAACTGTCAGCCCATTCACCTCTTTCCAGGTCCTCCCCCCCCCACCCCAAGCCCACAGCTTCAGTCACCCCCCTCTCAGCAGTTGCTTGGAAACCTGAGGACTGCCTACACAAAAACACATACATGCGCCCACTTGTACACGTATGCAGTTGGGCATACTCACAGGCCCCAGCCACCATCAGGGAGCTGCACTGACAACAGGTACCGCACCATCTCCTCTCTGTATCCAGCCGGCAGAGGAATGTGTGTTATGTGGCATGTGATCAGAAGGCCTGTGTAGCAGGAAGCATCACAGCTCAGCATTGCCCTTTTCCTCCTGAGGACCCCCACTCAAACAGGGAACTGTCCCTCTAGGTTTCCTTCTCATGGAATTGAGCCTAAGAAGGCCGTTTCTCCTGGGCTGGATCAGGGCCTTTCGGAACACAATTAGAGACAGTGCCAGAACAACACAGGTGACATTCCCAGCGCTGGGTCCACAGAGCCCACTGAGCCATGCCTAACTTCTACAACAATGTCAGGGCCACAGAAACACCAAATAGTACACAGGGCTCTAAGGTTGCCTCCCACAAGTATCCTAAAGACCCAAGAGGAGGTAGCATTCAAGCTCAGTTGACCACAAGGGGAGACTAGGTCTTGCTCTAACTGCTGAGGAAAAAAAAAAAAAAAAAACACTAAATGGTCAAGTGGGATGGAGTAATGTTTACTGCTTATTTTTATTTTCTGTTTTGTATACTTTTTAGAAGCTCACACACTTTGCAAATGAGCCGGGGGACAACACTGTTCAGAAGGAAACTTCTCTCCTAGCCTGGTCTTCTGGAACACACTACGGTGCTTGGGCCTCCCTTTACCCCCAGCTCTCACCTAGAGGTTGCATTATCACAAGGTCCCAGGGCAGAATTATCACAGAAACAAACTCATACAGTATTTGCATAAGAATTCAGGGCACTGAAACAATAGTCTTATAACATCAGTGGGGAAAAGAGGCCTGCTGCACAAATTCTAGGAAAAACTCTAGATTACATTGTTTCTGTAGAGAATGCAAAACATTCTTGGCCAGCCAAATCAGTTCAGTGTCCTAGGACTCAACTGCAATTCTATCACCACTTAACAGCCAGAACCTAAGGGTCTCTGCCAGAACTTCCTCAAGCCACTCTTTGGAATGAGTTCACAGCAGGTATTACAGAACTCAAAAGCCAGGTGTAAGCTGTGCATGCCTGTTATCTCAGCACGTGGAAGCTGAGGCAAGAGCATCACTGCAAGTTTAACAGCAGCCTGAGGTACAAAGTGAGCTCAAGGCCTGAACTACATAGCAAGACCCTATCTCAAAAAGGCAAAAAGAAAAAGAAAACAAAAACAAACAAACAAAAAAACCTTATATTGCTCCCTAGAACACCAGCATGCCACCTACAAACCCACCCACCAAGATGCTTCATACAGGCTGGGCCTTCCATGTAAAGTGCTGTTCCCAATTTACACTGGGTCTCAAGAAGTCCCCCTAACTTGCCTTGCTTCCCTATCACAGTTCAGACTGCCTGCCATCCTACACTGGGCCAGATGTGCCTTCCCTCCTACTGGCACTAGCACCAGGCTGCCTAGGGCAAGCACCCTCAGTTCTTTTCCTGTGTGCTTCTGGGTTTACACCTGCTTCATCAAGAGCCTAGACCAGCATTTGGCAGTGGTTCAAAGCTTTTAATGCTAACAAACAGCCCACTGTGGCACATATGCCACAGGTTCACCACCACTGGCCTAGACCAAGCCAGGCCAGGGCCTTAAAGATGATCCAAGGTCAGGGCCTGGGATTTAGCTCAGAGGCACAAGCGCCTGCCTGGCAAGCACAAAGTCTTGAGTTCAATCCCTGGTACTGAAAAAAAAAAAAGTAACCTTTGCCCTCAGGCTGGGGCAGCATACTCCTACCTGGCAGTAGAAAGAGTGGGCCACCATAATCACCAGTCCAGTGTCCATCCTCAGCCTGCAGCCCCGCATAAAATGTTATACCGTTCAGAGCCCCTTCGTGGGCTGTGTGAGCTTTGGGCAGGTCTTTAAAGTAACTCTTCTACAAAGGGAGAAAAAACATGAGAACTGACAGCGTTTGTGGTAGGGCCAGAAGAGCCCTCCTCCTCCACAGCCCAAGTCTGACTAGTAAATCTAAGCTACTTTGACTTCCAGCTGAAAGTATCTGCTGACAGTATTACATCTCAGCAAAGAAAAAGGCCTGCTACGCGGTTTTACTTTATAGTTCTGTGTCTGCAAATTTCTTCACAACCTCTCCATTATGTCTCGAATAAGCTCAGCACTCACAGGGTGTGGGGTAGGGCATGACGCCCATGCGGGCGGGCCCAGTAGGCGCTGGTGGCCATAGCTCGGTTCACTGAGTCTGTACCTGGCGTTCACTTAGGGGTGCACACGACCAGGACATCGTATCAAACAAGTTCTTTTTGCAAATAAAATCAAAATCACAAGTATCCAACTCGTCTGCCAATCTAAAATGATTTCCAAATAAAGTGCCCCCCCCAAAACGTAGACGGTTCCTGACGCGACCGAGTCGGACCCTCCATCCCGCAACCCCGCCCCCCGACAGAGGCCCCGTGCGGCTCCCGCGACACTCACTGTATTCAACCCCAGCGAGTGAGCTTCCAGGCCGCTCTGCGCGCGCTCCGGCTCCTCGCCTTCGGGGAGGTACGTCCACGTCTGGCGCCCCAGCTCACTGTGGAGCCGCCAGCGGCTGAGATCCGTTGCTGGCTCAGTCTTGTAGGGTCCCCCGCGACGCCGCAAGCAGCTGGGCGGACCGCCGCAGGGGGTGAACGGAGTGTGGCCACGATCCGGCCCGCCCCTTCCTCGCGCCTCCTGCTCCCCCCACCGCGCGCCTCCCGCGTCCTCGAGTACCCCGCCCTGCAGCGCCCTCCGCAGCCAAGACTTACGTGCCCTCCGTCATGACTGAACCAGGACCACGGAGTCCCGCAACGCGCACACTTTAACCACCACTGCGCTAACTGCGCAAGCGCACGCCTCAGCTGACACGCGCAACACGGTGGGCCGAGGCCAGCGCAGCCAATCAGAGCGCTGCTCGGCGAGCCCAGGGCGGGCCCAGCTACTGCACTGGTGGAGCGCGCGACGCTCCACCCGGAGAGGATCAGAAGGCGGAGTCAGAGGCGTGGCCGGCCTGCTATAGGCTTCGGAACTAGAGCGGCCCTGGAAGCGCGCGGCGTTCGGAGAACCTGCGGTGGCGAGGAAGAAGCGACCGGGGAGGAGCAGGCTAGGGGTACGCGTGGAGACTGCGGGGGGCGTCCCCGCCCCACCTGCACTGGTTAGGTGGTGCTTTGCTCCCAGCCCTGGCGTTGCGCCCTCACTGCGCTTTCTGCCCCGCACGGAGCCTGAGAGCTGGACAAGTCACACGCCTACCTCGTCAGTTAGAACGTTCTCCAGTCCCCGCTAGAAAGAATGAAGACAGCAGTAAAATAGACGGGTCCGGAAACAACCTTGGCACGCACAAGTAAATGGGTGGAAGGACAAGCTTAGAACAAAGGTCTGGTAACTGCATCTCTCCTAAAGCACGCAAAAACGTCCCAGCCTCTGGGCCACTGAGCGCCCCCCGCACCGCCGTGCCCATTATGGCGACCCCGGAAAGGCAGGCAAAGAAGTCTGAGCACATGAGACCCTCTGTTCTCCCAAATTCACTAACCGAGAAAACGCCGGTTTCTCTGGAAACAAGCGGGAAGCCCCTCCGAATAGAAACGTTAAAAGAGTGGGAATAGGGACTCCATAATCTCTTATGTTGCGAGTCTACCAAAGCTAGATAAACGAGGGGAAAAATCTAAGTGAGGAGTGAGGTTTCAACTAGAAAAGGATCAAACTGATTCTTTACTGGACTGGACTCCATGAGTAAAATAGTACTCTAATATGTTAAAAATAAAACCAATCGGTGAATTCAGAAATATCTATGCAATCATTGGGGAAAAAAATTTTTCCAAGTAGTCTTGGCCTGAATAGTTAAGTATACAGTGGCGACATTCAAACAGGGAAGTTGGATTGAAAATATCAATACAGACTAGGACATGTTTAACAGTGATGTTCACTAATGAAGGGGAAATGTTGAGCTGAAGGTATTAAAGACAGAACAAAGCTAAAGAAAATCTAGGAGTCATCTGTTTTCAAGTGGTATCTGAAATCGTGATTGGAATAGAAGTTAAGATGAGCCTGAGAGTCACAAACTTTTCTAATTTAAAGGGTTAGTGGCCAGTGAGGCGGTAAACTAAGAAAACGTGGAGTGAAAACTTGGGCTTGAAGCATAGCTGAAACCATTGAAATCAAGAGGTAACCTCTATGCTTGTTCTGGAACCCTGTCCTGCTTCTCCCACTGAGCCAGAAAACTTGAAGCAGTAGTAAGAAGATCTGAAGCATTAGTCTATAAGTCAAGTCCTACAAAAACTGGCAAATGGGACTTAGTAAAAAAGCAGAAAAACCCTAAGAGATAACAAACTGCCCACCAGAGCGCTTCAACAAGCTATTAAGTTTCTCAAAATTCCATGGCCAGCATGAGCCAGGCAGTTGAAAGAATGATGCAGAAGCACCTTTTGCTAATGCAAGGATTCATCTTGGACATCCAGTCCAGACAGGCCTTCAGATGACTGCAGCCTCAGCATCATCTGCAGCTGCATTGGAGATACAAGAGAAAGCTGCCCAGCTGAATCCTCAATTTAAGTTATGTTTAGGGTAGTTAGTGGGGGAGGATGAGGCTAGAAAAAAAACACTAAATACCAAGCAGGAGGTGAGAGGAATCAAATTATAAGGGTATAATACAAACATTTTAGATATTGAAGCTCAGAAAGCTACTAGACCATGAGCTCTATCAAAATAAAAACCAGGGGCTGGGGATTTAGCTCAGCGGCATAAGCGCCTGCCTTGCAAGCAGGCAGTCGTGAGTTCGATCCCTGGTACCGATAAAAACGAAAAAGACAAAAAAAATAAATAAATAAATAAAAACCAAACCAAGAAGAAGCTAGCACTTTACCTGATTATGTATGTCTATGTTGGAAATTTATGGTTAGGGCTGCAGTTTGTGGGGTTTTTTTGTTTTCCGTTTTTTGTTTTTGTTCGGGGGCTCAAACTCACAACCTCACACTTGCTAGGCAAGTGCTTATGCTGCTGAGCTAAATCCCCAGCCCCAAGGGCTGAGTTTTGGGGAGTAGTAACAGGAACATAGAAAACCAAACAAATGAAAAAAAAAAAAGAAGCAACAATTAACTCTAGGAAAAATCAACTGTTCATGAAGGAAATACAAAATACATGGCTCAACAGCCAATGGTAAACATATAGGCACACTGAACTCTTAAGGATTGCAGCCAGCATATTAAACTAACATGAGATGAAACGTAGATGTATGTGTCAGGATTATAAACCTTGGAAGATTTATGAAAGTTAACTGCTCACCCAGTGTAGGAAGTCAACAATGTGTAAAATCAAGATTAAGAAATGGCATTAAATCAGTATGATATCACAGGCCTGTTATCTCAAGAGTCAAAAGTTTAAGCCCCACCCAGACAATTTAGTGACCTGGTAAAACCTTATCTATAAAATAAAAAACAACAAAAAGCTGGAGATGTATGTAGCTTAGTGAGAAAGCTCCGGGAAGTTCAATTCCCAATTAACATACCCAAAAGAGCCAGGCCTGGTGACCTATGCCTATAATCCCAGCATTTGCTCGAAGATAATCGCAAATTGGAGGCCAACCTTGTCTCAAAAAAAAAAGAAATACAGGGGCTGCTGATAAAGCTCAGAGGCACAAGTGCCTGCCTGCCAAGTACCAGGTCCTGAGTTTGATTCCTGAAAGAAAAAAATACATTAAGTCCTTAATTACTGGAAAATTCCTACAAGAGAGGGACTGGCCTGTGGATTTGGTAATGGTGAGATGGGGAAGTCTTCTTAGTGCTTTTGTTTTCTCAATGAAATAGGAGGAGGGGCCATTACCTAATAATGGAGGTTTGAAGAGAACCAGAAGACATGAAATAGTCTTGGAGAATCTGGAGGACATAGGACTAGTCAGGAGATGCCGATTGCTAGTTTGAAATAAATGATCATACACAACATTACCAAAGTCTATACTGTTCTGTATATGGCTGAAATTTATCTCCTTTCCATACCAACTGCTAATAAACGCAGGATTATACTCTTCTTCGTTGACCCAGATGGTTGCAGTACTCCTAAGACTTTTACCTCATGCTGACCATCTGCCCACCTGCCATTTTTACAAGAAAATGTACCTATGTCACTTTTTTGTTTACTATCCTCCAACAACTGGTTCTCACAGTACTCAAGATATGGCTTGACCTTGCTGGCCTCTCACTTAGCCACAATCAAAGGGATGTCTCTGAACTTTCATCACATCACTTATTTTTTCCATCTTTCCCTGCTTCTAATCCATGAATATATGTCCATGTACATAAGTAAGACAGTTATGCAGGTATATATCTATTTAATGTGAGCTGGATGGGCCTGGCAGGCAGGGGCTGTCAATGAAATCAGACACTGAGACTGCTGAGAGAATTCATCACTTATTACACATGGAAATGTAAGCTGTAGACTCCCTCAGAGCATGTGCTGGTGGGTGACAGTCTGAGGAGATCATGAAACATAATATCAAAGATGGCACAATGGAAAACAGCTTTTCATTCTGAAAACAGGGATATTATTATAAGATTCAAATAGTTTACCAGCATGATTAATAATTGTGCATCAAACATCTGAAAATAACATAATTTAAAAGCAGAAATTCTTCTGAAGACAAGACCTCCCCTCACTTCAGACTGTTTAAATATCCACCATGTCCAGCAACGCAGACAGGTGGAACTCGGAGGCAACTTCCTTTTCCTTTGAACTCTGGATCAGCTGTTCCAGATGCGTTAAGCGTTCTGTCAGAGACATATCTGTTGCTTCTGACAGCTGCAGTTGTTCCCTTGTTCTTGCATTCTATTTGAATAAAAACCAAAAATAGCCTTAAGATATCAATAAAACAAGACCTGTTCTTTGTGAAGGGACTAGATCTAGTATGTGCTAATCTTACCTGCAGCCTATTGGGCTCACCAGATGCCCTTTTAGCATCCAACACAGCCTTCCAGTCTCTTATATTACATACAGAGGTCAAGTATCATCTATGCATGGCTTGTTTCTCTTTATATTTTACATGGACAATTTCCAGTGTCACTCATTTTTATATGGTCTATGATGAATTCACCTCCCATCTTTAGACATTCACTTTGTTTCTACTTTTATGCAACATAATCACTGCTACAGTCAACATTTTCAGACATTAACTGTGAATATCTTGAAAGTTTCTTCAGAATAAGTCAAACAGTATGTACATTTTTAAGGTAGACATTTACTAAAGGATACATGGAAGCAGTAAGTCATCTTAACTTGCTCTCCACCCTTATTGAGAGACTTCCTATATCCACTCCAGGAAAACCATTTGCAACAATCTAGTAGCACCTACCTGTAGTTAAAACTCTCTACTTCTTTAACCTCATTAGGAAGGGCAGTGGGACTGAGAGTCCTGGGCTTTAGAGCTAGATTTAGCTTTGAAAAGTAGTTGTGCTCCTACTCTGTAATGTGAGGCTCTTGATTTCTGTGAATATATCTTCATCATTAATTTTCTCTGAGAATGTTAATCCCAAAATAAGTCTAGGTGATGCCAAGGTTTGGACAATATGTTGAAGCCATTTTTGCCTGTGTTCTTCTCATCAATGTCCTTATTACACATCAGCAAAAGATTATAGGTTTTATTCTGTTTTTAAGCATGTTTCAGTTCCACCCTTCTTTAACTGCACAGGTACAAACAAAATTAGCTGGGTCATTCTAACATTGGCAGATAGCATTTGAGAAAAGGTCTCATTTAAACTAATATTGTATTGATTGCCATGATAAATTGAAACCTACCTTTGTTCCCCAGCCCCATACTCTTGAGTTTTTAATTTTAACATAAATACTAAATGTACTCTTCTCACCTGTGGGCTAGTGGCTGTAGATGTTGTCACAATAGATTCAACAGTTTGAGGAAGAGAAACTAGTGTCTGAGGAAGGTAGATCGGAAGGGAAATTGAATCTGTGAATGCTCTGGAGTCTTGAGACAACCACTGCTGCAGCTGATCTTCAAATCTGAAATAGTATATGATCACAGAATTCAGAAACAACTGAGCACCAAAAAGCAAAATGTTAACTTTTATTCATTTCCTTTGTAGGCATACGTTTGCTTTTTAAATACCTTTGCTTGTTAAGGATAAAACTAAAGTTATAGCATCAACTGAGATGCTGTAAAAGGCATACTTTTAAAAATTTCATTCTCTTTAATTTATAACTTCAATTTATACTTAATCAGAAAAATGACATTAATCCAAAAACTGCTTCTATATGTTATTTAATATTATAATTGTCTCACTTATTTTACATGTTACTTAATATTATAATTCTCTCACCTGGCTTATCTTCCTTTTGACTTACTTTGGTTTTATGCCTTTTTTTTTCATCTTTTTGAAACACGTTCTTACTATGCAGTTCAGGCTGTCCTTGAGCTCACTTTGTAGCTCAGGCTGGTCTTGAACTAGAAGTGATCCTCCTGCCTCAGCCTGCCAAGTGCAGGGAGTGACATCTATGGAGTAGGCGTGTACCACCATACCCAGCTGCCTTTATTCTTATCTCTTCATGAATTTATCCAAACATGGATTGCTACTTACAATTTTAAATTAACTCAAAATAATATCCCACTACTATCTAACATGCCACAGAGCTGTCTATCTCCCCATACTGCTCTTTTCAAGACAGACAATGTGAAGCAAGGTGAGTGGTATGCATTTATAATCAAGGATGGGAGGGCTGGGGATTTAGCTCAACAGCATAAGCGCTTGCCTTGCAAGCAGGCAGTCGCGAGTTTGATCCCCGGTACTGATAAAAAGGAAAAAGACCCCCAAAAAAAAAATCAAGGATGGGAAAATCACTTGAGTTTGAGGTCAGAATCTGAACTTGAGAGCAGGCTGGGCACCAGTAAGATTCTCACACACACACACACACACACACACACACACCATGTACCTAGTAAGATTCACTCTCACACACACACACACACACACACATACACCATGTACCTAGTAAGATTCACTCACACACACACACACACACACACCCACCATGTACCTAGCATGCAAGAGGATCCTGGGTGCTGTTCTCAGGACAACAACAACAAAAAAGAAAAATCATCCAAACTCATTTAAGTTATACAAACCTAGGTAAACCTATTTTTAGAAATCATGACATTCATGTTTCCAACATATATTTATCAAGCACCCATCAAATGTGAGGGACCATTCTAAGTACCAACAATATAGCACTGACACAAAACAGACTGCCAGGCTTGGTGGCACACTCCTGTAAGGCCACAAATAGGGATACTGAGGCAGGAGGCAGAGTTCAAGGCCAGCCTGAACTATATAGTGAGACCCTGTCTCAAAAGAAAAAAAAAAAAGCAAAACAACAGTCTACCCTCAGCAGTTTATCCTTTAGTAAGGGGAGGCAAACAAACTACCTGTAACAAAGGAAAAGTCTGAAGATGAGAAAGCAGAGCCATGGACATAGGGGAGGTGGGGACACACAAGGCCTAATGCAAAGGATATTTGAGCAGAGACCTGGAATATACAAGAGGTCAGGTAGCAGTGGCTAGAGTATCAGGCAAGAAGAACAGCAAAATCAAGAGGTCAATAACTGGCTACCCTTACAAAGAAACTGCCACTAATTTCAAGTAAAAGAGGAAGCCACTGAAAGTCTATGAGTAGGGAGTAACATGACTCCTTATACTGAAAGGTATCCACTGGTCAACTAAGACGAGACTGCAGCCTACTCCAACAGTCCACAAGGAAAGTGACAGTGGCCTGGACCAGGGTGTGGCTGTAGATGTCCTAACAAATGATCTGATTCTGAGTATATTTTCAGAAGAGCCAATAGGATTTCTGAATGGTCAAGGTATAGGAAATGATTCTAAGGCATCAGGCCTGGGTGGCTGGAAGGATGGAGTTGTCACCAACAGACATGATCACTGAAGGAAGAACTGACTGGAGGGAAACTGGGAAGTGGACATGGGAAATATATAGTTATGGCTTTGAATTAACTTTGCTACTGGCCACCCTGTAGATGTCTAAGAAAAATTTCGGAAGTGACAGTATATTCAAGTCCAGAGTTCAAAGAATTCAAGATTTGAGATGAAAATTTGGAGTTGTCAGAATACTGCTATTATTTAAAAATCCATAAAAGTGGATGAAACCATGGAGAAGCAGGTATAGATGATACAGAAATGAAATTCAAAAAGTAAGCCAGAAGGACAGTTGAGGGCTGAGGAAGAACCAGCAGGGAGTTCCTGGAAGGAGAAATAGTGACATCCTAGAAGCAAGGAAGGACCAAAAGGGTGGATCACTCCAGGGATAGGGGTTCATAGCCATGTTCAGCCATGTGTGAGCTGCCAAGATAAAGAAGCTAAGTTACCACAAAAATACTTGAGGGCATTTACTGCTAAGTTGACTAGCAGTAAAGAGGAAGCGGGGCCAAGGGAAAGAAATGCCACCATATCTTCATGTCTGTACACTGATGGGCATGACCTAGTACAGGGGAGGGCAATGACACAAGAAAGGATACCCACTGGCTGAGTCCCTTGAGTGAGTGGGAGATGAGGTGCTAGTCCAAGGAAAGGGCTGACTTATCAGGGGCTTTCCCTTACAGCTGGAATTAAACTAGCTCAGTGATGGCAAACCTTCTAGAGCTTTCAATAACAAACCTGCTTTGGCATGAATGCCAGAGGTTCACCACCAATGAAGACAGTTCTCCTCCCCATTAATACAAGGGGGCAGAGGAGATGGGATGATGTAAGGATACTGCTAGATGTGGCTGGGCAGAGCAGTGGAGGTGATGGGAGGACCTGTGTATACTCTTTCTAGTTCTATTTCTCAGTAAATCTGAGAATAAGGCCACCAAGGGTGGGTGTAAGACAAAGGTGTACATGAGAGGGAGGGTAGCAATACAGAGAAAGATCAGAGCCAACTCCCACCCACCCCAGGTGGGATGAGCCACAAAGGCCTCAGGCTAGCCACGGGAAGAGAGCAGCTGGCCATGCGCAGAAAGCAGCCCGCCACTGTTCAGTACTCACTGTCTTCTGTGTGGACTTGACCATACGTATCTCCTACTAAAAATCTGATGCTAACTTTCAATAATAAGAAAAATCAGTGAAATCAGTTTTAACTAGTAAAACAGAAATGTGTCACCAAGGGTCCTGTCTTTCAGGAACTTATACTTTGTTAAATTTGACTCACCTTTGTACAAATACACTCGTCACTATAATCCTTGCTAACCAAACTGCCCTTCTCTAGCTTGGCCATCTTGACTCAATTAGACAAGAGTCAGTCTTCCTCTCTGCATGAAACGGACTGAAGAACACACATGAATTCAAAGGGAAAGAGTCTTACCTCTTACTGTCCTCTTTCTCTTGTAGCAGGCTGCTAGACAGACACTCTGCCAAGAGCTCCTCAGCAGAAGCTCCTCGCACCAGATCTTCGGCACTGACACTTCGCCTCAGTTGGCAGCACTCTGCATTCCTCTTCCCTTTACAATGCATGTGAAGTAACGGAATGGAAAAATTGCTTGCAGCAGGATGAAAAGTCTTTATCCTCAAACTGTAAATACATGTTTTGAAATGCTTTTAATCAGTAAAGAGGAAGAAAGGATCCCTATAGCATCACAGAGGCATGTGCGCACAGCCACACAGGAGCTCACCTTGGGAAAACACATGCCTCAGACCCATACCCTCCTGGGAGGACATGCTTGAGTCAGTCCTGCCTGAAGCAGAGAGTAGTCCTACTCTGCATAGTGATTCTCACACAGCAGCAGCAGCAGCAGCAGCAGCAGCAGCAGCAGCAGCAGCAGCAGCAGCAGCAGCAAAAGCAGTTGGAGACACTTGTCTATTGCTCCTGGAAGCTTCCACAATCCTGAGACAGCTGGGCTCTCAGAGCTTCTCTATTCTGTGTCTTGCTGCCCATTCCAGTGTTATAAACAGATTGGTTTTTCCCTAATATTGCCAACATACTTTTTCTTGACATTTAGTTCTTGAATCCTTCTGGAAATAATGTTTGCAAATACTGGGAGGAGTTTTTATGATTTTTTCCTAAACAGATACCAATGTCTATCCTTTCTCAAATAATTTCACTACTAATAAGACATTTACCATATATTGTTCTACTTCAGGCACTTTCTGTTCTGATCTGTTTGTCTATTCCAGCATCACTACATGTTTTAGGTATTGTGTAGTATTCAGGCCAAGTAAGTACATCCTCCTTAGTATTTATACTCAAAAAACTTTCTCAATAGTTGTTACACATTTTCTTATCCTAATAATTTTAGGATTGGTGAATACAAAGGCAAAATTTTATTGATGGTTTGATAATAAATGTCCTCACTTTATGATTTGAGAAATGACATCCTCACATTATTATATCCTCCAATGATAAAGGTAGCCAGTACCTCCTTTATCAAATTTCCATGGTATAAAGGGTCTCGAGCACTCTCCCAAAGGGGTTCAAGCCGCTCCTGCCCATTCATGCCCACGGATTATAGACTCCAGTGGTGCCTTGGTTCACAAACTTACTTTGGTCCACAAGTCTAGAAAACATGGCTACATTCATATTCATATGGGAAAGATGGCCATGGTCAGGTTTGTCGCCAGATTCAGAGTTCACAAACAAAAACAAAATTTTGCCAAATGCTTCTATTTACAAATCCAACTGATCACAAACAAAAACATTCGTAACCCAAGGTACCACTGTATTTAAAGAACGTTCTAAGAATATTTATATAGGTTTAGGTCATGTATCTCGTCGCCTTGCTGACTTCTAGACAGTCCTAGGCCCTAACTGTTGATTACTGTGGACAGTTGTATTATCTAGAAATAACTGTTCTTCTCTTAATATGTGTTCATCTCTCCCATGTCCCTGCAGTGGTCAGGAAAAAAGGGACAGCCTATGCTGGTTTCCATGCATTCTTTCTAAATGTCTCAAAAGTTTTTTGGTTTTTTTTGTTTGTTTGTTTTGTTTTGTTTTGTAATTGCATAGTAGATAAATAGCTCTTACCAAGTTGAGGAACTTTCTTTTTAATGAAAAAACTTTAAAATTTATAATCAATAAGAGAAAGGAAACTTTTTACCCAAATATGACAATGTATTTTATTAGGATTCAGTATAAAATTTAAGTAATGTATTTCAAAGATACTGAAATATCATGTTATTATAACAAATAACAGTAGTAGACTTTCACTAATTGTTTATCCTACTCAGGAGTTTTTTAATAGGTTGCAAGACTATGTGTGCTCAGACTTTATTTGGTAATGTTTCTTGTAAGTGAGGTAAGATACCAGCTTTTTTGTTTATATGACTTTAGGGTCAGGTTCACCTGCTAAGTGAAGTAAGGAGCCTATAACTCTGCCTTAGAACAGTTTTGTGAGATGGCAGGAAAATGATCAGAGGGTCAACCCACAGCAGGGCTGGATCTGGTGTTACAGAATGTTAACTTCCATGCTGTACTTCTGGATGGAAGCAGTACAGTTTAACACAGCAACAGAAACACATACTAAATAAAGACCTCACCATCCCGGACTTAGCTGTAGCTCCTTCTGTGTCCGTACTCTGGCTCGTTCCCATGACAAAGGAACTTGGTATTTCTTCAAGTGGTTTTTAAAAAAATACACACATATCTGACCATCTTCACTCTGTGCACCTGAGGAAAAAAAAACATTTCAGGTGACCACTTATGTCTATTCAAACTCACTGATTTAAGGACAGCCTCTGACTGGTATGACTTCCATACTCAAGGGTCACTCAAAGTCCAGACAGGCTCACATCCAAACTGGATAGGGCCAGGAGTAAACTCTCAGCCACAGAATTCCATCTAATTTGCAGCAATCCTGGAAGGCCTATGTCAGCAAGGGAAGCCCAGGCCCCTCCAGGAAACTTCTTAACTCTTCCCACTGTTTCTAAGACACTTGGAAGTCACTTAGACTTAGACAGAAATCTTAAGGAAAGTAGATGGAAACTCGAGGGAAAAGAAGTAATATCTGGTAAACATTCTTTGCCCAACCTGGACCAGGAAAGTCTCATGAGGACCGGGCCCAACAACACCAAGTTCCAACTACCTGTTGTGACAGGGAGCCTGGGGGGCGTCCAGTCCCTCAGTTTGTGGTTGATACACAAGGCAATGATGTCATCCCATGGAATCTCAGCAACCGAGGGCCCTGTCCCCTGGCCCAGGAAGGAGCCCTTGCTCTTCCACCTGCGGTACGTTCTGCAGAGCAGATTCTCCACCTGGGACTGCAGGATGGGCTGTGTCTGGCGTGAGCTGGGGATTTGAGAGGTGTACTGGACAACCATGGAGCACACGGGGAGCCAGGGTGCTGGAGAGAAAGCACTTCATTAGTTACAGGTTTGACCAGAGTCCAGGCAGGAAAGTATATGAAGATGTTCTTGGCACTCTCTCTTTCCTTTAGAGAGGGCAACTGCATGGTTAGCAAGTGAGCTTCTATATGCACAAATAGCAGAACCACAGCTGTCAAGGGAAATGACAGCTTGCTCTGAGGCCAGCCAAGGGGTACAAACAACCACAGCAAGGGCCACTCTAGCAGCTATGATAGCAGAGGTCTGCAGCTGCCCAGAGACTATTTAATAAGCCAGGTACACCAGGTATAAGTGGTCTTAGCTTCCCCACAAGGACTCTACCACACTCCACTGAGGGTGCAGTGCAGAGGGCTTGTGCCCAGTCCTTTATTTTCCTTGAGGTTTCTAGAGTAAAGAGTATTAATGACATCTACTAAAGACCACACCCCACAATTCAAAAGAGTGCCTGAGACCCAAAGGGAGTAGTGTGTAAATGCCTGGAGCTGTCAGGTAAATAGCAGATGGTTCCTTGCTCCTATAGCAGTGTTCCCATGGGAAGAGCCCTTGCTTAAGGCTTAAGGCAACCTGTTGCCCTATGGAATCTGTATCACAACAGCCTGCCAGCCTGTCCCTGGCACAGCCAGGCTTCAAAAGAATATTGTATAAGCCAGAATTAAGAGAGCAGAGCCACAACTCTGGGGAAGAATTATGTGGGCCCCATGTTCTTTGTCCCAGCCCATCTGTTCTGCTAACTGGACCTATGGGACAGGCAAGATGGGCCTGGCAGTGATGCAAGGCCAACAGCTCCATTCCTTAAACCCATAGCTCCTGACCAAAGGCAGACACAGGCAGTCTCATGTTCGAAGTAGACTATGGACATCACAATGGAGCACGCTTCCTGCCAGACTCACTACAGAGAGAAGAAACAAGAAGCCCAGGTACAGCCAGCCCTCCCCTTTATACTATACATATGCACATACCCCCAGGGGGTGGAAGGTCCATCTGTGGAAGCTGGAACCCAAGCACAGCCTGCTTCAACCAGGCCAGGTGTTCTGGGGAATTCCAGTGCAGGTGAGGAAGTAGCTGACTGCCCCCCACTTCAACAAACTCGGTGATAGGCCAGGACAGGTCACATAGCTGCTCAGAGGATACCACCGAGGCCAGGAACTGCAGGACACTGTTGAAGAGTTCAACGATGGTGCCGGGCTCCTGCGAAGCCAAGGCACCTAGACGCCTCTCTCTTCTGTCATGGAAAAACCGGCCACTAAACTCACGGCCAACCCCATCCTCGATGTACTGAATAAGGGTCTGGCAGCAAAGGTCAAGGGCACAGGGGCAACGAGAGACAAGCCACTGAACTGCCCATGAAACCTGAGAAGCAAAGACAGAGAAGTGCCATTAAATGACTCACACTTTTTCAAAAGCACTTCCCTAAAGGGGCTTGGTGCTCTTCCATGGCTGCCAAAAGCAGGTGCCACTGGAGCATGAGGTTCTCAGCCACAGAAGAAAGGGCAACACACAATTCCCGGTGGTTGAATTTAGCTTTCCTTCAACCAATAACATGCTGGAAGGGCTGTGGGGGAAAAAGGAACCCTTCTCCCACTATTGGTGGGAATGCAGACTGGTGCAACCACTGTGGAAACCAGTGTGGAGAGTCCTCAAAAAACTAGGACTAGAGGTCCTATTCAACCCAAATATTCCCCTTCTGGGTATCTTCCCAAAAGAATTAAAAACATCATACCACAGTGATATATGTGTACCATGTTTATAGCAGCACAGTCTATAAGAGCCAGATCTTGGAAACAACCTCAATGTCCATCGACTGAGGAATAGATAAAAAAGATGTGATCTTTTTATACCACAGAGTACTACTCAGCCATCAAGAATGATAAGCTGGACACTTTTATAAGTAAATGGAAGCACCTTGAGAATATACTCATTAGTGAAATACGTAAGACAGACGTGTAAACATCCTATTGTTTCACTAGTGTGATAAGCTGGAAAAACATGTATACGTGTGAGTATATGTATATAAAAAATAGTTAAGGTAGTTATACTAGTGATCTCTGAGTTTGCTCTGAAGAGAAAGATACATACTGGTATTGTTCGGACAGTTGAACGCAGATGTCTTATACTCTGGGTGAATGATTTGAGGACAACAATGCACAATGTATGTACCGTTGTTGCTGTGGATTGATATGCTTTGACATTTTTTGGCTTCCTTGAGCCTTGCAAACATGCTGCGAGGGCACCGTGGGCTCCCAGGAAACGCCCAGGGCTTCTATTCTGGCATATCTTCCCCTTCACCATACAGAAGTGAAAGCTACATTTTCTCATGCTTAGTGGTAATGGCTTTACTTCAAACCTGGATGCCTTCACACCCTATTTTCTTTCTTCCTAGACTGACAATCACCGGTTTTTCTGAATGTGATTATCAGCAAAGATTTCCTTTTTAAGGAAATCTTAGATAATACTGCTCTTCACATACTTCAATGACAATCACCCTAAAAAACTAATGTGCATCTGATTTCATGAAAAAATTCTATTACAAGAAAATTGAATTTGTTGCAGACAGCAGAACTACACACAAATTTTCTTTTGATTCCTGCTTATTACAGATAGCAGAATCAAGGAAGCTTAATGAACCTTTACAAATGATGAAACTTTACCTTTTTTGTGCCTTGTAAATCATTAATAGAATCAGGGATTTCAATAACAGTGTAATCTGAAATTAGCTTCAGTGAAACCAAGTCCTGCAGCATTAAACCTTTAAAAGTAAACAGAGAGAAGTCACACGTCTGCCCTCTCATGTATACCCAGCACCTTGCAGTGCTCATCCCACCCGCCCTTCAGCTGGTTCACAAACAAGATTTCTTTCACCAACCATCCTCCACTTCCTTCCCAATGGTGTCAGAACTGGGCACAAGAACCACCAGTGGAAGCGACGGGTGGAAAGGCTTGGCCTGCAAGAACTGCTTGAGCTGTAGCAAGGCCGACAGCCAGTAAATGTCCTCCTCTGCAACATCCTCATTTTTCACTCTGGGCGGAAGCAGCAACATGAGCCCACTAGCTCCCAAGAGGTCCTTCTGAGTCGCCGCAGCATCAAGGGCAGCATCACTGAGGGTACCGTGGGCCACCTGCAATGACACCCAGACCATCAGGACAGATGTTCCAGGGGACAAGCCAGCAGTGAACTATCTGCCCCACAGCAAGTGGAGCCAAGTCCTCCACCCACTGAAAGTTCACGGGGCTTCAGGAGGCTTCAGGACACTGCTGAGGCAGGCAGGACTTCTGTGAGACCATGAATTAGTGAGACAAACACTTAAGTCAACAAATAATTTAATATCCAACCAGAACATCTGAGCCACATTCCTGTAATCTTAACAATGAACACTGGGGCTAGAAAAGTCCACTGTAGCCTCAAGCACTCCTCTGACATGGCATATGACCCAGTGCAGCAGGAACTCCCATAGAAGGAACCTCAGAGCCAGGGACAGGGGTAAGGACATGGACAAGGATGAAAAGAGGAGTACCAAGGGAAGCTGATGCGCTTGCAGGCCCAGAACCCTGGCTGCAGAGTCCCAGCCTCCAGATGGCTTTCAAGGTGGGTGTGGCCTTTGAGTAGCCACCTCATGAGGGCTTATATGACCAAACCACAAGAAGCTCCAGGGATCAAGGAAGTGTGCAGGGAATGTGACTTCTGCTACTGCTGCCACCACACTCAGGGACAGACAGACTCAACACCTGGCCAAATATTTCATGGCGCCCAGGCTTGCACATCCAGACCACCAGGGACAAAAGGATAATGCCAAGGTCAAGATGGAGCCAGAGAGGAAGATAAAAAGCAAAGCAGAGGAGGAAAAGGAGTCCAAGGAATACAGCAAACTAGAACAAGAGAGGAAGAGAGAGAAAGAGAGTGAGGATGAGAGAAAGAAAAAAAGCAAAGAAGATAGAAGAAACGGAGGATGAGGCAAGGCAGAGGAAGACAATCAAGAAAGAAACTCTGTAGTGGAAGGAGAAACTGGGGCAAAAAACAAATTTGACTCAGAATTGGAAATGGAAGCAGAAAATAGCCAAGAGAAATATCCAAACCATGGACTTGATTTGAGTGAATGTTGCCAGAAGAGAGGCAGCTCATCTTTGTGCTCTGACCAATTACTGGGGCTCACCAGGGCCACCAGGCTAGACAACGCCTTTAAGAAGTAATAAGCAAAGCTAGGTGGTACATAGCTATAATCTTAGCAAGCAAGAGGCTGAGGCAGGAGAATGGCCACAAGTTCAAAACCAGCCTGAGCTACATAGTGAGTTTAAGGCCAGCCTGAACTATGTAACATTTACAGATGGTACATTAAGATGCCAAGAACCTCAGGGACACTGGTCTACTGTCATTCACTAGAAAATACAGCCAAGACTTAGATTTAAGTTTGTACTACTTCATTACCTATACCTTATCCCTTTCTTACGTGTGGTATACTAAGGATCTCACTTGTATAGGTGGAAACAATTAAAGGAAATCAGTGTTCTTTTTTGTGTGTGTGGTCTTTGTTTTTGTTTTTTCTTTCTTTCTTTTTTGGTACTAAGATTCAAAGTCAAGACCTTGTGTTTGTCAGATAGGCACTGTGCCACTGAGCTACATCCCTGGCCTAAGAATTCAGTATTCTTGCATGCCTGAGACCTTTTGCAATGTAGGCAGTCATTTTGTATCTCAATAAATACAAAGTTCAACCAGAGTTAACAAGGAACCAACTGAATAACTCTGTCTCAAATTTCTCTCATATTGGACATTCACATTTACTGTGGTTATTGATAAGGTTTTTCTTTCAAAAAAATTTTTCTAATCTTGTGGGGGGAAACAAACAAAAAGAACCTTAAACAGGTATAAAAACACTTAAACCCATAATGACAGAGTAGGGGAAAGGCAAGCCAGCTGAAGGCAAGCAGTACATTTCTACACAGCAGCAATGGTACCTTTCTACACAGCAGCAATGAGAGGATACCAAGCACCCATTAGGGTAGCAGGGATAGCATATGGGAAGCTGCAGAAGCCCTGGCCATCCTTACCCCCACCTTCAGAGCCTCAGCAGCTGCCCCTAGGGAAGAATGAGACAAGTCCCTTTCAGATTAATAGAACAGTCCACAAAAGAGATCCCCAGATTTAAATATGTGGGAATTCCCCTCAAAAAGGCTGGCTTTACCACTGAGTTACCATCACCCTACTGCAAACAAAGCTGCTGGCCAGCCTGCCTCAGATGTGTTCAGACAGCTTCAGCTAAGGTATCACAGAAGTCTACAACATCAAAGAGATCCAGAAGAAACAGATGATGTATAGAACATCCAGAATTTTAGGACCTAAAACCAAGAAAGCACAGGAGGCTCCTCATAGTTCTCCTTTTTTACTTTTTAATTTTTAAACATGTGTTACTTTTATATTCAGGAAATAGAATAAATAGCATGAAAATGGAAAAATGAGAGAAACAAAACCCCATAACTGGGACTGGGGCTGTAACTCAGTGGTAGATTACATACCTTGCATGTGTAAAACCCTGGGTTCTGTGGGAGGAAGGAAGGGAAGGAAAAGGAAGAAGAAAAGGATGAAGGGAATGGGAGGTGGTATAGGAGAAGGGAGGGCTCATGACAGAGAGACTGAGTATCACTTGCAGTTGTGTCCCGGGTGTGCTACGAAGGAGAGCTTGGTAAGAGAGGTCTGAGCCTGGCGTGCCAGAACTGAGGGGAAAGAGCACGGAACCCAACTCATCCTCAGGAGAGTCTGATACTGTGCTCAGGAGCACCAAGTTTTGTAAGAAACTGAGGTCAGGGACTCTGTTTGAGGCTCATGAAGCTGATTAGAGTGTCAGCTACTGGTACATCTGCTCAGTATCAAAGCCTATGCTTTCTGCCCTGCACTGCTGTTATCCAAATAAATAAAAAAAGAATACATATTCTTAAACCTAAAATCCACTAATGCAGATTAAAATCTAATGAGGAAAATTAGGTTCTCATTAAATCAAAGTTCCCAGGAAACCAATTAAGCTCAGTATTTTGGTGTAGGCAGAAAGACTCAAGACCGCAAGGTAGAAGCCAGCCTGGCTACACAATGAGTTCAAAACCAGTGAGACACCATCTCAAAAATCCAATAAATTTTTAAAAATCTAAAAATAAAAGTATTATTCAGAAGTAACACAAACTAGAGTTTATAATAAAAAAAAAAAAAACACAGGCCAATTTGAACGTAAAACACGAACAACTAATGTAGGGGGCACAGTGGCATATACCAATAACCCCACCACTCTGAAAAGCTGAATCAGGATTCCAAGTTTGAGCCCAGCCTGGGCAACTCTGGGCAACTCAGCCAAACCATGTCTCAAAATAAAAATTAAAAAACTGCTGAGGATACAGTTTAGTGTGAAAGTCCTGGGTTCAATTCCCAGCATAAAAAAAACACTACAACTAAACTGAAAGGACCAATAATGAACCTATTCACTAGCAGTTGGCAAACCATATAAAAATCATTCCATTTTTGTGAAATATTCTTCTGTCTTTCATCCTTCTTGAGTTAATTACCAGTGTACCACTGAGGAGTTCAGGAGTTCTGAATTATATACACATTGTATACCTGTGCATTTTTCAGATGACTGAGTTTGCAGAGTTCTCAAGATCTGTGGCAGCCAAAGCTCACTTCTTACAGGTCTGGATCTAAAGTCTCTCCAAAAAGCACCAGCTTGGCACCAGTGAGAGGTGGTACAATCTAGAAACTCGTCAGGAGACTGTGGGACCTCAGTGCCTTTCCTCCTCCTCTCCACTTTTCAACCATGAGCTGTTCAGTTTGGTTATGCCATGCTTTTCCACCAAGATGTGCTACCTCAAAGAGTTAGTCAACGATGGGGGAAACCTCCAAAATTGTGAGCCAAAATAAACCTTTCTCTCAATAAAATGATTACTGCCATCATTTGTTAACTGTAATGGAAAGCTAATACATCGCTCTCTAGCCTGCAGCCTCACAGCAGGTGTCCACGGGACGTCATCAAGACACACAGAATGGGGGCCAGGGACATAGCTCAGTGGCACCGAGACTGCCTGGCAAGTGCAAGGTTGATGAGTTCAATTCCCAGTAGCAAAAAAAGAAAAAGACACAAGGAAAGACAGACATGATACTTGCTTCTGAGCCTCTGTCTTTCAAAACCACTACAGAGAACAAGTAGCACTTACACAAATCAAATGCTATCTGACAGTAAATAACAGAACTAAAGCATAGAGGTAGACACATAAAGGAATTGTCACTTGCCTTTACACACACGCTGACAGAAATGGTCTTATCCTCTTTGCTGCTGAGTGTATTAAAAACCGTGAGTGTCTGAATCTCACCAGCATTACTGTACACGTCCCCAACCGAGCCATCCTCTCCCATGAACTTGACCTTTAGCCAATCTGCCAAAATCCTGTAGGTAAAAGAAAGTAACACTTAAAGAAAAATCTGACTTGAAATTCGAAAAAGATTGTCAGGAAAAGAAGGACCACACAAATTCTGATGATGAGGTTAAAGAGGAGTTAATACTTATACTGGATTACTTATTTGGTTGAGAAAAGCAGATGTTCATGAAACACTAATTCTAAGCTGATTTAAAAAATAAAATAAGAGACTTCCGGGAGAACATGACGGATAGATAACAGCAGCTGTGGAGGCTCTCTGAGATAGCTTAGATTCCAGGAATGGTGCAGTGTGGGGAATCCTAAACAGGGGGAAATATACCCTGCTGACCCAGGAATGAACTAAGCTGAGAGAAACCAACTGGAAAAGCAATCCCGGTGCTTTGACTAGAAAAGCTAAAGTCTCAGTGCTGAAGCTGGAACCTCTGTCTCAGTGCCTCTGGAAACCGCAGCTTGAATTTCCTGCCACTGCTGCTGCATCTGAATCGGCACAGCAGGGATAGAGACGTGAATGCTCTGAGAATGGGAATCGGCAAACTGAATTGAGAGCAGAGCTGGCGGGGAGCCCTGCATCGACCTGCAGTGAGTGAGAGGAACGGGGACCCTTCATAGACAAGGAGGCTCCAACAGAGGACATTCTGGGACTGGGTAGACTAGCCGGAACAGGACGCTGCAGTGACTTCAGTCACATATTCCCCTCTCAAGCGGGATTGGTGGGGAGTGCTTGACCTGGGGCTAGCCCAAATCAAGTCCCTGCACCTGGCAATGCACCCTAATGCAGTGAAGGCTTCAGCAGGTTGACTGACCTGGAGGGGTGGGCCCAGCATAGGCTGCCCAGGTCTGTGTCTTCCTTGTACATTGCAGTGGGAGGGAACACCTAGCTGGCGCAATTCAAACAAACTGAAACCAACAAAGAAAGAAACTGTGCCTCCTATATATGCTTGTATGGAAGAAACAAAAAATATGGGAAGAGGGAGCAACAAGAAAGGGTCCTCAGTCCCCAATCCTGAGAACACTAATCCAGGAAAGGTAAATGCAAAGGAGAATGAGGACAGAAAATATGCAATATCAGGCACAGCACCAATAGATATAAAGCAATATCTCCGAGACCTCACAGATGAGTTCAAAAGTCAAGTATTTAACCAAGTAAAGCAAGATATAAGTAGAAATAAGAAATACTAAGCACCTCCCAAGAAAAAACAGATGGTAGAATGGAAGAACAGAAAAAAGGGGAGAATTGTTTGATGGAGAAAATAGAGAAAACGTAGAATACATAAAAGTGGATTCAAAGAGATTACCAGGAAACTAAAAACTCTACTGAAAGCTGGCATAACAGCTTGAAAGAAACTAAGGATAGATTATCTGAACTGGAGGACAGATTTGTAATGTGGGAGCATGAAAGGGAAAACTTCTTAAAAATAACAAGGAAACAAGCAGTAACAATACAAAGGATAGAAGATAAGAGGATCTATAACTTAAGAATTAAGAATGTAAAGGAAGAAGCAGGGATACAAACAAATGAACTGCAAAGGCTATTCACAGAAATAATCAAGGAGAACTTCCCTAATATGGGAAAAGGTAAAGATACTCAGATCTATGAGGCATACAGGACCCCAGCACCTACAACCCAAACAGAACTACACCCAGGCATATAATAATCAAAATTCCAGAAATCCAATATAAGAACAGAATATTAAAAGCTGTCAGAGACGAGAAACAGATCACATACAAGGGAATGCCCATCAGAATTACAGCAGACTTCTCGGCACAAACCATCAAATCACGGAGACTGTGGGGTGAAATAATTCAAGCTTTGAAAGACAATAACCTCCAGCCAAGATTGATATATCCTGCACAACTGTCCCTAGAAATTAAGAGAGAAACAAGGTGCTTCCAGGATAAAGAAAAACTAGGGGAATCTGCAACCACCAATTCAACTCTACAGAGAATACTAGAGGACATTCTACAAGAGAAAAATACTAAGATTCCAGAAACAGTGGCAGAGAGGCCACAATGAATGGAGCAGAAAGCGAAATGAAGAAGACAAACTGACAACTAATGACAGAAAAAGAGCTCAACAGAAATGAAGCAGAGAAGGTTGAATGGTAGGAACAGCTATTTTGGAGAAAACAAGACATCATAATAGCTAGTGCTAATTTTTTTTTTTTTTTTTTAGATTTTTTTCTTGTCTTTTTCTTTTTTATCCGTACCAGGGATCAAACTCACGACTGCCTGCTTGCAAGGCAGGCGCTTATGCCGCTGAGCTAAATCCCCAGCCCCGCTAGTGCTGATTTAATATCATCTTGTTTTGAAGTCCCATCAAGCTTTTGTTCTTCTGTCTCCATCGGTCTTAACATGTTGTATCTTATTGGATTGTATTATATGTGATAATATAAACAAAAACTTTAATAAACAAGGAGATAATACAGAAACCATTGTTCATTTTCCATTAGTTGGTTCTAAATACTTTGTAATACTGTCATTCTCTTGAATGGTTTTACATTGTCTTGATATGTTTGATGCTACAGTATACGAAGTTATACTCAAAGATTTCAAGGAAAGAGACACTATGGTAACTACTTTTATGTTGGGATATCTTGTGGTGAAACACTAAATAAAATTGAAAATAAATAAATAAGTAAATAAAATAAAATAAGATGATTTAAGATTCTGAAACACTAGAAAAGATTCCAAGCAATACAAAATATCCCTGGAGTTTGAAATACATGTTTACAGAACCATTTCTCTATACCTGCGCTCATAAGAATTCCTAAGTGTGATCATTATGTGTATCTAAATTATACCAATAGCCAGGCGCATGCCTATAATCCCATCACTTGAGAGGCTGAGGCAGGAGGATTGCCAGGAGTTTGAAACCAGTCAGGGTACATAGTGAGTTCAAGGCCAGCCTGGACTATAGAGCAACACCCTTTTAAAAAAAAAAAAAAAAAAAAAAAAAATTGTACCAATAAACCTAGTAAGAAAAAAAAAGTTACATGTACAGTCAGGAAAAAAAAAAAAGTGACAGTACCTAATAACCTGAGCAAATCAGAAATCCCTGTTTTAAGAAATTAATATTTTTAAAATGCCAGAATTGGGGCTGGGCATTTAGCTTAGCAATGTAAGTGCCCCCTGGTACCAAAAAAATAAATAAAATAAAATGCCAGAACTGTCCTCTTCATTCAGTTGTCCTAAGAGATACACCTCATGACTTTCTCTTTTTCCTTAGCCTGTATAGCCAGGATTTAGCTCAGTGGCACAAGTGCCTGCTGGGCAAGGGTGATCCCCCATACCAAAAAGAAAAAAAAAATCCTTAGCCTGAATATGTTCCAGTAGTAACTGCTGAGAAATAACATGCTCTGAGAACTTGAAGCCCTGCCACACTGCCAAGATGCAGAGTGGTGCAGCCACTGGAGTCAGCCTGGCAGTTCCTCAGGGACTCAAACAATAGTTACTACACAACCTGGCAGTTTCATGCCTAGGTGTACAACCAAGAGAATTATAAACAGATGTCCACACAAGTGCTTACACCTGCATGTTCAAACCAGCCTTATACAAAACAGCTGAAAAATGGAAATAAGCTAAATGCCGGTCAGTGTCAACTGGGGGTAAGGAAGAATGGAGACTGCTTCTGTTCTGGTGAAAATAATGTGATGACTGTGATGATGACTTAGATTATGATGATGACACTCACTATAAGTAAAGATCACTGAAACGACACATTGTAGATAAAGTAGAGTAATGCTTCCATAAAACCTTAAAAAACAAAATTAACATATTCTCAGTTAATACTATTTTGGTGAGCTTTATTTCATGGTATCGGCGATCGAACTCACAACCTCACACTTGCCAGGCAGGCACTTACGCTGTTGAGCTAAATCCCCAGCCTGTATTTTGGTTTTTTGAGACAGGGCCTAACTATGTAGTTCAAACTGGCCTTGAACTTGTGTTTCTCCTGCCTCAGCCTTTCAAGTGTGGGTATAATAGGCATACATCCATACATCATCATGCCCAGCTTTCATTGCTTTAAAAGTGTGATTTCTAGAAGCAAGCTGGTAGTGGGAAATACGGTCATATCGTTTGTTTTTTTAATGAAAAAAAGTATTTTCCTAATAATAAAATGGAATTATAACAGACAAACTATGAACTGATTTCCCTAAGAATCTAAAATGTATTGAACTCCCGAAAAAAAGTGTTTTCCTAATAATAAAATGGAATTATAACAGACAAACTATGAACTGATTTCCCTAAGAATCTAAAATGTAATGGACTCCCATTGGTACATTTGAACATGACCCTAAATGATAATCCACTCTTACATGATTTTGGACTAAAACTACAAGTTCATGGAATAAAAATTAAAATAACTGAAATCCAAAATATCAGCCTCAAAGTTGAAAACCATAAGCAAAAGAAACTAGGAGTTTATGCATTAAAACAAAAATCTATGCCTCAGGGTTCCCATCACAGGTGAGAGGGACACCCAGATACAGGCCCAGAGCCCCAGCCAGCTCAGCCCTCAGCATTCACTTACCTGCCAGAACTCCCTGGGGACTGCTGCTCTCCACCAGGCAACATCAATACCAACTTCCAAAACTCATGCTCTTGCTGCGAGGGCAGGTGCTCAGTCACAAGGGAAGGCAGGTCCAGAGGGGCCCATGCAGCATTGCTGAAAGGCACAAACAAGCATGATTGAGCCCATGGATGTGCCCCAAGCAGCAGCAGATACACAGAAAGAAGTTCAGGGAAGAGACAGACCTCAGCAGCTGCTGATGGAAATGCTGAACCTTCATCTGGTGAGCTGTCTTGTTTCTGAGTCGCCTCAACCTACAAAGAAAGGAAGAATGGCACCATGCCAGCATGTGGCTTGCTCACACCCAAAGAAGAGGCTCACTAGCATTTACTAATTGTCTCTGAATGAAAACTACCTGACCTGTGTCTCCTGGCCAGGAGTATTAAGAGAGTGAAAAAACTTCCTGATAGAAGATCCCTTCAGCCAGGGATTTAGCTCAGGGGCTCAAGTGCTTGCCTAATAAGCACAAGGTCATGAGTGAGATCCCTGGTACAAAAAAAAAAAAATCCCTTCATTTCATTCATGCCCTAGCCACAGAAGATTCATCTACATGGAGACAAAAATCCTGGCTCTCTAGAACATGCTCTCCTGCACTAGCCTGCAAGTTGCATCAGTGGCATGTGGCAGGGCAGACAGGAATGGTAACATGAGCTGTTCTCTCACTCTGGCCTCTGGGAAGGTGAAGCCTGAACATAGATCTGAAAGAAGGAAGGCAGCCAACATGACCATTTCTGGGAATGGTAGAGTAGGGGGAGCATCAAGAGGGGAGGTCTGGTCCAGGAATGTGACACAGGTAAGGTGCCCCCGCTGGGGTATCAGAGGACCCCACTGCTGTGGGTGGAGGACTCTGGCTCAGTACTGGCAGACAAGAAGAAAGCAGGTCAGCCTTAGTATGGAGGATGGAGTTACAGGAGAAGCCTGAGAGAAGGATGGCCCAGGCTAAAGACCTAAAGGATGGCACTCTGTGAGCAGGGAAGGGCTGGTTGGAAAAGAATGACTGTGTGAATCAGGTGCAACTGAAGCACTGGGAACAGAGTGCAAATGAAAAACCAAGGCCCATATAGACCTTTGCTTCCCAAGAAGAATGGACAGTGCATATTTAAGCTGATAAGACCAGGACAAGAAAAGGGATTCTGAGTCACTCTATACCAGAACCTTTTTCTTTTAAGGTGAAAGCCATGTAAGACCAGAGACCTGCTTCCCAGTAGTGGAGTGAGCCATACATTTGTAACTGAACGACATCCTTCAAAATGTAGCAGTCCTGCCAGGCATGGTGGCACATGCCTGTAATCCTAGCACTCAGAAGGCTAAAGCAGGTGGATTACCATGAATCTGAGGCCAGCCTGTGCTACATAGAGCACTACATAGGCCAGTACATAAGACGGGCCTAAACTACACAGCAAGACCCTGTCTCAGAAAAACAAAACAATCACCAAACAATAAATAATACAGTCCTGTGCTTGTCCTCACTTCCTGCTCCCTCCAAATACACAAGAATATAGCTCCAGTGAAACCAAAAGAGACCTGAGGAGGTATGCACTGGGCACTGACCTGGTACAGGAGATGCCCACTCTTCCTGCGTGGCCCAGGTCCAGGAGGCTCCTATCCAGGTTCTCCTCAGCAATGGGACACTCTGCACTGGGCGCCAATGCACCCAGCCGGTTGTTCACATCCACACAGCAGGGTGCTGCAGGGAAGGCCCGCATCTGGCGCCTTAGCTTCTTCCGGGCTGCAACAGCTTCCCTCCACCTGGGGGATACATCAATCTGTCATCACTAGGTGTGTCCAGAGTTAACCAGGGGCAAATGCAAACACAGCCCAGCTCCATAACATGAGGAAATGGACTGCATTTTCAATCTACGTAGTATTTGTCAGTCTTCGTAGATCTGTACTAATAACCATCTTTATACTAAGAAATGAATTGGAATTAAAATGCAAACATGAAGCCAGGCATGGTGGCTATACCTGTAAACGCAGCACTCAGAAGGCCAAAGCAGGAGGATGACTGTGAGTTCAAAGCCAGCCTGAACTATATAGCTATCTCAAAAACCCAACACCCCCCCTGAAAAATGCAAATGTGATATTAAAAGAGATGAGTCTGCTTTGAAACTACTGAATGTAAGAGCTAATACTGAAGATCTCTATAAGTGGATACAGCCACATGGATACACATCTAAGGTACAGAGATCCTCCACCCAAGAAATACCACTGACAGAAATTTAACTCTGCTAGCATGCACATGTGCACAGGTATGAAATGTGGGTACAAGATAGTCACTGCAGCACTCTACACAGCTACAGAAAGAGACTGTGAAAGCTAGCAAGAGGAATCAGCATCTTCTGTGGCGTGCACTTGCAGTAACATGCTGCACTGCAATGACATTAATAGGGAGACTGGACAGCCTGCCATGGTGAGGCCTCTACTTCATACAGAATGGAAGAAAGAACAAAACAGGAAACATGCTTTAATAACAACCACTGGAAAGGACAAGAAGTTTCTACAATGGTACACAAGCAGCTGGTGCTTCTGGGAAATATATAGGAATCTGTCCTGAAAGGGAGATTTACTCTTTGCTGTGTCCTCTTTAACAGTGTTGTAATTATCAAAGATACTATCATTCTTTTTAAATTTCACTTGAAATGAATCAACAGCTGGGCCCAGTGGCGCACACCTGTTATCTCAGCACTTGGGAGGCTGAGACAGGAGGATCACCTCAAGTTTGAGGCCAGCCTGGGCTGCAAAGTGAGTTCAAGGCCATTCTGAACCACATAGTGAAACCTTGCCTCAAAAAAGACCAAAGATGAAATGAATCACATGACATTAACACCTAAATGCCCACAGTTACAAAATAGGCAATTACTTGTTTTGCTCTGTTGAGAAGCCATAGCTGTCCCTTATTACTCAAGATAAACATTACTCTGAGCTTATGTTTATTTTCCTTCTTCAGGATTATACTACTAGGTAGTAGTTACTACCTACTTAGTTTGTATAGTCTATTTAGTTTGAATATATGGTATTTGAACTTATATACATTTCCCTGTAAGTTCCTCTTTTGTCCCCTCACTATGGAAGTCTCCGACCTGAAGTCTTTTAACCTCATAACAGTGCAAAAATGGTATAAGTTCAGCAGAAACCAAACTTCAGATTTTGATCTCCTAGGCTAGCAATATGCTGTACAACACAGTCTCACAATGCTGAGATTACTGTATGTGAGCTACAGTCTGAGTCAACCAAAATTTCAAGCGTAAAGAACCAATATTCTACAGCATACTGTGTTGCTAAACTACAATACTGGGTAGATTAGATGTATGAGAGCTGTTTTGAATTTACAAGTTTATCAGTAGTTAACACTATGGTAAGTTGAGGTGCATCTTTACTTGTGTTTTGGACATCAACAAGTGTTGGTGCATGGAGCTATGGTCCATGTATGTGCATGGACATTTCCTGGGGTCTCTTATAGCCTAAACAGGCACTCTATGCACAAGTGTATAAATACAAACCAATCACTGTCTGGACACAGATGGTACCCTACAGATACCTGCTGAGATGCACAACAGCTACAATCCCTAAATAATTCCATACTTAGCCTTTCACCTCCACTATTTAAGAGGATATACACCTGTGTATGAAACCAGTCACTTCTGAAAATACAATTCATTAGAATCCATTATAGCTACTCATTGCTGTAAATGTTACCTTTTAGTCACTGACTAAAGGAACTAATGGCTCAAGCAGGCTGAATGTGGTAAAAGATCTGCCCCCCTGAGTGTGGATTTTATGTGTAAGAACACAGGACTCACCGCTGTAGATATTTGCAGAAGCACTGAAGTTCCTGCAGTGTCTCCTTCGCAGTCTGGAAAATTTCCCCCGCAAGAAACAAGTCTACCAGCTGAGTAAAGACAGCCTCACAGCAGCGGGTCACACGAACCCTCTGGTCTATCTCCAGTGCATTCCTGGAAAACAGGGCAGTCATGCAGAGGTGACTGAGGTCCAAACACTGAGGGCTTGCCTTAAAGGTATTGAGTCCATCCTTCATGTAAAAAAGAAACTTTGAGATTTTCATTTTTATTTAAAAGCACATACCCCTGGCTGCGCATGGCACAGACCTGTAATCTCAGCACTCCAGGAGGCTAAAGCAGGAGGATCTCAAGTTCGAGCCTAACTTAACAACTTAGTGAGACCCTGTCTTAAATGTTTTGGGAATGTAGTTCTAATGTGAAGGTCCTGGGTTCAATCTGCGGTAATGGTACGGAGTAGGGGAGAACAATACAGATACCTGGAAAGATAGGGAAAAAAAGTGATACAGTGTGTCAGCATATAAATCAAAGGAGTCAGTGTAACAGTTAAGAAATAATCCTCTAGGGGCTGGGGATTTAGCTCAGCGGCATAAGCGCCTGCCTTGCGAGCAAGCAGTTGTGAGTTCAATCCCCGGTACCGATAAAAAGGAAAAAGACAAAAAAAAAAGAAAGAAAGAAATAAACCTCTAACACAGCCAAGCATGGTGACCCACTCCTGGGAATATAAGGTAGGAAAATGACTTAAGCCCAAAAGTTCAATACCAACCTGAGCAATACACCAAAAACACCATGTCATAAACAAGGAAAAAGAAGAACCTTTAGCTTAATAAAATAGTTAGAATTTCTATCTTTCAAATGACCACTGAGATAAACGCAAAATCTCATCAGCAACATCTGCGTTACAGTATATATCTAGATATACCCCCCATCAAAGCCTCTTGTCTCATATGTGGGGCTTTGGGGAAGTGACTGGATCATGTGAACATGGTATCCATCACTAGCTTAGTATGCTGATGGTATAGCTAAATGTGAGGCTCAGAGGTGTGGACTGATCAGAAGTGGGTCACTGAGGGTGTGGTCTAGAAGGGTCTAGCTCATCCCTCCTCCCTTGATCTCTCTGTTTCCCATTGCCATTTCATAATTCTCCCTTGCCATGCTTCCCTGCCTTGAAGCCAGTGGACTAGGGACTCAAATTTCTGTACTGTGAGCCAGAATAGCCCTCTCCTTTAATTTGTGGAGGTCAGGTGTTGTACCTCAATGACAGGAATGTGAAATGACATTTATAATCAGAAGAGTCTCAAACACCATAACTGTTCCTATAGTGCTAAGGATGACTGCCTCTGGTCATGCAGTGGTGACCCTAGGATAAAAAAGTACCACAAAGAAGAATTTTTATAGCACAGTTCTATCAAGTAAGACAGCATAAGGGCTGGGGCTGGAATTTAGTCGTAAAGTACTTGCCTAGCATGTGTGAGGGCCTGGTTTCAATCTTCAGTATCATCTTTTTTTAAAAAATGCCAGCACGGTGTTGCACACCTGTAATCCCAGTATTTGCGAGGCTGAGGCACAAGTGTTACTGTGAATTTGAGGCCAGGATGGACTACATAGAGAGTTCAAGGCCAACCTGAAGTACAAAGTGAGACCCTAACTCAAAAAAAAAAAAGTCTATCACACACATACATATGTACACTACATCAAGGCATGATAGTGTATGCCTGTAATACCAGCAACTTATGAGGCTGATCAACCTGAACTATATACTGAGATCCTGTCTCACAAACCAGGGGGGGAAAAGGAAACACAGAGAACTACATCAAATAAATTTGGTTATAATATCAAAGTAGCTCAACACATGAGACACATTTCCAACAGCCCATCTTCAGAAATGATGCAGACAGCCTGAGGCTTAGCTAAAAAAAAAAATTCCAGGTCTCCTGGAACGGCAGGATACATTCCCTGCAGTGCAGTAAGCCCTGCATTTTAGATGTCTACTAATACTCCCTCCTGGAATCAGGAACAGATATATCACCATCATCTGTGAAATCTCTTCCACACAGTAACTACAAATATAGGTTCCCAATTGAATGGGATTCAAGATGCACAGCCTGTCGACTGGACTCACTGGCTGTACACCAACATCCTCCCTCACTTTCAGACTACCTGAGAGGCACTGAGGTACAAGGACAGACTTCTCTTCACAACTGGAATCTCTTTTTTTCCAGGAAGTTTGGAAGTAAGATCATTGAAAGTTCTTAAGGTTACACCCCAAGAAATCTTCCAACACATGAAGCAAGGGAAGAGGCTACCTGAAAGACAGTGAAGGTGGAGAAGCCTCCAGCAGCCAATTTGCTAACACACACATTCCAATGACCATGTCCGCAACAAGGACACAGAAAGAAAGTCCCTCCCTGCCTCTATTGTCTAGAGTACGGAACAATGCACCATCATTTGGCTATCCAAAAGATATCTGTCAAATTTAAGAGTAAACCAACTATACTAAGCTGTGCCTTCTTGGCCACAGTGCCTGAAGACTTCCTCCCTCCCACCATGCCACTGGCATGCAGGACACCAGCACCTCACTCACTTCAGCTCCTGTGAGCATGTTTCCCACACACACTCCGTCACCATGAGTTCTGTCAGCTCTTCAGCCAGGCCCTGGCTCAACTGGGTTAATACCAGGTCTCTCTCTTGTTTCAGCCTACAAGTAAAAGAAAAAAACACAAGGGTAAAGCTTAAAAATAAATATTATGATACTCATTTTACTCCTAGACCATGCAGATAGGCATGAGAGGTGCTGCCTGCTAAGGAGAAGGCGTTGCTCACAAGGGCCCCCACTCATTCTCCGAGCCAAACGCGGTGCAGGGTAGGCTGGCAGGGGTCTGACGTTGGCACCATCAACAAGAGTAGAGCTGCTGGATATACATGGCCACAATCTTAGTAATCTGGGGGGTTGAGGCAGGAGGATCATAAATTCAAGCTCATCCTGGATAATTTAGAAACTCAGTGCAACTTTGTATCAAAATAAATTGAAAAAAGGGTTGCATTCGATCCCCAGTGCCACAAAAAATTTTAAAAAGTACGGACATCGGGGCAGTTTCCGTGTCTACTCACCTTTCCTCTTCAGCCCTCCGCTTCTCCTCCTCCTTTCGTTCCCTTTCCTTGGTCACTTCTTCAGCTGCAACATGCCTCAAAATGCCTGTGGTTGTGGCTGTTAACAGGTCCTCCACAGCAGCATCAGAAACACTAGACAAAGTGGGATAGCACTCAAACTCAGAAAAAAGCAAGCCAATATAAACAATTACCAACCAAAATTTGTTACTGGAATGTGAAAACAGTTCAACATGCGAAAACCAACCATTGTAAGTAAGCCACATTAACAGTTACAACAGTTACACACATGTGTGCGTCTCAGTGGATACAGAAAAAGCACCTAGCAATACTAAACAAACGTTATTGTAAAGACGGTCAATAAACAAGGGATAGATGAAACCTCTTCAGCATGTGAAGGACATCTATGAAGTTTCCACACACTTAGTGATGAGAGAATGAAAGGTATTGCTCTAAGAAGAAAAACAAAACCAAAACACTCCTGGAAGTTAAAACCAGAGCTACTGGACAAGAAAAACACATATAAACTGAAAACACAATAAATGAAACTGCATTTATTCACAGATAACAAGATTTTATATGAAGAAAATCCTTAGGATAATCAACAAGCTCATCAAGGCTGCAAGATAAAGATCAACACAAAGTGGGCCAATGCGGCAACTCAGCGGCTGAGCACTTGCCTAATGTGTAAGAAGACCCTGGGTTCAGGGGCTGGAGGTTTAGCTCAGCGGCATAAGCGCCTGCCTTGCAAGCAGGCAGTCGTGAGTTCAATCCCTGGTACCAATAAAAAGGAAAAAGACAAAAAAAAAAAAAAAAAAAAGAAGACCCTGGGTTTGATCCTCAGCATAGAAAAAAAAAAGCCAAAACAGATAGATACAGAGCTGGCAGGCTGGCTAGCTAACTAGCTAGCTAGCTGACTGACTGGCAGGCAGGCAGACATTTCTAAACACTAGCAGTAAGCAACATTAAAAATAAAATTATAAAAACATTGTTTGCAACAGTTAAAAAGCAATAATAAATTTAAGGAAGCAAAGTCTTATACACAGAAACCTCTAAATAAATCGGAGGGGGCATGTTTATGGATTAGAAGATTTTACTTTGCTAAAAAGACAGCAAAAGGCCTGGCGTGGTGATGCACAACTAAAATCCCAACACCGAGGAGGTTGAAGCAGAAAGATTATCGCCTAAATTACATGGCAAAAGTGTCTCCAAAAAAAATAAAAATATTGCCAGTTGTGGTGGCACACACCTATCTATGATCCCAACTACCTAGGAAGATTCCACGTATGAGGCCACACTAGGCAACTTAGAAAAAAATCTGTCTCAAAAAAAAAAAAAAAAAAAAAAAGGGCTGGGGATACAGCTCAGTAATACAGTATCTGCCTAGCGCATGCAAGGGCCCGGGTTCAGTTCCAAGCAATGGAGAGTGGGGGAGATTCTGATAGTAAAACTTAGAGCAATTCACAGATTCAATGCAATTCTCAAAAAACCCCTAACAGGTTGGGTGTGATACTGTAGTCGCAGCACTGGGGTGGCTGAGACAGGAGGACTTGTAAGTCAATAAAAAAGAAACAGTAAGCCCATGCCACACAGTGAATTCAAGGCCAGCCTGACTAGTGAGAGCCTGTCTCAAAAAGCAAACAAAAAAAATTCCAACAGCATATTCTGTAAAAAATAGAGACTCATCCTAAAATACAAATGGTAACTCGAGTGAGATTCCAAGACAATAAAACAGTCTTGAAAAAGAACAATAAAGTTAAAGGATTGATTCTTCCTGACTTAAAAACTTACTACAAAACTCTATTAACCAAAACATGATGGGGCAGGCATAAGGAAAGACTAGAGTACAGAGTACAGAAGTAAACACGCACAATACAGTTAAGTGACTTTCTACAAGAGTGGCAAGGGCTTTCAATGGGGAAAAGAAGTCTTTTCAATAAAAGATGAAGGAAATACTAGATATCCACATGTGAAAGAATAAAGTTGGACCCTTATATCATATGCAAAGATAAAATCAAAATGGACAAAATCCCTAAGTTTAAGTCATAAAACTCAGACAAAAAACATCAGGGGAAATCTTTGTGATATTGGATATGACAATGATTCCTTACATGTGACCCAAAAAAGCAAGTCAAAAAAAAGAAATCAAAATTCTTTTTGGACATCAAAATTTTAAACAGGTTGGAGGTGAGGGGAACTGGAAAAAAAAAGAGGAATTAAGATATATCATGTTCGGGGCTGGGGATTTAGCTCAGCGGCATAAGTACCTGCCTTGCAAGCAGGCAGTGGTGAGTTCAATCCCTGGTACTGATAAAAAAAAAAAAGATATATCATGTTCAGGTACAAATTACCTATGACGAATGTGATTATTAGTACATCTACATTGTACATATGAACTTAAAAAGGACACTATAAAGAGATAAAAGGCTAACCTGCAGAATGGGAAAAATGTTTATAAGTCATCTATCTAATAGAGGATTAATATGCAGATGACAACCCATATAACTGAACCCCCCACCCCAAAAAAGCCCAAAGGTCATGAAGAGATACTTCTCCAAAGACAGCACACAATGAGCAGTAAGTACAGGAAAAGATGACCAACATCATTAGTCCTCAGAGAAACGTAAATCAAAATTACAATGAGATACCACTTCACATGCATAAATGACTATTAGTGCAAACATACACATACAAGCAAGCAGCAAATACTGTTAAGGACGTGGAGAAACTGAGATTTTATGTGTAGCCAGTGGGAATGTAAAATTTTTCTTTGTAGAAAACAATTTGGTATTTCCTTAAAAAATGCAAAATAGGTCATCTGATCCACCAGTTACACCATCCCTAGCCATGAACCCATAAGAGCAAGGACTCAAGTTATTTGTACACCAATACAATGGGATTATTATTCAGTCATAAATTGTTGACACATGCTACACCATGGGTGAACCTTAAGGACATTGTGCTGAGTGAAATATGCCAAACACAAAAAGACAAGTTTGTGTGATTCCGTTAAAAAGGTGCCAGAGCAGCCAAATTTATGAAGAGTAGACCAAAGATAACCAGAGGCTGGGGAAAGGAAAAAAAAAATCTAACATATGGACAAGGTTGAGCCTTTTGTGTGATCTGTTTTGTTTTTCTTTTTTCATGTTTTTGAGATGGACTACACTATGTTGCCCAGGCTGATCTTGAATATATGGTCTCAAACAAGTGATTCTCCTGCCTCAGTCTCTTAGGTAGCTATATTTTATAAAGACAATAACATTTTTTCTTCACATTGTGTCACTACACATGCACTAGGATTTCTAAAAGATGGTTGAAATCTTTGTGAAAACCAGATTTACCGAATTTTTTAGGTTCAACTGACTTTACAAAAGTTGACTGAACTTAGAAAAGTTTTGTTACATTATAATTAAATCAACAAAGTGGGTATCTTTAATTTTATAATGGAGTGAACTGATCTGTACTAAAATCCTGAGTTATATTTTAAATTTAAAGAAAAAGTTTTATCATTTATAAACTTTAGCTTAGCACACTGTGCATGCCTCTAATCACAACTACTCACAAGGCTGACAATTATAATTTCAACGCCAATCTGGGCAACTCAGTGAAACCCTGTCTCAAAATAAAATAAAAAGGCCTGGGAATGTGACAAAGTGGTACAATGCTTACAAGACGCCATGTGTTCCCACCCACAGCATAGCCAAAAAACAGTGTAAACTTTAACAAACTGAATGTTGCCCAAAAAGCATTTACAAATAGAAATTACAATTGGGAACTTGAGAAACCGCCCACCTAGAGAATAGAGATGAAGAGATGCAAAGTTCCTGAAACTCGCACTGTGAGTCTTAAGTGGCATGAGTCTTAAAAATGAGAGCAGCTTATGAGGAGGAATAGAAGGGACATCCACGTCCCCAAGGGGCAGGCAGCTGAGGGCAGAAGGGGGACAGGCACTGCCACTCACCCTAGAGCTGCAGCTGCGTATGCTGCCCCAGCCGTGCCCACCTCCTCGCAGTCCCTCTGGAGGGCCTCTTGAATGAGCTCATCCACCACTTGAGCCAGGTCCTACAGAGAGACCACTGCAGGTGAGAGGGAGTGTACCGCCCAGGACAGAAGTCTGAAGGCAACTATGACCAGGTGTGTGGTCCCTAGCAAAGCGGCTGCCCTGTGCACTGCTTCAGAAACAGTCTCTGAGGAATAGAAAAGTATCTCCCAGACAGGCCGTAGTGAGCCTGCCAGATGGCTATCCTGCAGATGGCCCAGTGTCCCTGTCTTCTCTTGTTCACATGGAACCTCATTTTTTATTTTTTGGCACTGGGGACTAAACCCAGAGCCTTTCCACTGAGCTATGTCCCCACCCCTTTTTAAGAAAGTTTTTCTTTTCAGACAAGCTCTAAGTCACTAAACTGCTCAGGCTAGGCTAGAACTTGCATTCATCCTATCTCAACCTCCAAGAGTGCTGGGTTTACAGGGTACACCAATGCACCTGACTCACATCCTCAATTTGGAAGCCATTCTCTATGCTCATCAGGATTCTCTGACCCTGCAGCAGTATCAGTGTCCAGTGTCTGCCCTTGTAAGACACAGGAGCAGCCAGTAAGACACAAGTGAGTCCCACTGCTGTGATCCCACAGATCCTGGTCAGCCCATCTACTAGGTTCTGCTCTGAGTTCAGCCTAACTCTACTACCCTGGCTCCTCTTCTGTGAGACCAAGCACTACAGTATCGTGGGGCAAGGAACTGGGGTAAGAAGACTTATCCACAGTGGGCTTCTTGAGCCCTCCCCTAAAAGATGCCCTACCGCATCAGAGTACACAGGTATAGGCTTCAGAGGCAGCAGCTCAGGTTGCGTGGAAGGCTGGAAGAGACTGGGTGCCACAGGCAGGGTCAGCAGTGGGGTGTGAGGCAGAGGTGCAGGCAGTGCAGGGAGGAGACCTGTGAGAGGCACATCAGGCCCTGCTCCATATTCCTCTCCCTTTCTGTCACCTGGGAAGAAACACAGAAAAATCATGGCACTGAAGAGCACAGGACCAGCACCAGGGACACCACCATCTCCACACAGGGATAGCCAGCCATCCAAGCCAATCCTGAGGTCTGGCCAACACGGAGGCCACTGTGGGGGAGGGTCCTAAGGACTGGCCACTGGGGGAGATATTGTCCACACAGAAACAGCACTGCAGCTGCAGCATCAGGGCTCTGAAGAGAGATTCAGAACTCTCAAATCCAGGGAAAGCACAAGCACTGAGCCAAGTAATTCTCAACTAGAGAGTTTCCCAGAATACCCAGTCCTGCATCACTTACCCGCTGCATCCACACTGGGCCTTGGGGGGCCAACAGGCAGCTCTGCAGTCAGGCTCTCCCCAACATACTTGTTCTGGGTGTTGAAGCTGCACACAGGAGTGTGATGAGGGACTGGGGGCAGCGGCCCTCCATTCACAGCTTCCCCAACCGACACCGTTAGTTTCCTGGTGATGAACACCGACTTCCTGGCTTTGGATAATCCCTCTGGTTCCAGGAATGCAGACCGGTTCAGCTCAACACAGCTACCGAGACCACAAAGAGCCCACAGAGAGGTGTCACTGGGGAAGGAGTAGCACACACCCTGCCCTGTACCAAATAGCCTGGAAGAGGACAAAGCCTTTGGAACCACCTGGCTTAGTGCACACAAAGCCTCATAAGAAGGATGCACAACTACACACTCCTTCCTGGCTCAAGAGTCACATCCTCCTCCTTTTCAGCCACCTCATTTCTCTGAGGACAGGAGGAGGAGCTTCAGGAGAGACTTAAATACAACAGTGCCACCTGCAGGGTGAGGACTTGTATAGTCTCAAAATACAAACTACAAAGAATGGAGAACACTATGGCCCGGCCAAATGGTGTACTCATCCCAGCCATCAGAAATGGGCACTATCTACTCACAGACCAGCAAAGCAATATTCAAGGGAAAACACAAGAAGTTCCTAACCTTTATCTTTGGGTTATCTGGTAACTCATTAGAATCTATGACTCTAGAATCACAAAGACCTGGTCTGAACCCCAATCTACTGACAAACAGCATAGAACTCTGGGAATAAATATCCCCCAGCTGCAATGCACACTCAGAAGGTGGCATGGAGAACATACCTTCTCTAGGGCCCAGCAAATGGCTAGCACTTTTTCAGACTTTTATTGGAATTTAAAAAGCAAAAGGATAAGACAAGCCCACAATTCTAGTCTCAGCACCTACCCCTCAGAAACAGTGAGGCCGTGGCAGTTGAGGAAGTCGGTAGCTTCCTCGCTATCTCTGAAGAGCAGCATGCGCACCACACCATCCAGGGGAAAGGCGGTAGAGCGCTGTGTGCTCACAGTGTATGCGATGCTGAGAGCCCGAAGTGCATCCTTGCGGATCTGAAAAGAGAAGCCACCTCAAAGAGAAACGCACAATAAGAAAAATAACTGCTTCTGGCCACAGCCAACCAGCACGATGATGGGCTCTTTCTGCAGCTGAGTGCCTCTGGAGGGCAGGATAGCAGCATTGACCCCGAGCTCAGAAACCAAAGATGTTTCATCACAGATATACCCGCTCAGCAAGCAGTCTCAGAAAAAAAGAGTGGGCTGTCAGGTGTCATTTATTAAAGAGATCATGGAACAAGTCATCCATCAAATGGGCAAGAAAGTAAACTGAAGCGTCCACTCAGCCAAAGGCTTCCGACGTACTGAGCCTGTTGGGGGGACTATGGAACACCGCAGAAAGGCGCAAGACACAAAATTAAACATACTAGTTGAGGATAAAATTGTTTGCAGCACTTTAACAAGTACATAAAAAACAAAATACTGAAACATGAAAATACTGGCAAAAGGCTAGGGATGTAGCTCAGAGGCACAGGTTCCTGCCTGGCAAGTACATGGTCCTGAGTTCAATTCGCAGTATTAAAAAAAAAAAAAAATGCTGACAAAAAATGTTGTGCTGTGCTCCTGGGTGTCCATTTCACTGGTTCTCTCCAACCAATTCATTAAGTGCTCTATGTCCCTGGTGTTCTTCTTAATGCTCAGAAGACAATGGAGAGCAAAATTAACAATATATCCATCACTACAGAAATCAGAAGTGGGAAGATACCAGTGCTAGAGAAAATGAACGTAAGATCCATCTAATGGTCATTAAGCACAACAGGAGAAAATACAACACCAGAAAACAAGGACTGCTAACAGGTGGGGGTTGGGGTCCCTGCTAAGAAGGCAGCTGGGGTAAGAACACAAAGGACAATGGCCACACAGCCTGTGAGGCAGAGCTGGGTGAGAAGGGGGCAGGGAGTCAAGGGAGGCAAAGATGAGTGAGGGGGCAAGATGAGGCCTGAAGCCCATGGGACCATGAAGGCCATTGTCAGCCAAAGCATGGTGCTGAAGAACATTTGTGTTTCCCTTTTGTATAAAGTTATTAAAAATGGTCACCATTATCCTTAAAAGGTGACAATTTTTAAAGCTAACAACCCGAAATCATTTAAAAAATATTTATAACATACACCTGTAGAGCCAGCATTGTAGAAGGCTGAGGCAGGAGGATTACAAGTTCAAACCCTGCCTGGGCAACACAGTTAACTTAAGAAGACTGTCTCAAAACAAAAAAGTAAAAAAGGTGCAGGGGGCGGGTGGCCTAGGTGTCAATTCTCTGTAACACACACACACACACACACACAAAACCTTAAACTATTTAACCACTGTAAAGTATTCCCAAGTGGCAGGGCAGGTTATTAGAAATCTTTCATTTGGGGCTGGGGATTTAGCTCAGCGGCCTAAGCACCTGCCTTGCAAGCAGGCAGTCGTGAGTTTGATCCCGGGTACCGATTTAAAAAAAAAAAAAAAAAAAAGAGTTAAAAGAAATCTTTCATTTGGCAAGTGTCAGCTCTGACAACAGTGAACAAACTTGTGACAAGATTCTCTATCCAGACTGTGACTATGGGTTTATTTACTAGTAATAGGAGGACTTGGAGAAATCATCTGGTCTCACAGCCAAAACTCCACATCCTGAGAACTTCCAGGTGCACTCTCCATACGCAGCAGAGACTACGCAGCACTGTCAGAGGTCCCCCTCCTTCCCCCTCCTCAAGGGGCCAGCATGGTGTGCACAAGGCAAGTGGGCCATTCTCTGCAGGGGAGGGGCAAGAGCACTGCTCACATCACATACACCTGAGTCTACAAGCTGCTCTCTGGCATCCTCAAGTCTCCTCACTCTGCTGGAACTCACATATTGGCTGGAGATTCTGAGGCTGAGTTTATGCAAAACCCCAGGATCAGTTCTGATAGCCTCTCCGCAGTGCACAGGGCAGGATCAGCACAGGGCAGGAGCAGACACAGGTACTTGCTGAAATGACTTGAATGGCATCAGCCTCACTCCAAAAGTTAAAGTAGTAACACGAAGAATTGTAAGGTCAAGGATTTGTACACTATGAAATGGGATTTCTGCTTTTTGATTTGTTTTCATGGAAGACAACAGTGCTGAGCTCCATGGTGTCATTCTGAAGATTCTTATTTATCTGAGCCACAGACCAGCATTCCCACTCCCATGAGGACAAGCAACACTGCGCAGCCTCAACAGCAGTGGCAGACTCGACCCGACCTGTGGAGGGTGCAAGGCACAAAATACTACAACAGCACCATCCCCAGCCTCCCTTCCTGGCTCTGCACAGCTGACCCACTCACCTGATGGAAGTAGCAGTGTAACAGACACGCACTTAGGTAAGAGGCTGACTGGACCAGTTTAAAAAATCTCACGAAATTGTTACTGTTCAACGCAGCAAAGGCCTGAACAGCAAAGTGCACCTCAGGGGAGTTCCTAACATCAGGGTGGAACTGCTGCACCTCCCTGTTAAGGAGACAAAACACATAACATCTGCAAAGATAGATCCGCTGAGTGACCAGATCCAGGAGCCAAACTTGGCTCCTGAATTCAATTTCCTACTACTGCTACTCCTGGACTAGTCTGATAGAAATTTTCTTTAAAAAGGTAAGTAAGCAAATACAAGCAACAATGTAAGATATGGTGAGTTCAAAGTCAAATTAATACGAACTGACTGCCAACTATACTTACCGAGAATTCAAAGAAATAGAAATTTTAACTTTCGGGACTATTCTAAAAATAAATTTATCTGTCTGAACTGTTCGAGAAGGGAATGAATGACTGTCATATATGAAACATTACCCAGCCATTTTCCACAACCAATTTGTCTTCCAGGCTCAATTTTGTTTTCATGGCTTGTTTTGCTTTGACACCAAGTACATTTATTCGAAAAGAAATGATAAAATATCCTCATATTTTTCCTTGAGAAATTAAAAGTAAAAGAATAAAACCAAAAACAAATAGAAAAAAATAAAGATCAGAAAACACAAACCCTTATCAAACTTCTAACATCATTTTTCATACTGATTAACATTTTGATCTTACATTTCTATGAAAATAGAAAAGATTCAGAAGAATCTAAATGACTTTGATAAACGAATAAAACTAGAGCTCTAACCTTCCCCAAGCATACAACTTATCACAATGTCACACCAATCATGACAAAACAACATTGACATCATGATAGATAAACCACCAAAGTACCAACATAAAGTCCCAAAATAGAGATCCACATAACAGACAATTGATTTCTGGCAAAGATGCAAAACCAATTAAATGGAGAAAGGATTATACCCCGGTAAATATACTGGAACAACTGGATATCACATGCAAAAAAACCAAACCTTATAGCATCAAAAATTTCATAAGACATCCAAAAGTCAACTCAAAATGGCTCACAGTGGGTTAAAGTGAAGGCAGGTGTGGTCTGAGTCATTGCTTGGCTGAAGTCATTCTCTCTGGGACGAAATACATGTTTTTTTTTCCTTATCATACTAATGAAACAATATAATGTTTATATTTACATGAGTGTTTTGCTTTGTTTTGAGACAGAGGTTTGCTATGTAGTTTAGCCTGGCCTTAACTCAAAACAGAGCCCCGGGCTTGAACTTGCAGCAATCCCCTTTCCTCAGCCTCCGTAGTGTTAGGATTGTAACAAGGCTTAGTTTTAAAATTTAGAATCAACCACATATCAAGTTTCCTAGAGAAAATACTAAGTTGAAAAAGAATTTCAGCACAAATAAGGCAATCTTGGAACTAAAAGCGACAATAGCCACTACTGATTTCAGTGTATGAAGAACACAAACATGGACCAATAACTCTGCCTTACTTCACATATAAAGGTCTACTTAGGTGCCAGAGCAGGTTTTAAACTTCATTCATCCTTAATATTTTATCCTTACCATTTTCATTTCACACGATTTTTTCCTCTTTCCTAGTTAGCCTTTCAACAGAACTACCTGTAAACAGTGAGCTGCTGACCACTCCCTCGGGGCACACTGACTACCCTGTCCTCATTCACTCCCTGTCTCACTGGGAAGAGCTTCTTTCATACAAAGAAGCAACAGCTCTCAGAAACAAAAAGAGGGGCCTATGTCAGGTACACTAAAAACAGAGAAAGCCCCTATCTCTCTTTCCCCAGGTCAGCCTAGCAGCGTGCAGACCTGCTATCACCCAGTGTTTGCTGTGGAGACGCAGCACTGTCAGTGACTACTGATCTTAAAACCTCTTTCCCTCCTTACACTTTGCATGTGCACACACCAGAGGTTCACTGCTGAGCCCAGATGCTCACCTCAGGATGTCCCCCTTGTTGAGATTGAGCAGAACGTTGTAGCCCTGGAATTCAGCCTCACTGGCACAGAAGACGCCCCTGCCCCTCAGGTCCTGGTACATCTCCTTCAGACTCTGCAGACACTTGGTCATGTTCTCATTGTTGATCTTGGCATCAAAGGAGGACATGGGTTCCTCACACATGAAGTGGGCACAGTGGATGTGAAACCGCGTGCACTTTTCAATTAGGGACACTGTCAAGGGGTCGCAGAGGTGCTGCTGTGTGATGTCCTGGCCAATGCAAGGAGGAGGGTTACACAGACACACACGCTCCTCACACACACACAATTCGCATGCATACAGTCAGCTGTGGGAAGACACTCATCACCTGCATCTCTCACACACCAATTGAAAACCAAGCCCATGACATAAATAAGGTTTTAAAATGATTTAAATGATTTTGTTTCAGATGAAGATAACTCAGTAAAATGAAGAGAGTGAGCAGTCTGGCTCCAGAACATACATGCATTTTCTAGTATCTTAACCAGAGGCAGCTGATACCTTCCGTATGCCCCGTGTGCGGTTCCACACGAAGTCGTACCAGTCCCGCAGGCTGCCTTCCTTCTGGTCCATGATCTGGGTGACCAGGTAGTCCATGGTCCTGCTAAGCACTGCTGAGGGCCGCAGCTCATGGGGTAGCGGTTCCTCTTGGTCCGCTGAGGATCGGCTATACTCCTTCACAGCCAGTGCGTGGTCTACCTGGTAACATAAAACGGGGAAAGGCTCCTTAGGTGGCAAGTGTTGAGCCTTCCAGCACAGCTATACCTTGAGAGGGAAATTCACTGTGTGTAGTGGCTCATCTGTAATCCTAGCATTCTAGAAGGCTGAGGTAGGAGCACTGTAAATTCTAGCCCAATCCGGACAACTTACTAAGACCTTATTTCAAGATTAAACAAAAACTGGGAGTAGTTGGCACATGCTTATAATCCCACCACTCTGGAGATTGAGGCAGGAGGACTACAATTTCAATTATATCCTAGGTGACTTCGCAAGACCCTATCTCAAAATTAAAAATTAAAAGGGTTGGGAATGCAGCTCACTGGTAAAGCTCCCCATCTTCAATCCCTAGTACTACCAAAACTGAAAATTTTAAAGAAAAAATAAATTGAGAAATTTCACTTTAGCAAATACGGTAAGAAGTTGTGATAAAAGGCTGTCACAAGGAGGAATTAAGGTGAAGACACATTTGCCTGGCTCCAAAACACAAAGAAAATAATGGACTTTTGTGTACTATAAAATGTAGCCACACCACATGCTAAGTCAAGTTTACACAGACCAGAAACAATGTGGAGGAACAGTGAGTAGCTACAGGGTGAGAGCACGACCACCTGCACACACAGGCCTCCACCTGCACAAGGAGAGAAGGCACATGGACACCCATGGACTGCACTCTGAGTACCTGCTGCCTCTGGGCAGGCACCTTGGGCCTCTGTGGTGACATCTGCTGCTAGGCAAAACCACTGATAAGGCAGCAGAGATGATGCTCACAAACAAGACTGAAGAGCAAAGGATGCAGTGGCACACGTCTAGGGAGACCATTTGGAACATAAATTGATATATGCTCAGGACATATAGACTCTGTGATGCAGTAACTTAACATTTCAAATTAATCTCAGCACTCAGGAGGCTGAGGTAAGAGGACAACTGCAAATTTGAGGCCAGCATGGGCCACATAGTGGGTTTAAGGTCCGACTGAACTGTATAGTGAGACTGTCTCAAGGAAAAAAAAAAAAACTTCAGAACTGGCTGAAGAAAATGATCAAACTTCCTTTGTGTGTAACACAAAGATGCCAAATAGTATTAATTAAAAATAAAGACAATAAAAAAATTAGAAATAGCCTGTCTACTGACCGAAAAAAACAGGCTTTTGCCAGAGCTACCTCTTCAAATATAAGTTACATTTAGATATACTTAGAGCTCATCATGATAAAGGTAGATGCTTATGAAGATACAAAATGAATCCAGAACATAATCTCAAGTGTGCAAAACATAAATACAGAAAATAGAAATTATAAAAGGAAGAAAGAAATTAAACAGTTTTAATCTATTTTTTTTAAGTTTTTATTTCACTTTGTGATTTTTTTTGGTAGGGGGACAGGGTTTTTTTGGGCTGGCCTTGAACTCACTATGGAGCCCAGGCTGGCCTTGAACTTGCAGCAATCCTCCTGTTCAGCATCTTGAGTGCTGGCATTGCTGGCTTGTACCACAAGCCTGACTAGTTTTAATCTATTTTTAAAGCCTACATCTAAAGCTAGGAGTGGGGCTGGGGATTTAGCTCAGTGGCATAAACGCCTGCCTTGCAAGTAAGTGTGCAGTCATGAGTTCGATCCCCGGTACCAATAAAAAAGAAAAAGACAAAAAAATAAAATAAAACTAGGAGTGGTGGTACACATCTATAATCCCAGAACTCTGTGAGGCTGAGGCAGAAAGATCCCAAATTCAAACCCAGCTGGGCAATTTAGTGACACATTGTCTCATGTTTTTAAAAAATGGCTGGGTAAAATAGCACAGAGCAAAGGCCTTAAGAGTCAATGCCCAATATAAGCATTATATGAAATAACTTAATGTGACTATTAATAGCAGAAATAACTACCACCTCCAAAGACAGCAAATAATCAAGAATCCTAGTTTCCTCCACTACCTGCACACCCCCACCTTCAACCCCCAAGTAGAGAGAAGACCCTACGTCCTACCTGGTCAGTCCCCGGGACCACTTCAAACACACTCAGCTGACTCCGAGTCTCCCGCATGTACCGCTCCTTCTCAGGACACATGTCTGGGCACGTGCCAACGAAAGTCCTGGCTTTGTCCAGGTCAGTCCTCTTCACTCGAGCTAAGTGACATCATGCAAAAGATAAGGAGGTGCCACAGGGTGGCTGAAAACCCATAGAAGGCACTTTCATAATGGCAAAAGAAAAAACAGAAGTTTTTTTAGAAGTCCTACAAAAAGAAGTTTTTTTAGAAGTCCTTCAAAGGCAAAGAGTATTTGTAAAACCTTGGGCCTCAGTAAAGAGGGATCTGTGGACTGTTCCATTAGGCAATAGCCTGGTCAAGGCCCAAAAACTGCTGGGCCACTGTCAATGGACGCTGGTATACAACAGGTAACTCCTGTAACCACAGGGACAATCATGATGTGGGATGTTTACTAAAAATATAAGCTTGTTAAACATAAACATTCAAAATATACTAGCATTTCATAGAATTTTGTCTCCATATTTGGAATCACATACTGAAGTTACCTGGATCCTGACCTGAATAAGTACACTACTACTATTGCCAACAGAATTAAAGGTACAAATCACTAGATAAAATTGAATGAAACGACTTCACACCCTTTTTTTTTTTTTTTTTGAGATGAGGTCTCACTATGCATTTCAGGCTGGCCTTGAACTCACTATATAGCCAAGCCTGGCCTTGAACTTGCAGTGATCTTCTTGCCTCAACCTCCTGAGTACTGAGATTAGAGGTGGGTACCACCATGCCTGGCTCCTTAATTTTATTTTGAAAAATTTCAATAACTAGTAATAATTTTATTCAGAATGTGAAAATCACCAAGTCAATGATACGTGATAACAGCTACTAGTATGAATTTAAGCACTGTAATTATTCTAATTATTCACAGCTTTTAAAAAAGGAAACTTCCAGAAGCAAACCTATATATAATACCAACACTCAGAAGGCTGAGGCAAGATCACCCCAAATTCAAAGCCAACCTGGGTTACACAGTGAATCCAAGACCAGCCTGCACTACATAGTGAGACCAATCTCCCAAAAAAAAAAAAAAGGAAACTCCCACAGGTAACATTTAAGAAAAAATTACCAAGAGTAAAAATAGTGTATGCGTTTCCTTTTTGGTCGCTCTATACATTTTTAATGTTAAAGGGACCATCTTTGGAAGGTAAAACAGTCAATTTAGCATTCCAGAGGCGTGGAGCATCCCTCCCTCCCTTGACAGACAATCTGCATGAGCATTTCTTCCGCACACCTGCCCTGTCTTCGCACACACACAGGCAGATGTATTTGTTCACAGAGGTACAAACAAAGCACTCATCTCAGGAATACTTGTTGACAGTAATAACCAGAGGTGGCATTGGAGCCCCAAGACAAGAACAGTAGACCCTGTGGAAAGAGTTCACTCCCTCCCTGGTGTCTCCCCCAACGGCACTTCACCACTATTGCCAGGCCTCTGGAACCTCTCCCAACAAGCACTTTACCTTGCCTCATGATTCGGTCTCTTTGATCAAGCAGGCGATACTTCTCTTCAGACGTCTCAGCCACAGTGCCAATCAGGGCACTGAGGGATGACACACACAGCCCAAGCCCCTCGGAGCACTCAGACCCAGGGTCAAACGCATCTCCTTCAAACTGGTGGGCCTTCTGGAGACTGGGCTTCTTCACTGGAGAGCTACAGGTAAAATTACACATCAAGGGCCCTCACATCATTTCTATTTCCAAACCTCTCAAGATCTTTTGGACCTCTAATCGAGCTAGTATATGCATTGAAGCAAAGCAAATCGTGATTAAGTCAGTGATGAGAAAAAACACATACATACACAAAAAATCTTCCTTTTAAAACGAAAAAAACCCTGGAATGGTATAACCCTATGCCTAGAATCCCAGGTACTTGAGAAGCTGAAGCATGAGCCTCCCAAATTCAAGCCCAGTAAAGACAATTCAGTGAGATCTTGTCTCAAAAGAAAAAAAGCCTGGGGCTGCAGCTCAGTGGCAGATCACTGGCCTATCATGTGTAATCCCTAGGTCCAATCCCTAGTACCACATAAATAGTAATAATAATAAAAAATAAAATGAAAAAGAAGCCAGGCATGATGCTATGTGCCTGCAGTTCTAGCTACTCAGAAGGCTGTGGCAGGATCACTCAAATCTAAGAATTCAAAGACATCCTAGACAACATGAGGAGACTCGTCTAAAGAAAAAATGGAAAAGAAGGGTACGGCTGGTGAGGGGTACAAAGGTGCTTTTTACTAGTTTTTCAATAATCTTTAAATATTTTGTAGTTTTTAACATGACATGATCTTGTTTAAACAGCCAAGATACATATTTATAAACTTCCACCTCAAAGAAACTAAATTTATTATGGGAAAATTCCTTTAGCAGTGTGAGGAATACTTTGCTGAACACCTGCCTTTCTTTCAACAGAAGGCCACACTCAGGACTGGATCGTCTCTCACATCCGACTGGCTTTCAACATATTCCGAATCTGAATATCAAAGTAGGTGTAAGAGTGGCTGAGGAACAGTAAAAAGCACACCAGCAGGCAAGAAGGTCACAAGACGGAAATCAAGGAAAACAATGCACTAGCCAACGGATAAGAAGGGTTAAAGCAGAGACCTAAGGAAGTGGGCCAGGTGTGAAAGGAGGCTAGGAATCAGCCAGGCATCTCAGCACACAGACCAGGACATAGGCCTTTGGGAAAATCCTCCACACAAACTCACAATACATGCCAGTCATCACTACCCAGAGGCAGCTTCTACTTTACAAGAAATGATGACTAGAAATATAGTTATTATAGCCATTTAGATTTTTAAGGGGGAAAAGTTGCCACATATGCAATAATCAGTCAGATAGAACTGCAAGCAACTTCATGAGACTTGGAACTGAGATAAGCATGATATGCCCCACCTCGTGGTAGCCAGTATGGATATCACAGCTGAGCACCCATGGGTAGAGGCAGCTCTGTGTACATATAGAAGTTCTGCCATCTGATGAGCAGCCTCCTGAGTAGGAACTGACCCTCAACATCCTACAGCTATGGACAAAAAGATCAACTACAGGAGCTATAAGCATCATCCAGAGAAAATGCCCAGATGGATTTTTAAAAAGATCCAGCCCCAAACAAGGACCTTCTCAGCTCCAGCATAATGTGAGAACAGGGGGAAACAGGAACAGCCCTGTAGCTGGACTCTCAAGTCTCCAGCCAGGATTCTCAGCCCTACCCACCTCACATAGCCCTGCTATGGGAAGCCCCCTCCCCTCTACCCCCAACAGTCATAGGCAACTAGCTCCTATTGGTTCCCACCCTCCATGGTCCCTCCTTCCCCACTGTGTAGCCCCACTTCTGATCTGTTCTCCCTGAATGTGGTCAGCAGAGAGATGAGTCCCACCTTTTACTCAGCAGGCTGCCTGCTGCAGCCCTCACAGTGGCCTTGCCAAGAGGAGAGTGCTGAAAGGGCGTATCCTCTGTGCTCTGGCTGCCTTCACCATCCCCAGGTTTCTTCTCCTTTAAGGAAAAAGGTTTCTTGTTGGGACCTGACAACACAGAACAGAGCTTAAGCTGTCACACGCCTGACACTGGACTTTCAGTTCCTTTGTGACAAAAGAATACTGACACAGAAGGTTATAGAAAAGCCCAAGGAAATAACTATGAGACATAAGGACCCACTCAGACCCCGCCTCCCCACTGGCCCTGGGAAAAGGAAGCATACTCCCAGCCAAAGGGCCTGACACACAGAACATGAGACTGTGAAAGAATCACTGAAAACTCACTTATTTTCTTCTTGTGCCAAAAGATAGACACATCCTTATGCAAACTTTTCCCCTTCTTCCTAGCCAGGGCTGCAGATGCCTAAAAAACAGTCCATGATCAAGTGTGAAGATAGCAGGAACCCACAGAACATGAAGATGAAAGCTCAAATGCAGTAAGACCAGGGCACTCAAAAATAAGAAGGAGCTACTATTCCCTGTGCTACAGGGCATCTCCTCTTGCCACACCACATGCCCTGTCCATATCACCTGCTGCCTGTGTAGCAGCTATGGCCCTCCTCTCCCTTTCCTATCGCACAGGCAGGTACCACTCTTCTTTTCAAAACTAATAACTGTGTTGTGATAGAACCCATAAATTGGCCTCTAGCCGTTGATGAAATCAATGTCACCAACTGATTTCATATACAGAAGCAGAAACTTTCCATGTCACATTTAAATGGAAGTTTTGAAATGAAGCACATGGAATACCATTTTTCACAAAATCAACTACATTATAAAGGCACTGATATACTTATACCCAGAAAAACATTCCCCATCCTAAGTACCTGGGGTTGCTCCCATGTGTCAGGAGAAACAAGAGCAATCAGCCTGTGTCTCAATGAATTGTTTACAGGGCAGCGTATTTACAAATTAATCACATAATAAAATATGGTTCAACTGAGAAAATAAGCACATTACACAGCACACCTAAAATTTTAAAACATGAAGCTTATCATATGACCCAGTAATTCCACTCTCAAGAAAATATCCCCAAAAATTGAAGGCAGAGACTCAAACAGATACCTCTATTCCAGTGCTCCCAGCAGCACTACCACAAAAGCCCAGGGTTGAAACAATCCAAGTGTTCTCAAAAGAGAAACATATTACAAAACACAGTTCACACATTAATGGAATATTATCAACCCTTAACAAGAATTTTCTCATACATGCTACAACATAAACCTGAAAACATGTAAGTAAAACATGTCACATAAAAAGACACACTAAACATACAAACATTATATATTCATGAAATATCAAGAACAGGCAATTCAGTGATATAAAGTAGACTAGAAGTACCAGGGACAGGACCAGAGAAGAGGGGAGTTATTGTTTAATGGTTACAGAGTTTCCGTATGGAATGAAGAAAAAGTTCTGACCATTGACAGTTGTATGGTTGCACACCATTGCAAATGTAATTAACACCACTAAATTGCGGTGTTTTTTTTTTTTTAAATCAACATGAAGGACAGAAAAAGTCCAAAAGCCATTGAGTACGCTTTGGCACAAAAATTCCACCTCTCAAGAATGGACATCAACTATTTAAAAATGTATGTACAGAGATATCCAAAAATACAGAAATGGCCAAGTAAGCACATAAAGAGGATAGACTATCACGAAGCATTTAACAGTCTCACACTAGTAGAAACTATCTATTGATTTCAAAAAATACAAAAGATTAGCTGAACATGGTGACATACACCTACAGTCCCAGTTACTTGGGATGCTAAGGCAGAAAAGGCCAGGAGTTCAAGGCTAGGGTGGACAACAAACTAAGACCCTGTGTCTTTAAAAAAAAAACTAAAATAAGCCAGGTATGGTGGTGTGTAGCTTTAATCCCAGCACTCAAGTGGCTAACACAGGAGGATCACTGTGAGTTCAAGGACAACCTGGGCTACACAGTGAGATCAAGGCCAGTCTAAATTACAGAGTGAGACTAAAATAGTTATAAAAATATGCTTTCTACTTTATCAAACTGCTTAATATAATCAGTATGTGTACATGTACCCTACAACCAATTATACATACATAAAGGCTTCAAACCCAGTGGTCACACAAGAACAAAATTAAGAGTTCACTTTTGTTCCACATTATCTGTAAAGTTTACAATGATGGTGTGTACTACAGTGATGGTGACTTTTTTAAAAAACAGAAAATTTAAGTTCAGTAAGTGGTGAATGGGTATGGAGCCACTACCAAGCCTTCCAAAGAGAAACCAGACTTTACACAAACCACTCAGAGGTTCCCTGAGCAATACGACTGCATGACTTTGGTGACTCCAAGTTACAAAATAAACATTGCTATCCCAGCCTTTCTTAAGTTCAAAGTGACGTATTTCAGTGCTTTCTTACACTCAAGGGACCAGCAAATTAAAAAAAAAAAAAAAAAAAAAAAAAATCAGCCTTAAAAGAGACAAAGTCCAAATGTGGGTAACAAATAGATTAGGATTACTCACATGATCAAAAAAATGCACCACCGCAAGCTTTTTGCTGCGTCTAGTGAAGATGCGCTGCACTTTAGCAATTTTGCCAAAGTGGTTCTCCAGGGTAGCCCTGTCATTGAGGTTGTCTGGAATGTTCTTGCATTGGATCGCCGTGACTTCTGTGGGAGACAAGCGCCCAAGGCTGTCCATGTTTTCACTTTTTTTATTCTGGTGCACAGGAGCTCCCCTTACAGAATCTGGGGATTCACAGAACAAGAGAACCCATCAGGTATGACACTTTCAAATCATAGGAGGCACCAACTATGTGAAAACAAAGCAAGTTTTTCATAGACAGAAGGCCTACTTCGAGGTCCCATGTTAGCATGCCTAACACAAGGGACTTAGAAAAATCAAAGTAACCAGTTGTGGTCCATGTCAATATTCCTCACATTCTAGAAGGATGAGGCAAGTGGATGACAAGTTCAAAACCACCCTGGGCAACTTAGTGTGAGACTGTCCCAAAATTAAAAAGAAAAAAATTTTTAAAAAGATTAGGATATAGCTCAGTGCAAAGGCTCTCCATTCAACACCCTGTAAAGCAAAACTGAAAGAAAAATCAACACCCAGGAAACTGAATGAGAATGCACCAGCAGAATATACTGTGTTGTATTTTTTTGAACTTACCTTCTTTTTTATCTCTGCTTTCAGTTTCTTCCTCTTTATTCATACCAGGAAGCCGGGAAGGTACAAGAACAGACTGATTACCTCCTGAAATACCCATGTGGTCACTTTCCCCACACTCAACAAAGCTACTTTCCTTTTTAGATTCTTTACTGCCCAGGCGACTGACTTCTTTATTGCTTTTGAAGACATCCTGTATTGTTCGACCAAACAAAGTACCTCCCCGGGGTCGATTCAGACGGACAGGGCGTTTATCTGGAGGATGATCACCCCTGGACAGGGGGTCTGAGTCATCTGCTGCCTCATGGCCATGTCTCCTTGGGGAGCGATCTTGGTCCTCTTTCCTTTTCAGTCCCTTCATGAGGCTGGAAATCGGTTCCACCTGGGAAACAGCCTCCTCACACCCTTGTCGCACACCTGATTTGTTAACTGAGAAGGGTTCTCCCAAAGACCCAGAAGATATAGGAAAACTATTGAAGTTACTGTTACAACTCCCAAATACTGATTTAAGTCCTCTCTTTTCTTCCTCTACATTTTGGTTTGACAGTGCAGGCGTAAAGGGGGAAGATGAATTATTACTATTAACTGATCTTGAAAAGATAGAACTTGAATTGGTAGCTGAACTACTTGTCACTTGGGAAAAAGAAAAGGGAGCTGGGCCTCCAGGTCCACTGTTCACTGGGTGGGGAAATGTGAAAAATCCAGAAGTAATCTGGCTTTGGGTTTTCTCTGGCTCGGACTCAGTCCCCAATATTGGCCTGAATACTGCATTTTCCAGAGGTTTAAAGCTGATTTCTGTTTTCTCAAAACCAGAGCTCACTACTGTTCCAGTTTCTGATCCAAATGTAGAAGTACTTGAAAAAACCCCAAGGTTGGTGGGTGATTTAAAACTAAATCCTGAGTTTTCAGGTAGAGATGAACTTGAAGACCCAGAAGTGGCTACAAAGGCAGGAGCGTGTTCAAGTCCAGAAAAGATTCCAGAACTTGAGGTCTGGGTGAGTCCAAACGATTGCCCTGAAGAATGACTTATTCCAGAAGGTGCTCCAAAGCTGGGCACTTGCGAAAACCCTGTACTTTTTCCAGACAATGTACTGCTTTGTCCAAAAAGTGAAGGCTGACCAAATTGAAATGGTGTCTTAGACTGAAATGTTCCTGAGGTACTACTAGAAGATGCTGCAAAAGCACTTGGCTGCTGCCCACCGAAAGGGTTTACTGGGTTCATCTTTGATTCGATTATTAGAAAGGAATAAATAACGTGTATAAAGTTAAGTCTTCTTCCCTAAACAGCCTGTTCCACTAAGAAGCTGCTCCCCTTCATCTTCAGAACAAGCTGAAAGACAAAAAGTCAGGACATCACATAATACCCTTCTAGGGAGGAAGAACAGTCTTAACTCACAGGCCACATTTAAATATTTCTTCAATTTTTTTTGAAGCAGGGTCTCATTATGTGGCTGAGGCTGGTCGTGAATTCACTGGGTAGCCCAGGCTGGCCATAAACCTGAAGCGATCCTGACTCTTCCTCCCAAGTGCTGGAATTACAGACCTGATTCACGAGACCCGCCAGAAAGCGTATAGAAAGGCAATGCAGGACTGAGTAACTTTATTCCCAGAGCTAGCATTCAGCCTCTGTCCCTCCCCAGCAAACAAAACTGTTGGTTCTCACAAAATAAAGCTATTACACAGAGGTTTAAAACCTGCCCATTAGAGACTAAAATGAAAAATCATTTTAATAAAAAACTCTCCTTCGGTAGTAACAACGCCATTACTTACACCTTTCAATTTACAGAGGACACTTCCCCTACTGCCCAGTCTCTGCGACCAAAAATTACAATGGAACCGCTGCGCCGTTATTGTCTCCCCACATCTAATTCTTCTCCGAGCAACTGGTCACGAAACACCTTTTCCCAACCAAGAAATAGGTTTTTTTGGTTTTTTTTATAATGACGACTACCGGAGGCTCGCTCGGGCCAGGGTCGAGGCCTCCAGCACATCCGAACGTTTGGATACGCCCGGGAAGCGACTGGCCCGCACTCGCCGCCCACACTCCGTCCCCAGGTCCCTGTCTCTATCCTCGTCCCCTACCGGTGGCCGCCGCCCTTCGGCCCCTGCCGCCTGCCGCGTAGGCCCTCGGCACCGGAGAGGTGGAGTGGGGGCGACGCTTGGTTGTACGCAGCGGGCAGAAAACACCCAGCGCAGCAAACGCAGCGGGCAGAAAACGCTGCGGACTGACTTCCGGCTCACCCGGCCCGCCGCGCTTGAGTTCCGCTCCGCGGCTTCCGTTTTGCTGCGCCGCTTCCGGCCCGGTAAGTACAAGACAAGTTCGCGTTGAGCGTAGCGGGATCCCCCACCCACGTTTATCTGCGCTGCAGGCCCAGCGCACTTGCCCCAGCTAATGAAGACCACATCCCCACAAGCCATTTCCTGAGGTGGTTATTGGCACTCCTTTGTCTGACACCGTGGCTTCCCTTCCCACCAGTTTTGTTTAGATACTGGAGATGGACCTAGGGGCGCTTCACCGCTGAGCTACATCTTCATCCCTTTTATTTATTGTGTTTATTTGTTTGTTTGTTTGTTTGTTTTTGGTGTTGCGGATTGAAAACCCAGCGTTTTCTTTCTTTTTTTTTAATCGGTACCCGGGATTGAACTCACGACCACCTGCTTGCGAGGCAGGTGCTTATCCCCAGTTCCGCCCTCCCCCAGCGTTTTCTAAATGTGCTACATCCCCACCCCGCTGTGCTCGAAATTTTGATCCCCTTGCCTCAACCCCACTCCCCCGAATTGCAGGCATTACGGCCATGAGCTACCGAGCAGAGCTAAATTCCTCATTTTTGTATCTTATGGTGCATGTAAATTCCCATAAAGTGTTCAACAATTTCCACCATATAAAGTGATTTGGTTGTAGCATGCATGGTTTTATAGAATCTACCACTTTCTGGTACTGTTCTCTTCAACTGTAACCACAGGTTCCATCCAAACAATTTTAAAGGTCCTGATGTTCTTCCTAAAATGAGTTTGGTGATTAGAAATCTGCAGCGCACGATTCCCATTAGGAGAGTGCCACTTCGCAGGAACGTGGAAATTGTAAGGAATATTTTAGGAGTGGAGAAATTTGACCTGGGGATTATCTTTCTTGACAACAAGAATATTCAACACATTAACAGGATCTACAGAAAGAAAAATATCCCAACTGATGTGCTTTCGTTTCCATTTTATGAGGTAACAGATATCTTCCTCTTGTTTAGTCTGCCTTCCAGAATACATTTTTTTTTAAAAAACCAGGGATCAAACTCATGACCTCACAGTTGCCAGGCAGGTGCTTATGCCACTGAACTAAACCCCAACCCCCATTCTGTGTTAATTACAGACATGGTTCTTAATTTTGATTTTGAAAATTTTCAAAATCACAAAAATGGCTAAGCTTCGTAGTCCGTGCCTTGTAGTCCCTGCTACTTTGAAGGCTAAGGCCAGAGAATCACAAATTTGAGCCTTGCCTGGGCAACTTAGTGACTTAGCAAGACCATCTCCTAATGAAAATAAGATTTGGGAGTGTAGTTCAGTGGTACAGTGTCCCTGGGTTCAATCCTCAGTCTCTCAAAAAAACAAACAGAAGTGATGACAGCAATATGATTGACCCCATTGAACATTCCCCCCAATTTACCCTGGTTAGTGCCAAGTGGAAGAGGAAAGGTGATTAAACCCTATCCTCTCCTCAATGCTGTCAGTGAATTAAAATAAGTGCTTCTGCATCTTTAGGATTCAACAGAAGTAAATTTGAAAAGATACACAGGGCTTCATTCGTTGTTGGCAGTGTAAGACAGAACAACCCTTTTGGAAAGCAGTTTGGCAATATAGAGAGATTCAAAGACCCTTTAAAACAACCGTGCTAAAATCCAGTAGTATCACATGTAAGGAAATAAATGCAAAGTAGACAGAAGATACAATGCTAAGTGCATAATACAAAAATGTATTAGAATTGTTTACTTACTTTTTTCCTTAATATGGAAAGAATGGACACATCCTAAATATCCAGCCATAGCTGACTGTCTTAGTGTGGACAATCCTCAGCTGATGACATGATCTTTATAGTTTCTGTGGGAGAATGGAAGACTTTGTTTAGGACTAAGCAAAATGACAAAATTGTGTCGCCATGCTGAGTTAACTCTAAAGAAGCTTTGTGGCAGAGTGGGGTGTTAGTCCACATTAGGAGGGATGAAAGAAATAGCGACTTATTTCTCAGAGTGGATGTATTTGAGATTGCATGTGTGTGGTGGCTGTGTAGTTGCCCCACTTGGGCCTCACCACTGTTCATTCAAGCATGCTGTTTGAGTCTTCTCTGCCTATGACTCTGTGCTGCATCCTTGGGGTTGGATTACTATTCCCAGAGTGATATCCTCTAAGTCCATTTCCTCATTTTTAGAATCTGAAAGCAGGTGAAGTTCCCCAGCCCAGTTTTCCAGATGACTATAACTTGGGAGACATTTTCTTAGGAGTGGAGTATATCTTCCAGCAATGCAAAGAAAATGAAGATTACTATGACATTTTGACTGTAAGTAGAGATACTGAAATCGTATCCTGGCTCATGAAATGCCTGCCATCCACAGGGTTTAGGAAAGAGACCACTGTGTGCACACCAAGTGCCCAAGGTACTCGAGGTTGCAGCAGGAGAACTCACAAGGAGAGAGGAGTACCCAAGCCTGTGAAAAACAGGGCTCACAAAAGCCCTCCAGAACTCATCCATTGGGATCAACAGGTTGTGTTTTCACTCAGACAGACCTGCTAGATCAGCTTCTTAATCTGCCAGAAACAGAGAACCCAAGTCTCTAGGATCTTCCATACTTGCTAAGGGTTCTTTGGCAGTATAGCCACCACAGGCACCAATCAGACACCTGAGGGCAGTGGTGGCAAACCTGAGGTACACATGTTTTTTTCCTAAGACAACCTCCGTCTCCTTGTTGCTTGACTCTTATTTTTGAGCTAGGTAGTCTCATTGTGATACCTAGGCTCATCTGTACTCGTGGGCTCATGTGAGCCTACCCTGGCCTCCAACCTTCCTGGGACAGGCAGTGGCAGCTGCCTGTGGCTACTGCCTATAGTACTTCCCCAGCTGCTCCTGCCTTGCCCGACTCAATCCTTTTTGCCCCTCCCCTAGTCCTGTACCTGGTCCCCAGCTCTCCACCTTGAAGAATCAAAGTGTACGTTGTTCCCATTTCAGAGAGGAGGCTAGAGGTTTAGGTCAGCAGCACAGCACTTGCCTGGCAAGTGTGAGGTCATGAGTTTGATCCCAGTTGCCCGCCCCCCAAAAAAAACTATTTCAGAGAGGAAAGGAAGTAGAACACGTTAATCTGCCCAGGATAGTGACTGGCTCCTGTATGGAGCCCTTGGCAAAGAGCAGCTTGGTTTTTCAAGGGCAGTGGAGACCCTGGGAATGAACCCAAACAGGCAGTTTCCTGTGGGCTCAACCCCTGAGTCGAATTTTTAATTTTCCAACAGGTGACAGCCACTCATGGACTCTGTCACCTACTGGGGTTCACACATAACTCGGAAGCAGAGTGGCACAAGGTAGGAGTCCACCCAGGACAACCTGTACCCCACAACTCAACCTACCCTTTATTTAAAAAAAAAAAAAAATGGCTTACAAACATCAACTTTAAATATCGGGCTCCCCAAATACCCTTGGGAGTATTAGTGCTGACGATCAAAAAGCAGATGTGAGTAGCCAGACTGAAAGTTATAGTCCCCTGAGCACTTATGATTGATTCTAGAGGAAAGCACACTGTTTAGAAAGTCTTAAGAAGAACCTGATGATAACCCAGATGTGATGGCACATGCCTGTGATTCTAGCATTCAGGAAGCTGAAAAATGAAGATCTGTATGAGTTTAAAGCCAGCCTGAACTACATTGTGAGACACTGTCTCCAAAAGAACCTAATGATGATCATCATCAGAAACAAAATTGGATGCAGAGAGACCTAGTTTAAAGTGAATCAGACAGGGTGTGGTGATGCACACGTGTAACGCCACCACTTGCAACGCTGAGATAGGAGAACCGCTGCAAGTGTGAGGCCAACTTGGGCTACATAGTGAGTTCAAAAATAACCTGAGCTGAATAGCAAGACACTGTCTCAAAACAAAAAAAAAAAAAAAGAAAGAAAGAAAGAAATGAAGTAAATCAATGCCACTCATTGTGTTCAGACAACTTGGTTTGTATTTGCACGCAAACTATCCATTGTTCTAAAAGACCTGGAAAACTTTCTGTTTAGAGAAGGGCCCCTGCTGACACCATCCACTCCATCCAGGTGCTGCCTGGGCTGTGCAGGGTCACAAGACCCCGCCCCTCACAGTTTGGGGGTTGCAGGGTGGGAGGGTAAGGGTCCTGGAAGCCCCTAGCTTTGCTTCTGTCTTTCAGATGTACCACCAGGAGAAGCAGGTGCTGGAGGAGCTAAGCCAGCGCACTGGGGCCCAGCTCCAGCCTCTTAGCAGGGGCCTCTTCTGATGCCACTCTGGGCACTGCAAGACGCAGGGTTGAACCAAGGCTCCGGACCAAGCCTTGCTTATGCTAGACCTACTCAGACATTGAAGATGCTGAACCAGCTCGCCCCCCGGCTCTTCCAAGGTGTCACTGTGGACATGGCTACCCTGGGCCAAAAGGTGACTTGCCCTGCTTCCTCTGTGCAGGAGGCATGGGAGGCTCACAGTTCATTTGTAGGAAATCTCACTGGAGCAGTCTTCCCTGCTCATCCTCTGAAAGTTAAAATAAGCCACAAGCTCCTGAGCCTTTAGGAACAAGTGCCATATCCTTGGGAGCAAATCAAAAGGGTGCTGAGTCATGGCATCTCCCTTTGCTGCTAAACGGGACCCCAGTTATGGTGGGCACTACAGGAGGTTACCAATAAGAGACAGCCCTAAAACCTGGGATACTAGGACTCCAGTAATGTGTGATTCATTAAATGATGCAGAAGCACGGAAATGTTTCCCAGTGGAGTGAGTGAGAATATGAGGCCCACCCTGTTCCTCTGGCCTCTCTGAACTGCGCATCGCTGGCCTGTGGTTAGCTAGGATTGTTCTCTGTTTACTGTCTGGCACAGCAAAGCTCAGAAGATCTCAGCCATGCCTAGGGCACAAGCCTCAGCAGAACTGGAGGCTCTTAACCGGGGGAGGGTTCATGGAATTTGTTAAAATCCTGCACTGCTTTAAAAAAAAAAAAAAAAAAAAAACGCACTGCTTCATTGCTTCATTCTTTCTTTCCTTTTTTTTTTTTTTTTTTTTTTTTGTCTTTTTGAGACAGGGTCTCACTATGCAGTTCAGGCTGGCCTTGAACTCAGTTTGTAGCCTAGACTAGTCTCGAACTCGAAAATGATCCTCCTGCCTCAGCCTCCTGAGTGCTGAGATTATAGGCATGAGCCACCACAGCCGGTTCTTTCTTTCTTATAAAGTCTCGTTTTATAGCCCAGGCTGGCCTCAAACTCACAATCCTGCCTCAGCCTCCCCAGTTCTGAGATTGCAGATATGCACACCCAATGCTTTCAAAGGCCTGGATGATCACTCGTGCCCCAGTATCCTAAAGCTAGTGACCCTGGGGCCTGACCCAACCTGGATGTGTCCCAGCCCTGCCAGGATATTTCCCTGGTGTGACTGGCTGTCCTCCCCCATCATAGCGTACCTGACAGCTCATCATCCTCATCCTCTCACTGTGTGATTGCTTCTATCTGTTGTCTTTCTACTGATTTTCATTTTTTTCTTCTTGACTTTGTGTTTTTATATATTCTTGAACACTACCTTGTCTCTTTTTTTTTTTTTTTTTTTTTTGTATTTTTACCAGTACTAGGGATCGGACTCACGACCACAGGCTTACAAGGCAGGCACTTATGCCACTGAGCTAAATCCCCAGCCCACTACCTTGTATCTTAATATAGAATATGAACAAGTATCCTTTTGGCCTAGAGCTGAGAAATGCCACTTATGGCCAGTTGGCAGCCAAATTTGCAGTCAGCCCAACCCCAGGCAACCCATGCCCAGCACTGGAACCCACTGCGCACTTTGCTTCCCCACAGTGGCGTACAGCAGCTAAGGACACAGTGTGAGGACAGCTCCACGCCAGCCGCTCCTGCAGACCAGCCCAGTCCAGCCATTGGTGCGCACAGAGCCAGGGCTCCCAGTGCTGAGATGTTCCCTTCACGCCTCCCACCCAGCAAGACCTGAAGCCAGGATTAACCAGCAGCTGCCACCAGCAACCAGCTTCTCTCTGTAAATTAATATTATGTTGAGAGATAAAACCAAACAGAACTGCCATGTTAGAACAATCACAAAAATAGGAAATCAAGTCAAGCCTTTAATTCATGCTTGTAATACACAGAATCTGGAATTACATTCAGGGGCACACTGGAAGATGACTGTGAGGGAAACGATGCCACCACCAGAGCTGGGTGTGTGTCACTCTCCATCCACCCGTCCACGTGGGCACACACCCTGCTCCTCAGGTTCTGACGCTCACCTGAGAGCCTTAGCCAGAGGTGGGGCTCCAAGCCACTGTGAAGCCTCTCTGACTCATCTTCCCTTCAACCTGTAAGGTTTTAAGGACATAAACACTGCTAGTGAATCATTTCACAAATACTTAGTTTGAGCCAGGCATGATAGCCCACACCTGTAATCTGAGCACTCTGAGAGGCTGAGGCAGGAGAATTGAAAATTGGAGCTTGGGGCTGGGGATTTAGCTCAGCGGCATAAGCACCTGCCTTGCAAGCAGGTGGTCGTGAGTTCGATCCCTGGTACCGATAAAAAAAAAAAGAAAAAATTGGAGCTCAGGGGCCAGGGGTTTAGCTCAGCAGCTTAAGTGCCTGCTTGGCAAACTCGAGGTCGTGAGTTCAATCCCCGGCACCAAAAAAAGAAAGAAAGCTTGGGCAACTTAATAACTTAGCGAAATCCTGTCTCAAAAAAAAAAAAAAAAAAAGAGTTTTGGGATGTAACTCATTGCGAAGACCCCTGAGTTCAATCCACATACCACCAAGGAAAAGAGAGGCCCTGAAAAGGAAGAAATAGAAATTTATGTGTAATAGTTTAAAAGATTCTTTAAAAAATAACATTAAAATGCAAGGGGACCTGATTCCTCCAGTAAAGTAGAAACAGCATTATAGTAGCTAGGTAGCTATACCCGAATCCCAGTCCCAACAAAGCAGAAGGGACAGACTGTAGAGAAGCCTGTGCGTTCCCCCCCTCCCCACCCCCTGCTTTGCTGGCCCTGTTGAGCTGGGGCTGAGTTTGGCTGCTGGTCTTCAACAGAGGCTATATAGGCAGTATGTGGGTCCTCTCCCATGTAGACTATAACCCAGAGTCCTGGCATATGTGTTCCACTTGCTTTACTCACACTGATGTAGGACCATTCCACACATGCAACCAGTAAGGTCCCCATGCCAGTCCTCATAGCATGAAGACTAAGCTAAGTAGACAACTGCGTCACTGAGCAGCATCCCCAGCCCCAGTGTGACTTTGTTTTGTACCACCCCTATAATGTTTTATGGGTTTGTTTTGTTTTGTATTTTTGGTGCTAGGGATTGAACTCATAACCTTATACTTGCCTGGCAAGCACTTACACCACTGAGCTAAATCCCTGGCTTTTGGGGGTTTTTTGCTTTTTGGTGTTTTTTTTGGTACCGGGGATTGAACTCAAAACCTCAAGTTAGCCAGGCAGGCACTTGTGCCGTGAGCTATATCTCCAGCCCTGTTTTATGTTTTTATGTGACGGAAACCTTGGATCTTTTCTTGTATGCATGCTGGGCCCTGTTGTCTTAGATTCTGTCCTGGTGAAACCCTTGTATTTCCTCTGAGTGGGAGTCACCTGGTTTTCCAGAAGGATCGTGGTAAGGGACCAAAGATGAAAGACTTTGCTGCTTACCAAGCTGAAGTAAATAGGCTTATACACCTGGAGCCTGTGAGGAGAGGATGCCACCAGACACCAGCCTAGACGACAAGAGAGGGTGACCCTGGTGTAGCACCTGGGCTGGCCCAACTCACAGGCACCAGTGCTGCAATAGGGGCACTGCAAGATCACTCCACATGGGGGACATGGAGCCCTCAACCTTCTGGAAGGTAGTAGAATCTTTCCTGTCCCTTCCAAGCCTTCTGTTGCCACATGCACCAAACCTTTGCCTCACAGACTTACGTGCTAAGAGCAGGCAGAGCAGTAGGACTGGCCACGTGGCACATGGTGGGCAGGAAGCTGGTGGCAGGTGGCAGGGAAGTGGCTGCAACCACTGAGGGCCACACAGTGGAACTAAGCTGGGAGCCTGGCATGGAGCCAGGCTGCAGTTGGGCAGAAGGCACATAGTGGTGGTGGTGGTGCACTGCAGGTGGCTTCTGCCTCTCAGCTCTCAGGACAGCTGGGCGTGTCCCCCGAGGGTCCTAGCATAGAGCACACAATTGGTTCAGGATGGTGGCCTCTTTCCCCGAACCTGTTCCTGACAGGAATTGAGTGTGAAGGCAGGAAAGGACAGCAGCTATAGGTCGAACCTGGGCTCCAGACACACACCCCTTATAGGAGGGGCAGCAGCACTGGGGCTTCATAGCTACACTACAGGTTCAACCCAGAGATGCCCTTCCAGAGCTACCCAGATGCCCCCCAGTCCACCTGCAGGGCAGAGTGCAGTCCCACAGGTGCCAGTGCAGACGGTAAGGCTTTGAGCATCATATTCTGCATGAGGATCTGGTGCATCTGTGCGTTCTGCATCAGCATCATCTCCACCATGTCTGGAAGGAGAAACAGGGACTAGATCTTTGGCTCTGCCTTGGAAATAAAGTGTTCATTCCTCACCTCACAAGGACCGAAGAACATTTTGGCACAAGTGTGACTGTATTGGAAGACCGATGGGATGCTCCAAGAGTGGGACTTCTAGTCAGAGGGGATCTGTGGATAAGGGTTTGTGGCCTATCTGGCTGGCCTCACTGCCCCTCCCATCCCTCACATCCCCGGCTGCATGGTGACCCCAGAACAACATCCCCCCTACACACAACCACAAGACTCTTAATGTAACCTTATTTGGAAAAAGGTTATAGATTAAGTTAGGGATTGTGAAACAAGGAAATCATCCTGGAATGGACCCCGAGTCCAGAGAAGGTGCTGTGTACTAAGAGAGGGGCAGGTCAGGGAAGAGGCTATGTAGGGATGGGGACAAGGTCACAAAGAGGCCTAGAGCCACAGGCACAAAAAGACGCAGGCAGGACCCTCTCTGCAGCCTACAGAGGAGTCAGTACTGCCTCCCTCACCTGGACTTTGGAGATCTGGTCTTCCAAACTGCACAGTAATAAAATTCTATTTAAACCGTCTAGACTGGTGTCTTTTGTTGTTTTGTTTTGGTTTGGTTTGGTTTGGTTTTTTGCACAAGTACAGGAAGCTAGTCTCACCAGCCCTGGGCATCACACAGCAATTTTTGACAGTGCGATGCGCAAACACTGCTTCTTCGTATAGTAGCTACCCGTTGAAACGCATGGTGATGCCCTGTTGGCATTACTGAAGCATTGTCCCAGGGCCATCCTCCAAACATGCACACTCCAGGCCCAAAAATCTGGGTGGGCTAAGACAAGAACACCCAGGATCCGGGACCCTTGGGCCCCATGGCCAGATGAGCAATGATGTGAAATGGAAAAGAGCCAGACCCACAGCTGATCTCCAAGAACAACTGAGCAGCTAGGTGTGAAAGCCCCACTGCGAAGACCTCAGAGCCCCCATTGTGTTCCTGGCCACCCACGCTCCCACAGCTTCCACAACAGATGCTTGGAGTTGGGGGATTTCTCAGGCTAGGCCCATACCACACACAGTCCAGCATGAAAGTATCAGACAACTGGAGAAAGGGCCAGAAATGGCCAACACCTGTGTTACCTGCCTTATAAGAGATGAGTCTGTAATACAACAGGAAGATAAAGAGTCTTTCAGTGTGGCCCAGGGTCCAGTTAATATCCACAACAATGTGTTAAGGTGGACCCTAACTCGAAGCACACACAGATGAAACTGCAAGTCTAAATGTAGGAGGTAAATATAGAGTTACAGAACACATTACAAAACATTCACCATGACTTTGAGTGGATGAAGAGCTCAGCAGGGTGCAGAAGGTGCTAGGAAAAGGAGCCAGGCATGGTGGCATGTGCCTGCCATCCCAGCATTTGAGAGACTGAGGCAGGAGCATCAATGTGCTTTCAAGGCTAGCCTAGGCTACATACTTCAAGACCAGCCTGAACTACAAGGGGAGACCCTGTCTCAAAAAGAAAGAAAGGAAGAAAAGGTATAAAAGCTGAACTTTATCACAATAAAAGCATCTGGTCAAGGAACTGAAGTGCTTCAAAGAAAGGAAAGGTTTGTTTTGATTCAGTTTGTAGAAGTTTCAGTCCATAATTGGGTGGCTTCAGGGCAGGATAGCGTGGCAGAGAGGTATCACAGAGCAGCAGACAAGTAGCAGCAACAATAAGCAACAAACCTCTCTCTGTCCTTTATAGCTTATCCAGGCTACCCACCCTTGGAGGATAGCGCTCACACCCTTAATCCTGAAATTGTACTGTTAATCAATTGTGGAGTCAAACCTTCCATCTAGCTACCTCTGCAAAGCCCTACCTATGGCTGCATAAGGCTTTGGGAGACAGCTAGACACAAGTCAGAGCACAATCCTTTGCAGTATTTTCTGTACCCCACGGGATGGGCGTGTCCACCCCCAGTGACATGAGCCACCCAGCCTGCCTCACAGTGGGACAGGTGCACAGTGGGGCTGCGTGACCATCTGGGCCAATAAAGGTCCAAAGTTGCCCACATTCTCATCTCATCTTTGCCAATGGGATCAAGAACCTTGAGATGGAATGGAAGCAACCTAAATATCCATCAGTAGGTAAGTGGCTAGAGAATGTGGCCATTCATACAATGGAAGGTCATTTAGCCTTCACTGGCTATGGACTGATGAATCTTGACAGTATATTAAGGGAAATAAGCGGTCACAAAAAGATAAACACTGTGTAATCCACTGATATCACTGGTCCAAGGCAGTAGAATTCACAGAAAGAAAGTACTGTGGATGGTGATTATGAGGGCACTATAGCCGAATAGCAATAGTTTCAAGATTTGCAGAATAAAGATTCCACCAATTCATGCACAGCATTGTAACCTAATTCATACCACCAAATTGCACACCTGACAGATGATTAAGATGGGAATGTTCATGTGTTTTTACCACAATTTTAAAAATTAAATTTTAAAAACAAAATTCTGAGATGAAGGTATCCTGGATTTTCAAAATGGGCCCAAGGTCATAAATGAGAGTGCTGGGAGTAAGCAACTATAGATTTAGATTTGACTATACAGCAAAATCTGTCTTTAAGAGTAAGGAAAATAAGCTGGAAACAGTGGCACGCAGCTGTAATCCCAGCATTCTGAGAGGCTGAGGCAGGAGGATTGCAAGTAGGAGTTCTACCTGGACAACTCAGTGAGACACTGCCTCATAATTAAAAAGAAGGAGCTGAAGATGTAACTCAGGGGTAGTATAGCCCTGGGTTCAACTCTCATGTACTGCAATTAATAAATAAGGAAAACATTTGCAAGAAAGTGAGCACTAAGAGGCTTCAACAGGTAGTTTGGGAAGAGTTTCAAAATGATGGGAAATGGACACTGTCGCATGACTGTAATCCCAGCTACTTGGGAGGCTGAGGCAGGAGGATGGACAGTTTGAGTGCTCCCTGGGTAATTTAGCAAAACTCTAACTCAGAATAAACAAGGAGGTCTGGGGTGTGGCAGAGTGCTGGCCCACATGCCCAAGGCCTCGGTTCTGATCCCAGGAAGTCCACTCTGTGTTACACTGAAAGTAATAAAGATTCCAGGTGAATCTAGATACATCAGGTAAATCCAAACAGGTATCCTGTGTACAAAATTAATGACTGGCATCTAGTTTTGTGATTTCATTTTAAAATAGAACTGGGATAGTACTAGTACTTTTGATATTTTTAATTCAAACACTGATCCAGGTGGAATTTGTTTATAAGGAATGAGATAGTTCACTTTATTTTCTGTAAATAGCCATTGATTAAACATACAATGTTTTACTACTGACTTTAAATGCCAATTTTTCTCAATGGATTTATGAGTATAAGCATATGCATTCCTATGCCCACACACATTGGAATACATGTATGCACACACATGAACACACAGGGATATGAAAGGCATATGTGCATATACATGCACACACCACACATGAGGACACACAGAAGCACATATGTGCATATGAACACATACTGTGTCTTATTTTTTTTTCTTTTCTTTTATTCTTTTTTTTTTTTTTTTTTTTTTGTAGGAGACAGGGTGTTTGTATGTAGTCCAGGCTAGCCTGGAACTCACCGATCCTCCTGCTTCAGCCTCCCAAGTGCTGGGATTACAGGTGTGCACCACTGGTTACTTTTCTTGTTGCTAAGATAAAATACCCAACACCACAAGTTAAAGGAGAAAGGTTTCTTTTGGCTCACAATTTGTAGAGGTTTCATTCCCTAGTCAATTGGCTCTAAGGCAGAATGGTATTGTAGAGGGGCATTACAGAGGAAAAACAGGCCATAGCATGGCAGGAAGGCAGAAAGCAGTAAACCAAAGGCAACAACCCACTTCTCCCTTTTATCCCTTCCAGGGTACCCACCTTTTAGGGTGGGCCAACCATACCTAGGGTGGGCCTTCCCATTATCCACACTCAGAACTATGCTAAGTCAATTATTGGACTAATTTAGTAACCACATACTGTAAATCCAAGCATCACACACTCTAGACCCAGCCAATTCTAAAAAGCCCTACCTATGTCTATGTGAGACTTTGGGGGGGACATCAAGTTACAAGTCACAACACACAGGCATACATGTGTATCCCTGTACCTAGTCAGTCTTTTTCCTTGTATATCTTGTTTTCTTCCCAGAGCCCAGAGCTCAGAGATATCCTTTATAAGAGAGTTTGTTTGGAAAAAAATTTGTTTGTTTGTTTCTTGTAGTTCTAGAGATTAAATCCAGGGTCTTATGCATACTAAACAAATGCTCTTCCATGAGTTTCTTTCTTTAAAAATAAAAAAAGAGACAATAAAGGTAAGCTTTTTTATTCAAAGGTATAATTGGATAAGTGGACTTGTTTACAACCATTCTTCAAAAATAGTTTTCAAAAATATTACCAACTTCTTTGCAAACAGCTGATACATCCCTCACTATCATGGCTCTAATTTTGAGTGAGTAATGTGCATGATTAGGCAAAAATAGGCAAGGTCCTGGCCCTGCATCAAGGCTGTTGGTTTCAAGCAGGAGCCTAAAGAGATGTCTTTCTATGGTCTGTTGGCCATTTCAGAACTTAGGCAGAAAAATGGTCAATTCATTAGAAAGAAACAGCTTGAAGCAATCACTGCCCCCCACCCCCACTCCCACCCCCATCCCCACCCCTACCCCCCACTATCCCATGAGCAGCTGTGAGTGTGATAGGCTGTGGCAGCCCAGGATGGGAGCCTCTGGCGTTTACTGGGACCCTGGAGTGCTGGGAAACCAAGCAATCCTTCCCCACCCCCCTGCCTGTTTTGTTTTGTTGAGCTTCAATATGCATGAAAGTATGGACAACTATTTTGAAGAGAACAAGAGTCTCTATGACAGCCATTAGTGACTTCCCTATTGTCTGGTTCTGAAGACCTAAAATGCCTTCCTCATTCTGTTCGATCAGTTTTATACTATATTTATTTTGTATGAATTCTCTGTATGCGAAGACATGGACAACTATTTGGAAGAAAACAAGAGACAATATGATAGACAATGAAGACCTCAGGTCATCTAGCTTTGAAATTTATATCGCTTTCATTGCTTTCTTATGTCCTATTTTGTTCTGTTTTGTTGTGTTTAATTTTACCCCCTTTAAAATAAAAATTTTTTTAAAAAGTAGGCAAGCTCACACTGGTAGATTAGCTATCTAATTGCTCAGTCAAAACTCCATTTATGCCAGGCAGGTTGGCACAACCAGCACTCGAGAGGCAGAAGTAGGAAGATCATAATGATTTTGAGGCCATCCTAGGCTACATAGTGAGTTGAAGGCCAACCTGAACTACATAGTGAGATCCTGTCTTGAAAAAAAAAAATCTCCATTTATGGTAGCCAGGCATCATGGCACAAGTCTCTAATCCCAGAACTCAGGAAGCTGAGACAGGAGGATCACTGTGTGTGTGAAATCAACCTGGGCTACATAAGGAAGTTCAAGGCCAGCCTGCACTGCATAGTGAGACCTGGTCTCAAAAAAATACATTTGTGGCCTCTTCTTGATAGTTTTCTGTTCCTACTTCATGTTTACCTTCTTGTCAACTTCTTGATCAGTTCCCTGCTGATTCTGTCTACCAGACCAGCCACCAGATCAACCAGACCTGCCACTTGACCAACCAGCCATTCCTCTGTCCAAAATTAGTAGATGTGTTTCTATCATAATATCCTTCAATTTCAGGTCACTTGGGTTGCATAATATCCAGTCTGAATCATGGCACTCTGCCTATAATCTTTCCGACTCAGTTTTGGGAACATCAAAGTTAACCCCAGATTTCCTTTCAGGAGGCATGTTCTGATGATTTGGGATGCAGAACTATTACTCAGCTTTCTGTGAAGTCCTTTTTAAGCACAGCAGACATCTGTATTTCTGGACTTTCTAGAGTCACAGTCACCAACCCCTTACCAGAAGTGATTGAACAACACGGTTTAAAGCTTGATGAACCAGAAATGTGAGCTAATGCTGCAGCCAGCATGTTCACTGCCCCTTTATCTTCTGCTGATGAGTTCTTGAGCTGATGGTCAGAAAAACTCAACCGTAGCATAAGAAGCAGAAGCCAGAGACCTGATGGCATCTGTGCTTTTAGATTTAACTAAATACACCATAGAAGGAACTTGCACATTTAAAAGGAATCCTGCTTTTTGACCCACATATCTTAGTTGACTTTTTCTCTTGGTTGATAAAAACACATGCAAACCTCTGTGCAGCCAGCTCTCCTTGTGCGGCTGGATTGGCAGATAGGAGACTCAGCATCCTGTAAAGGAGAACTCTGGATCACTGGGTCAGCCTCAAGAATATCAGAGAACCACAGGGAGCCACCCTGGTGGCCACCAAAACTTTAAAACCATCTCTCTGAAACCTTTCAGTGTAATTTCTTTTTGTGATTGTGCAATGTCCATGTGTAACCACTTGGCATTCTGTTTTATGTGTTTACCTCATGCCATTTCAGTTACGTTCTTCCTGTTCTCACAGAGGATATTAGCTCTCCCTTCAGACCCACTGCGGACTTGGAGGAAGTCTCTGTCAGCAGTGCTCTGAGACCAATGGCACTGGATGGCCAAATGTTGCATACTAGTCATTTTTTCCAACAAGGTCAGTGTCTTCGTATCTGGATTATATTTTTTTTACAACTTTATGTACCCACTGTAGGCAAGCTGCAGAAAAAAATAGTCTGAGGATTATATTCAGAATCAATTTTGTTGGATTCATGGATAATATGTTCAACTTGTTTAAAAAAAACCTAAATCTAACATTGGACCCAGTTCATCAAACATTGCACAGCACAGTTTAAAAAGATCCAAACAACTGTTTGATACAAGAAAGGGTCCCAACCTAGATGTCAATGCCATTTCAAGTATGATTAATTTGTTTTTGATTTGAAATTCTACCATAAAAGGCAACACTGAGTTCCTAGTTGAAAGAGTTTTGGCCCAGGCCAGACACTGTAGCTGGTAAAGCCTCAGGTAGAACCAAGCTAAATCTCTGGCCCTGGTAAGTAACTTTTAAAACTTGTTCCTTGATTTCTTTGGAACCTCTTAATCAAGGGTATGGTAAGAGAGAATGTCTTTCCTGTTTCTATCTGTGCTTCAGCAATTAAATCTTTCCTTCATATATAGGACCAACCGGCTTAACTTGAATAGCAAAGAAATATGTTACCCCTTGAACTTTCAGAAGCTTTATACTAGTCTCTTCAGAAACAGAAACAACAGAAACAGAAACAGAGGGCTGGGGATTTAGCTCAGTGGTACAAGTGCCTGCCTGCCAAGTGTGAGATTGTGCGTTTGATCCCCGGCACCAAAAAAAGCCTCAGAGAAATTGGAGAAAGTTCCTTCTTGCTGTTCACACGTTAATGTCTCCTCTAGTCAGTTTATTATCATTTGTTTTATGAGAACTTTCTAAAAATGACACTCATTTTGATTTTTTTCTCACATTTGCCAATATCTCCATTTGACAGATCCTTCCTTCTTGCTTTATAAGATGTGGAAATTCATCTGAAAGTCTATTAAATTCTTCTTTAATGTTTCCAGTTAGCTTCTCTTTCATTTAGCTTTTTTGAGCTTGGGAGCATCTGGATCATTTGTACCACAATTTTCTTTCATTTCTGATGGTGGCTTGATTTCCTATCACTCCAGAATTATATAATGTGTTTTCAGCTTCTCTTGTTTATATATCATAGCAGCTCTTTTATCTCTTCTTCCTTTGGCTTTCAGACTCTTCCCAGGGTGCTTCCAGCTCTGTAATATTCTCTCGGAGGAGTTTCCCACACATTACTGGCCACTGCCCCTCCCTCCAGGCACAGTGGCTTCTACAGGCAGTGACAGTGTGAAAGGAAGTGGGGACAGGGTGGCTGGCCGGCCAGGGCTGTGTGTCACTTCCTTCTTCCATGGACTTCTCAAAGTTAAAACTATTTTCATGTTCAGTAACCACAAGCTGGCCCCTCATGACTATCTTGATAACAAAATGTTTTCTCTTTCAATAGACAATTTAATAAACTCAAAACAGTACTGTACACTCACCTTCCTTAATGCTTCCTGACCTCTGAGCAGGAAAAGCTTGTGGAGGCGGGATCTGTGCCATGAGGGGCTGCTGAGGCAGCTGCTGAATGATGGTGGCAGGAGGCTGGGGGACCTGAGAAGAGGCAGGTGATTAGCTACCTGAACACAGCCTAGGAGACAGTGCTCTACCCTACTCCAGCCAGCCAGACCCACACTCCTACTCACTCATCCATTCACTCCTCCACATACATCCCTCTACCTTCTCATCCACCCACCCACCCGCATGCCCACCTGTTCCTCTACCCACCTATCCCTCTCTCCCTTCTAGTTATCCCATCCACCCATCCATGCTCTGCCTACTCATCATTTACCCACACATTTATCCTTCACTCATGATACTTTTTTTCCCCACTACTCATCCATGCAATTCATTGATCCATTCCTGCACCCATCCATTCTTTCCTCTTCCCCTCACTTATCTATCCAGACACCCATCCTTCTACTTACATATATAACCCTCTTTCCCTTAGTGATATATCCATTAGTCTATCCATCCACCTACTCATATGTATATATATATATATATACATACATATATCCACGATTCTTCTGCCTGCTCATCCATCTACCTATGCACTCATCCATCTACCAAATCATCTGTCTATCCATTCATTCACCCAATACTCTGTCTGTCTGTGTATCCATCAATTGAAGGAAAACTTTAAATGACTTTTTTGTCTTATATTTTGACACAGAGTCTCACTATGCAGTTCAGGCTAGCCTTGAGCTTATTTTGTAGTAGCCCACATTGGTCTCAAGCTGGCAATGATCTGCTTCAGACTCCCAAGTTCTGGGATTACAGAGGTACATCTGGTTTTAAATGATTAACACCAAAGGTTGAATAAATAGTTGAAGAGAAAGATATTTGAGTCGGGATATATATGGCATTTGTAATGATTCACATTTCTTGTCTTCAGCAGAATAAGCTTATGTCTAGTTTCATTTTAAAGAATCCTAAAAGCAGTCATTTTAAATTTTAGTCATCTTAGTAGGGGTGTAGTTTACTGTGGTTCTCATTTGCATTTACCTAATGACTGATGAAACAGGGATTTCAAGGCAAACCTGGTGTTGAATGGCTGAATCACTTGATGAGTGCTCATGGTTCTGCCCCGGTGACCTGTCTATCCTGGTGCCAATACCAACCTGACTAATGGCTGTGGTTGGACCATGCACTGTAGGACCTGTATGGAACTTGCAAGTAGAATCTCTAGCTTCTCTTCTGAATGAACATAAAAGAGCAGTGATTTCCAGCAAACAGCAGGAAGACCTGGGTTTTTGTGTCACTGGATGCAGGGCTGAGGATGGAACTCAGGAGTGCTCTACCACTGAAGCACATATTCAGCTCTTTTTATTTTGAGACAGAACCTCACTAGGTTGCCAGGCCAAGTTTGAACTTGCAGCTGTCCTGTGTCAGGCTCCTTAGTAGCTAGGTTTATAGACTTATAACATCACATCCAGCCAAAATGTTTTAATCCTTTTCTGGAGAAGGATCACAAATTCAAACCCAGCTGCGTGTGATGACACATGCTTGCAGTCCCAGCATTTGGGAGGCTAAGGCAGGAGGATTGTTGCAAATCCAATACCAGCCTGGGCTACAAACTGAGCTCAAATCCAGCCTGAACTGCCTAGTTAGACCTTGTCTCAAAAAGACAAAAAAAAAAAAAAAAAAAAAAAAAAAAAAAAAAAAGAAGAAAGAAAGAAAGGAAAGAAAAGAAAAAGAAAAAAGTTCAAGTCTAGCTTAGGCAACTGTGTCCTGTAATAAAAAAAATTTTTTAAGGGTTGGGAATGTAGCTCTGTGCAAGAGTCCTGGATTCACCCCCCCCCCCGCCCCGCCCCGCTCATTGCTGCAAACAAAAACAAAACAACTGATTCTGGGGGTAGTTCAGTGGTAGAGCATGAAGCCCAGGGGTTGATTCTTAGTACTGCAAAACCAACAAACCAAACCAAGCCTGAAACCATCCTTATCCCTTAAGGTATATAGAAAGCAGGTACACAGGCAAAGCTGAAGTGTACCCCTGGCAAGGACAGTGAGGTGTCCCAGAGCCTCTGCACCCTTCCTGTTGCCAGAACTTCCTGCCTTAGGGTCTCTAAGCCAGCTCTGAGGTGTTCACCAGTGCCCAGGGCTGAGACTGAGCCATGTAGGCATGAGGGTCCTGACAAACAGTCCATTAGCAAAGGGGAACCTAAGGCCTCATTCATACCAATTCCCTAAACTGCCCCTTCCTAGTCTGTCCCTCAGCCATATGCTGCTACTGCCAACATTCCTCATTGAAAGACAAGTGTCTTCCATGTCACAGACCCAGCTCAGAACCTCCTCCACTTGCCTGTCCCCTTTTTCCTCACATACACTGCACCCCATCACACTGAGTATCCCAGCCTCACCATGCCATGTTGGGGCTCCTGGATCCTCTGGTGCCATGGCCTATGGACACCAGTCCCTTGTGCTTAGGAAGTCAATTGCTTCCTATTGCTCACAACCCAAAATGCTGAAGACCATAGGAAGCTCTCAACACAGTACTCCTGTTTTGTCTGTGTCACTCTGCCCTTGATATTAGGGTCCTCTGGTCATTATGAAGTTATGAATTGAGAGAGCATGCTTTCCTGAATGCAGGGCTCTATTCCCACCTATCAGGAAGCCCGGGGTCTGTCAAGGACTGGGGAGGACTTGCTGGAGGACCCGCTGTGCCCAAGTCATGCATCACAGTCACTGCACCTCCGAGTTGGCTATGCCTCTGAGTGAGATCTTGTGCTGCAGGGCCTCAGTGGGAGGTAGTGGGAGCCCAGCCCTCTTTTCTGTGAGTTCTGTCTGTTTCCCAATCCTGGCCCTACTAGAGCTGCTGTCTTCACCTACCTCCTCTTACCTGGTGTTGGATGATTCTTGGTAGCTCCAGGGCTGGTGGGGCTGGGGAGGCAGTGGGGTAGATGCCCACAGGTGGTGCTTCTGGGAGCAGAGCTGGCCCCAGTGTCCCTCCACATGCCCTACTCCAGGTGTGGGTCTCAGGGCACTCATTCAGGAGCTGCTGTTCCTGCAAGGCCAACAGATCCTCTGCACCCAGCAAGCTGTGGAGGATCCTTAACCTGTGTACTGGGCTGTCACCCTACCTAGGGCACAGGGGTCCTTGGTGCTCAGATCCATGGCTCAGCTCAGGGCCACCCAAACGAAAGCTAGACTCCAAAATCAAGACCAAAGAATATATATCGTGGGAATATATATATCGTTGCTTTTAAAGTTTGTAAAGTAATTTAAACAAGTTTCTGGTTATTGTTTTCCCAAAGCCAACAGCATCTAATCATTTTTTCAAGCATGTGGTCCCTGGCAAGTGAGGAGCCAATCTCCTGCCCCATGTTGGTAACAGATGCAGATCACCCGGGCACAGGTGCTTCTTGCTGCAGGTCAGTTTTGTTTGGATGAAACCATGACACCCTAGAATTGTACTTTTCTGTGGGAGCTATGCTTTCCTTGACATTGGCCTCTCAGATATGTGTGCCCAGCAGACTCTCCCTTGATTGAGGGGTCCCCCACTCCCTGAACAGTTGCCTAACCCGATTATCAGCATAAGAAAACCAGCGCCAGGTATGCAGAAGGCCTCCCAGGCCTGTGGGCACAGTGCAGTGGGTCTTGGGGGCAGTGAGCTCTGCCAAGAACTCCTGGGTGTGCAGGCCTACGAGGGGTTCAGGGACCCACCTGGAGATGGCCAGTGATTTAAAGCCTGGTTTTGTTAAAGCACTAGCTCTTTCCTTGGTCCTGCAGATGCCCAGTGGATAAATAAAAGCTGGAGTATGATTGGCATCTCTGCCTTCATTTTGTATCTGTCTCCTTTATTAGTTTAAGCTCTGGGTCAGATCCCTGTTCAGCTCTGCACATAGGTCTCTTAATTACATAAGAACTGTCTGTCTAAAAATTAGTGATTCAAGATTTATTTACCCTAACTTTACCTGACCTATCTTACCCCTTTTCAAAACTGAGGACACCAAGATAAGAGAAACTAAAGATATTTTCAAGACTTGTGGGTATATTTAAGTGCCTACTTTTAGTGTCCTGTCTCAGGCCTCCTGAAGCAGCACTTCAAAGCTTCTTATTCAAAACCCAAAGACATCTTGGATTCCAACAGAGCCTCACAGACAGACCACCCATGGCATGATCATTCCCCAAAACAAAGTCATCTTTGCATGGGAACTGGACATTGGCCTCCCACCATAGGACCTCTCCAGAGCCAGCTTAAGAACCAGAGCCAATATTGTGATTCTTGCCCCTTACCCCACATACACATCAGGAAAACTGGCTCCTTGCCCTCCTTAGTGTCGTCCAATCCCTATCAGTGCTGGGCCCCTTGAGCTCTTCTCCTCAATCTGGAGTCCATATGGCCTGGTTTTCAATTCTGTTACCAATCAGATGTGGTATCATTTGGAGGATGGGATGCTTGGGAGTGGCAAGGACATGGGGAGGAGTTTTAGGGGATTTTGGGGTCCTGGGGTGGTAGGGGGTCTGCCCAGGGTTTCAAGCCTGTCTAGGGTTTGGATACTACCCAGAGTTCCTCCCAGGCATGAGACCTGGAATGGAAGGACAGGGCCTGAGGGATACCAGGCTGGGGTGGGGGTAGGGGTTCTGGTCCTAGGTTGGGCATAAGGCATGGTGGGACAGGGCCTTGGGAGACTCAAAGTGTTGTAGGGGTTGCCTGCCAGGGATGAGGGGCCTGCCCGATGCAGTGCCTACCCGGAGTCTCAGCAGTAGCTCCCTCCTCCTCCTCTGAGCGCTCTGCAGTGCCTCATCCAGCCTGTCCTCGCGTCCTGAGGGAAGCATGTTCCTTGTGCATTGAGGAAAGCTCCAAGTAGGTGGCCAGGTGATCAGGGATGTCACAGGAGACCTGTCAGTATACCCCACCTCCCCAGAGCCCAAGTCCCAAGATGACCCAGAGCCTCTTGATGAGGCCTCCTGCAAATACTCATGCCAAGAAGGGGGATGAAGGCTGAGAAGACCATGTTAAGGTGGGATATCTTAGGGAGTCAGTCTGACTGTGGTGTCTGGTCCCCTGTGGCCCTCATACGGCAAGCTCCTGCCTTCTGTATGCAGGACCTCAGTGGTGCCTCCTGTGTTGTACCTGAAAGCCCGACTCTTGCTGATGGAGAGAAGCCCTCAGAAGGGTCTCATTTTGCATTCTGAACACTAGGCACACCATGTCCTGAAGAACATGACACTTCCTGCTTGCCCCTCATCTTGACCTTCCTGAAGCCTGGACTTGTTCACAAGGTAACTATGCGAACAAGACCAGGCTCTCCTCCCACAACTGAGAGTTCAGGGCTCTAAAGTCAGAGCTGTGTGGGTCTGGCCCAGTAAGACCATTTCTTTCCTCACTTGCATAAGCAGATGGGGATGAGAACTTACCCTTCTGGCGCCTTGAGGGAACAGTGGAGGGTGTGTGCAAGAACAAAGGCCTTCCTACCTCCAGTGGGAAGGGAGCATTTTGGGGCAGGAGTAGCTCCTAGGGGCCACTGCCCCCACCGTCCTCACTGGCTGCTCCACTCTTTCCTACAGGAGTCCGCGCAGCCTGGGTTCTTACCTGGCACAAGGTGGGTGACCTCAGAGCTCCCTTCCATGTTCTCTCGTTCTTGCTCCAGCTTCTATGAGGAACAGAGGCTGTGAAAGTGATGTTGGCTCCATTGCTGTTGCCTAGAGTGCCATGCCAGGGGCAGGAAGTGTGCTGATGTGGGAGGCAGGTGTCATACTGGTTGTATGATCAACATAGCACAGGTCTTAAACACATGGGGTGCAGAAGAGCACCCTGATCATTAGCACCAGACCCCAGATTTGGAGTCCCAGTTGGCAGAGAGGAGGCATGAAGGTGGGAGACATAGAGAAGGCTTCCAAGACCACCCAGAGTTTAGGCAGAGTAAGAAGATGAAAAGAGATGTGGGAATGACCAGGCTCAGCCCCGAGGCCCTGCACTAAAGACCGAATTTGGAAACCACTAGAAGAACCTAACTGGTACTATACACATTTAAAGAAACAAAAATAAAGCACCTTTCATTATGAAGCTAAAATCTACTGGAAAGGGTTTGTTTTGAAAGCAAACATACTCACAGGTGGTTTAAAGGCAGACACAACTAACTTTGCCTGGCACCTTTGTCTTTTAAGCTAAGAGCTGAGTAGTGTCCAGAATCATACCTGTTCCAAAAGTTTCAGAGTTAGCCGAGTCATTTGGTCTGCCACTGATGAGTGCATCATCTTGGGGGCCTGTGAGGTGGCTGAAGAGGATAGAAAGCTGTGCCTACACATTTGGGGTCCACAGTGGGGAACCACTCATTGTTACTGCAGGCTTCCCTGCACAGAGTTTGTCTGGCCTCCTGGAAACTAGCCTTGGAGACCGAGAACGTGGAGAGTATACAGGAGAAGGTGCCCCTCCCTGAACTGCAGGGTCTGGAGCACAGGAGGCCTGGGTTGCCAGGTTTCCACTGAGTCCTTTCCTGAACTATGTGTCCCTAGGCTCTTTGTAAATACTGATAGGCAGGTGTGGACAGGCAAGGTAAACTGGAGGCAAAGAATGAGCACTGGACTTCTGGAACCACCCACCTCAGGACAAAACCTGGAGGAAAGTGGGGAGGAGGCCCTGGGACTGGAGGCACATAGGGGACACACCCCATGGCCAGCAGCTAGCAGCCAGAGCCTCACAGGACACCTGCCAATGCTGCAGGTGAGGACAGCTCTGGGATAACCTAGGCTAGAGATGGGCTGAGCATGGCCCTCTCAGGAGGACACCTGGGCTGCATGGCAGAGCAAATGAGGACGGAGGGAGGAGGTTGCACACTGCAGTTCTGTGCTCCAGACTGGTGAAGGCCAGTTCCACTGAGGAGATGGCTGAAGTGCAGGCAAGGAACCCAGCAACAGCAATGGCTAGGTTGGCATGCTAAGCCAAAGCACCACCTAGAATCTAGCTGCCCCTGAGTCCTGCATCAAACCCTTGTCATTGGCTTCAGTCCTTCAAATCTCCCACACTTTCGCATTTATGGTTTTATACTTAATGTGCCTTGTTCTGACTGTACTACTTCTGAGAACCTCAGGTGTGGGAGAGTGGGACAGAGCAGGCCAGGTATCCTGGTGGAGACCTCAGAGCACCTCCTGCTGGATCTGTGTGCAGCCCTCACTACTGGGCCAGGAGATGGGCTTACCACAAAAGCATCCATGCTTCTGCTACAACCCAGTACTGGCCCTGCACACCAGGGGGTCCTCACTGACACTGTAGCACTAGCAGGCATAGACACAGTTTAGATGCCAGTGTCTGTTCACTGCTTTTTTGGTGTCAGCTGTCTTAGGAGACATATAGACAGAAGGGTTGAGTATGCATAAAAGATGCTAAATTAGTTTAGTTAAGCAACTCAGGGTAGCTAGGAGATGAGCCTCATTGGAGTGCCTAATACCTCCCACTTGCATGGGTTTCTTAGGACCTTAAATTTTATTTATGTTGCTGCTAGTGGCCTCAAACTCATGAGCTCAAGCAATCCTCCAGCCTCAGTCTCTGTTGAGTGCTGTGACCACAGGCACACACTACCTGATCTAAGAACATTTTTTTTTGGTTTGTTTTTGTGGTACTAGAAATTGAGCCCAGGGCTTTTGTAGTGAGGTGTATCTCCAAACCTTTTCTGTTTTTTATTTTGAGACAAGGTCTCACTAAATTGCTAGGTTGCCTAGGCTAGTTTCAAACTTGAGATTCACCTGCCTCACCTTTCCAGAATGCTGTATTGACAAGTGAGTAGCAGTACACCTGACTTGAGGATCTGTTTCTAAAATAGAATCTTTTGAAAATTGTTTTTAAGGGGCTAGGGATTTAGCACAGCGGCATAAGCATCTGCTTTGCAAGCAGGCAATTGTGAGTTTGATCCCCGGTACTAATTAAAAAAAAAAAAGAAAATTGTTTTAAGGCAGGAGCTGTGTAGTCCAGGCTGACCTTTAACTTAATGCAACCCTCCTGCCAGCCAGCACCACAAGTTTCTCCAGGAAGCATCACTTCTTCCTCTCCAATTTTCCTTTTTATGTTGTTTCCTTTTTATGTTGAGGGTGGGCCCTCAACACCCAGCACTATGGTGATTCAGTTCAGCTGGATGTCGCAAGTTGACTACTATCAGGTGGATGTTGCAAGTTGACTACTATTGTAAACCCAAATATCAAGTTTAGTCATCCAAGTATTGTAATCCTCTTTTTAGTTTTCCTCATAATCCAAAAAGTTATATTTGTAATCCCTTTGAGACATTATTGGAATCTTAGCAAGTTAATTTTAACCTACCAGCACCAATGCAAACCCACGGCGAGAGTAAAGACACCAAGACATGTTCCAAGGTAAGGGCAGCCAAGGGGTCCTAAATCTAATCCTCATCAGGACATGCAGACAAAGGCCTCAATCCTAGGCCTCTCCTAGCATTTATTATCTTGTGAAAAAAGGGGGATGGCTCAGGGATGAATAATAGTGGGGATGTCCGGTATTATTGAGTAACTTGAGCTGGCTGGCCTGGTGCAAGAATGGCACCTCTGTAATTTGCAGAGATGATGATATACAGAAGGATCAATTTACATAACCCAATTAAGGTAGGAGTGGAATTTTTTGTTTTTGTTTTTGTTTTGTTTTGTTTTTGGTCTTTTTCCTTTTTATCGGTACCAGGGATCGAACTCATGACTGCCTGCCTGCAAGGCAGGCGCTTATGCCACTGAGCTAAATCCCCAGCCCCAGTGGAATTGTTTTGGGGGGCTATCACTTTGGTTTCTGATATGTAAACTCTTGTGCCCTGGGGAGTCCTAACCTCTAATCTTGAGGCTCTACCCAGTTGACATTCTCAGAGTTATTTGCTCTAACATCTTCAATCTTGTTCAGTCTTGTATTGTTCAATCTGGTATTGTTCAATCTTGTATTGTGGAAACACTATGTAAGGAAACAGGACTATCTGATGGCTATAGTCTTTACACATTAGCACCTAGGCTAGCCTTATTTGCAATGCTCAGAGCCAATTAAAAGAGAGAAAAACCCTAGCCAGCCTTTTACATATCAATATAAGGAAATGAGTCTACAAGTAATCAAAGTCACAGCAATTGTTTTGGATTCAAAGGGAGTCACTGGAGTTGTCTCCCACAGACTACCATATTGCAAGTTTTCAATCCATCACACTGAGTGTCCTTAATTTTCTTTCTGAAGTCTCTACTGGGCTGTGTGTAGGCTATCTTGTGACCTACCATCTCCTCAGACTTCTCCTAGATGGACTATGTCATAGACTTTTCTTAGCTCACAGGTGTCCTTGACAGAGACTTTGCAGAGTTCCCAGCTGGCACTTTTGTGAGGACATGCACTTTTCTCCTTTTAACTACTTTATTTATTTACTTAGGTACTGGGGATCAAGCTAATGACTGCATGCTTGCAAGGTGGGTGCTTATGCTGCTGAGTTAAACCTCTGGCACATTTCTCCTTTTAGACCGGGGTTGTAGACTGCAAGGGGTCATACCCTACCCTGAGCTGTCACTTGCTAAGGTGTGTTTGACAGGTTTCTCTGCTATGTAGTGACTCTTTCCCCTCCTCCATGATACACAGCTCACATGTATGTGTGAAAGTGTTGTACACTAGCAAAAAAGAGCTTCATTATATTTGTATTATACCAAAATACCTGTAATGTGGCCTATTGTTCTATATACCTGTTTCTTTTCCTCTGGGTGACCTAATTGATATGTTAATCAATGCTCTCCTCTGTAAAAAATTGTAAAACCTAATCTAATTGATATGTTAACCATTGTTGCCCTCTACAAATAACAGATGTGGTGCTAAAATAAGCTAACAGGGGTTGATAATTACTGCTAGACTGCTCTGTCCTCTCCTAAGGAAAACAAAGGTCTTTCTCATTAACAGTTTTCCCTGATCCACGCCCAGAACCCCCTTACTTTGTAAATTGTGATATATACTTAAAGGTGGCAAGTACAGAGGAGCAACACACACAGCTTTTGCAGTCTCCAACTGTACTGTGTCCCTGGGCCCAGGATAAAATAAATCAGTGCTGCTTTTTAAAATCTGTTTTTGTCTCATTTTTTAAACTCGAGTTTGGGGGCTCCTTTGTGGATTACAAGATTTGGGGGCTCATCCGGGATTAATGGAGGAACCCCCCCAAATTATTTTTTCACTGATCAATCAGCTAAACATCTGTAATATTTGGCTTTTTTGCCTGTCTGTAATTTGAGTATGCACATTTGTAACTGCAGATTAAAATGAGACAACTTCTGGGGGCCTTTTTACCCCTTTTGTATTTTAGGGCTTTTGGGGCCTATTCGTAACTTTGTTTGGGCTTTGGCCCATGAGGGAGTTTTTGCCCATTTGTAATTGGATGCGCACAATGACTGCAGATGAGCTAGGGCTCCTTCTGCACCAGAATCCAGGGCCTATCACCCATTTATAATGTGGGGCTTCAGCCCATGTGTGTGTGTGGCTTCGGCCTGTTTAGGGCTTCAGCCCATGCGTGTGGCTTTGGCCCGTGTATGGGTGTTCAGCCTGTTTGGGGCTTTGGCCCGTGTGTGTGGTCTCCACCAACCCCTGTTTGGACTCTCCACCAAGCCCCGTTTGGGGCTTCGGCTCGTGTGTGTGGTTTTGGCCCGTTTGGGGTTTTGGCCCATGTCTGTGGGTCTTCCGCCCATTTGGGGCTTCAGCCCATGTGTGTGGTTTCGGCCGTTTGGGGCTTTGGCCTGTCTGTAACTTTGGGGCCTTTTGCCCGTGTGTATTTATGTTCAGTTTTTTAATACTTTGGAATTGTCTGCCTGTTTGAATCTGTTACTAACTTTAGGGTTTTTTTTTTCCCATTTGAACTTGTTACTAACTTGTTACTAAATTTGTTACTAACTTAGGGGCTTGTTGCCCATTTCAGTTGCAGGATCCATGTGGCTCATTGGACTCAAGATTCATAATAAAAATTATTTCCTTTAGCTCACCAAACTGTGCACAAACAACTTTGTTTGTGTCTTTAATGTTGGCCTTGTCTTTTGTGGCACCTTGTTTAATGTTTTAGTCCTCAATTAATTACTTACAACCTCGGCATGCCTTTTTAAAAAGTATTTTTCTTTCTGGTTAAAATGTAAATATATGTATATTTATGGTTTTTAAAAATCATATTAACTTTACCAAGTAAAAACCAGATCATACTCTAATTGAGCCAGTTAAAAAATTAGTTTTTTAAAATGTAGCATTTTAACTTTAAAAAGACATAAAATGATTAAATATGTTTTAGACTACTAAAAAGTTCACTTCAAAGATTTTGTTAAAGGTTTTAATGTTGTCTAAAAATCAAGAGAAAAAGTAATTAACTGGTAAAGAAAAAAAGTGGTTTTGTCTTAAAGCAAAAATGTAAAAGAGA